CGGTGGAGGAGGATTTTACCCACGGTACAGGTTTTGGGTGGTGGGAGGAATCGAAGCATCCAGAGGAAACCCACCCAGACATTGGGAGAAATACGTAAAGTCCACACAAAAAAAGCCCAGGCCAACACAGGATCCAACCCATGACCTGCTGAATAATGAAAAAGCCAATCTATTTATACAGAAATGTTTGAAGTTCTTTGTGGTGCATAATTTGTCATTTTGTCTCTACCTTAACTCATCCAACTTACCCTCCAGTTTGTGAGTCCTTATGAAAACAGCTGCTGAGACTCGGTGAAGAGCGCCAACTGATAACACAAGACCCCCCATCACAGACACACCCTGCCCCCTCTTCTCGCACTCCTCAGACCCGCCGTCCTACTGGGCAATCCCGACTAAACCACGGCCATAAACACATTGACCGCTCCGAGCCACTAGTCGTCATCAGTGTGTTTAATGGAATATAATCTGCCCTTAACTCGGTAATCACTGCGGCCCTCAACACTTCCACTTTATAATCCTTTGGGTGCTCATGAGACCTTGTGTTGATAAATGCATGTTTATATGACTGTTTGCCTGCGCTTGTGCTACTACTGTTTTTCTAGGCTTCAGTGGATGGAGAGCTTTCATCTGCTCTGCCGCCATAAAAATAAAAGTGAGCTCCAGACTCAAACTGCTGGATAAACACAATAAACACTTAAAAAACCAATCTCCTCCAGTGCCACGCAAACCAGCGACAGGGAAAGGGAGAGGGCTGGCCAGATTAGACTTGTTTATTTAAATCATTTTATACACAGAAAAGCATCAAGAGGGAAATGAGCGCTCCATCAGCTGTGGATGAAAGATGAGGAGAATGATAGAGTTCACGATATGTGCACGTTCTTCATTGGTTTTCTTGGGTTTCAACATGCTTCATTGACTGAAATGTGATAAATGCATTTTCCATGAATCTACAATTTGCATTCACATTGCACTTATGATTAAATTATTATATTATTAAGGATGTGCACAGAAGTTGGTTTTGTGTCCTTTTTCCTGTGCTAATTTACTGTGATATGAAAAGTCTGATTGTATTGATTTTAAGGGGTTGGGGGCTCATAAGCTTCTTGCTTCAGTCCATTCCTTTTGAGCCGAATGATTACTGTTCAAATAAATAAATAAATTATTGGTATACATTGGTAAAATTTGTGGAATAAATCAGGATTTATATAGTAGTCATTAATTCATCAAAACTTATTTAACGCTTATCATTTATTCCAAGCTAGCAGAAGACATATACATGCTCCTGATATCTCTACATGTGTGTTATGCTATGTTGACAAGAATGTTGTGTGACAGTGTGCACTTAAAAAAAAAAAATCTTAATTTCCGTCTCAGCAAGTCACTGTCTCTGTGTCCTCGGCCAAGCGGAAAAAAAAAAGAATGCATGGTATTTCAATTATTCACTCCATGGCATAGGTGAAAAGCAAATGTGGATCTTACTTTTTATTGTCTGGTGCCTATTGTGGTGATCCTGGTTCAACACACCTGGTTTCACACCCACACAGAATTGGCATTTCTCATTCCTCATTAAAAACCCCAAACATTTGTAGCTCCACCACATCCTGTTGTGATCAAGTAGACTTTAACAAGCACCAGTATTGGTACAACTCTCGCAGAAATGCCTTCACTCGGCCTCATTTGTCTTCCATGGCTGCTTAGCTGGTTTAAAGGGCCTGGCCTGCATCTGCTCTCTCCTCTGTCCCTCAGCGCGGCAGTCATTTAGGTTGAGCTTGTCTATCATGAGCAGCACTGAACAAAGAGCTGGCAGACCTCCACCGTAACCCAATAGGGGACATGAAACACCGACTTCTGACCCCACATGGGCGCTACAGTGTGAGCCATCTGAGCTGCAGCATGTTACCGCTTGGCCCACTAAAGTAACTGTGACATTATTCTTCACTGGTAAATACAATTTGTTGAGGCGATGATAGGACTGGTGTGTTTTGACTGCAGGGGGAATATAGGGGTTGGTCCATATACGTTCCAGAACAGAGGAAATCCAGTCATTGTAATTTTATTGGAGTGACTGAACGCCTTACAAATTCACATCTGTTTTTCAGCTATGCGTAACATGTAAGTAGTAATGAGAGCGTTTGCCAGTTCCTAAAAGCCATCTGATTATCGTTCAAAGTCCCCACCACAACGCCACACCTTTGATATATACAACAGGACAAGGTATCATTCTTGCTTTTGATTGTTTTGTGGGAAGTTGCAAAAGATATTTCCCAGTTTGTGAAACGTGAGATTATTTGGTCTCTACACTGCACAATCATATGGGCATCCAGACCTGGAGACGGTGTCAAACAAAACATATTCATGAAAAGCAGTAATGAATACTAACTCTGTATTTTGATCAAGGATTTTCCAATGCTGAAATCTTCCATTGTGTATCAATCAAGGATCATTTTATTCTATGAGAAACAGAGAGTAATGTGGTTCTTCTCCCTATATGTGATGGAAGACTGTGCTCTGGACTATGAGACGAGAAGCAGTAAAATGCCCTCATTATGAAATTATTTGAAATTTCCCTACTGTGGGACAAATAAAGAATCTTGTGGAGAATGTTTGGACTGTATGATAATGTCAAGAATAACTAGATGTAAAAATGATGAGAATAAACATGTATAAAGAGCATGTAAACCTTTGACGTATCGACCTGCACTCCTTGGGTCTGCGTTGTGACTTTCTTGGGATGTAAAGATCAGTTCCGATACATTGTTTGTGTGAAACGTTGAGTAAATTGGACTGAGTGTGTCAGACAGAGCCCCCTCCGTGGCCCTGTTTCATGTGTGTGTTGTTAATAGCTGTTATACTGAAGTAGTTTATGACTCATGGTAAACTGGGGTCTTTACGGCCGCTCCACCTGTGAGTGCAGCAGCAGCAGCAGCAGCAGCAGCCGCAGCAGCAGCAGCAGCAGCACAGAATGGAGCAGCGCCAGACTGCGGAGAGGCGGCTGGTTCTAATAGTGAGAGTGAGGTCTGTGGTGACAGAAGAGCAAGGTTTGAAAGAGCTCCACATCCACTCTTGGCATCAGGACTATTTGAATATGCAGATATATACGACTGTATGTGACTAAGACTAAGAGAGTCAACAAAGAAGGAATTTAAATACAGAAAATGTAGTTACAACAAGATTTAACCTAAAGCCGGGGTATCTAACTTTTTCCGTAGAGAACAGATGTTCTTTATCCCAACAGAAAGAGTATTTTAAAAGTTATATTTTGTGAACAAGTCAAAAAAAACGCCGTCTTTATCTTGCTACCCTTGGGTCAAATTGACCCTCCATATGATTAAAATCAGACCCTTTTAGACCCTAAATTAGGATCTAAAAGGGTCTAAATGACCCAGGGCTGGTCAAGTTAGGGAAAGTCATTTAGCATATTTTTGAATCACTGTGGCAGGTCAATTTGATCCTAGGATAGTACAAGGGTTAAAAAGCATTTTTTTGGTAATTTTAAGAACGAGCCCTCCTGAAAGTGTAACTTTTCTGTTTGAAAATGTGGATCTAAATATAGTTACACATTACCAAGGCAAAAAAGACTGGTAAGACACAAGAGAATTTAAATATTGTTCACAAGTCCATTTACTGATGTAGTTCAAATCACAATGTGATATTAATATATAATATACTCAAATATTTGATGTGAATGATGCAAGTGAGATATATTCCTTCATTTGTTACAATGGTGATAATAATGGCTCACAGCTGGTAATACAAAGTCTTTGTAAATCAACAGTAAGCTACAGTATAATCATCACATGTATGAAAGACATATGTCACTTTGCATGTAATGCGTCTATATCATATATCGGTTTCACATTTTAGGTTGAATTACAGAAATAAATGAACTTTTGAACAATATTCTAATATTCACCTGTACATGCTTGTGAAGAGTGATCAAACTGTTTTAAAGCCAGGAACTAATTACAGGGTATATTTTCAGTGGTTTGGAAGTTAGGTACCCCAGCTTTTTTCATTATAAGTGTGTACGTATTTATATGTGTCAAAGTAACTAGCCTATATGCTTAAATCCATTGTTTGGCAGAGCAGGGAAAGTAGTGGGAAATATCCTGTATAGGCCATAATACCACTGGGTATGACTTTGACTACGTTCAGCACTTCAGAGCTTTAGGAATATCATTTGAGAAAAAACTGCACTGTATTTTCACATTTTTACATGCGGCAGCAGGTTATGACGGTCAATCAGCATTAAAGGTGATGACAAAATAAACATACATTATCAAATCAAAATGACTGGAAGTTTATACTAACAACATCCTTAAGGTATTTCTTTGAAGCCTCGTGGGCCCTGACCTGCTGTGAAACCCACCTCCTCTTTCTCAAGGATACAAGTTTGGACGACTTCCTCATCTGGTCATAAGTGATGGGAGAGACAGACATAATCTACACGCAAAAGAATAGGGAGTTTTGTTATGTTAAGTTATACATAATCCACAATTGCTCTGATATGTTCCTCACTGTTTTTTTGTATGCAATTGAGCATTCATACTATTTATCACGAGGGAGTTTTCTAAAATGCCTAATAAAGATGTGGAGCTGGGAATGAATGGATGCCAGATGGAACAGGGCATTGCAAGGGCACACAAAAAACAAAAAAAGTACAAGCTCCTATTTGCCACACACACACACACACACACGGTGCAACACAAGGGGGTTCGGACTGCAGCCATACACTCATATGGACGAAAACAATGCAAAGATTCCCCCGAGACTTTCTCCTTGATTCTGAGCCAACACATTCACAATCGAGGAAGTCCATGCTACCCCTCCTCACACTGACCCCCCTCCTGCATGCACCCCTCCCTCTCTTCCACCCCCCTCCTGTGTGGGTCCGGCCTGAGAAAGTGCCGGGTCTCGTTCCTCAGTAGATTTAACAGAGGCGAGCACAGAGCACAGTCGCACTCGGGATAGAAGCAGAGACAGAGAGTTGACCCCTCGACATGGACCTCAAACTGTTGCCCCTCGTGGTTCTGCTGGTGCTGGCCACACACGCGCCTCTGACCAACGGTGAGTGAGAACGTTATGGATGAGAATGTTTTTGTGTGACCCTGATCTGTTAAATGTGTGATATAGATAATAATAGGAATAAATATGAAATGTTGACTGACGTATGGGTGAAGAGAATTATGGAGAATTAAATGTCTTCTACACTAAAAATCATCTTAAAATGCATGGGTTCATTTAAAAAAGAGAGAGTACCTATTCATTTATTAGGAATGCCTTTGTTGAGATATTTGTTTTCATTGTATGGATGAGACTGGCTGCTTGCATCTTTTGTCATTTTATTCAATTGTTTGGTGATTTTATTATTATTATTATTAGTGTTATTAATTTTAACCTCGGTAAAGACATCATAGATATTCTATTCTATGCTGACTTTGTAATAAGTGCAGCACAGTTTTAAGATTCAATCAGTTGCAATGTACTGTTCCTATAAACATTTTCTTGATCGGACATTAATATATCTGATTTGTGTGAATACGTGGATGTTATATCAGTATTGAGATTTTTTTTTAAACTTTTACTATTTTAGATCTGTGATATTTTTAAACATTTAGAATGTAATCTTAGACTTAGCTGTTGAAGTGGCTGGATAGGGGTTTGGAGGAATGGGTCATAAAGCTTTATTTCATCATGTAATAATTGAGTATTGATAAAATTCAAATTAGTCAAAACAGTTTATGTACAATAGTATGTATAAAGATTTTTTGGTAAATATTTAGCACTTGGCACAATGACACATGCATTGGTCTGTTTAAGTGGCCCACACACCCCTGCCTTATGTCATATGCTAAGCGTGTTATTTTGACCCCACCGAGCTCTGCATATTAAGCCCGTGTGTGTATTTGTTTTCCTTTAATGACTTTCTAATTATAGATAAACAATACTATCTGCCTGATGCCTTGGCGTTGCAGTATGTTGCATAATGAGCCTCTGTTTTGCATGAGAAAAGAGCAGTGAGAGAGCCGGCCTCATAAGTGTGATATAAGTAGGATTTACCGTTTGTGGAGGGCAGTTGTCGAGGCGATGGCAAGGTGCATGTAAATACGGACATGTCACAACGAGAGATGTTTGGTTTCTGTGGAGGAAAAGGCCATACACGACTGAGGACGTCTGGATTGGTCACTTTGAACTGAGTGCAGGATGTGTCATTCTACTCTGTTATTAAGTCTGCCATATTTATCAGATTTTTATCAATTTAGTCATGTATTTGTGTTATTGCTGTAATTTACAGTCAATCCTGACAAAATCACAAACACAATTTGATTGGGACAGTGCACATTAATGCACATCTGTAAATACAGTGTAAATGAATGGATTAATGCTTAATTTCGAGCCATGGCAGACAAGAACATAGAACACCAACAAAACAACAACAGAATAGAAAGAAAAAAAACACAATACATATATAGTATCTTTCGTTTTATTAACAAAAAGTCAGCTCGAAAAGGAGTGGGAAGAAGTTAAGACGAAATAAGTCATATAAGATTTAAAAAAAGCTAGTTTACATCTGTTGTCCCTGGACAGAGACTTAAAACAAAACAGAAATAAACTTTCACAGGCATAGACACACAGCATAGAACAATAGTCTGACTTTTGTTCGCAGACTTGGTTTTCCTTCATCTACTGCTTCAGATGAAACATAAGTAAAGTGAGACAATCACTTATTGTCAAAGACTGTTCCAATAGTGCGTCCCTGATAGACTGCACATTGTGTCCAAATGTTGTGCGTCTGTGTGCTCCCTTACACCCAAAAAAACACAGGACAATAGCATGTCATCTGTTTATATGTCCAACTCTTTACTTGGGTTTTACAATTACTTTGTCAAAAGGCATAAAATAAGGTGTCCATTGGTCCATAATGGTATTCCTAAGCAGGAGGAAGTGTGCACGGACGTTTGGGAAGTTTGGGCGTCTCTGCTCACACTTCTACCTCCGCGACAAGGCAACGAATAAAGCAAAAGAAAATGGACATATAAATGTTATTGATTGATTTTCATGTTTTCCGCATTACATACCCTTGCCCCTTTTTGACCGTTATAACGTGTTGTTAGAAGCAGCTATAGAAGTGCTGCACTAGTTGGCTGAATGATAATGGTTGAGTGGAGGTGAGTGCGGCTGCAGCTGGAGTGGCCTTTACAAATCAGTCTGAATATTGGAGTTTGGAGATTGGATGTGGAGGGCCCTCATCTATGAGAGGCCAGTGAATGCATCGTGAACGCACAGAAAGAGTAGCTCTAATCTCTTTTTAATGAGCTGCTTGGTGTTCGGACTGGAGCAGGTAACTTCATAAAGTCCCAAGCTTATTTAAGAAAGATTGCACATGTAAATCACTTATAAAAGTCACTTTAAGTCACTAATGACCTGCACTAGGACTTAAAAACCAGCACTGCAATTACCACTTTTTATTGTACATAATTAAATCCTGCACAGACTATAATTAACCTTAACATCTTTAACCTGAACATGTTGCACACTCCTTTCTTTTTGCACAATCTATGGCATAATTCTATTATGCCAAATGTGACATACAAATGTCTCCATTGTGAGATCAAAAAAGTTTAAATAATATCCTATATATGAATGTCTGTTTTGAACTAAGATCATAGGGAGAATAGATATACATGACAATAACCAGTACGCAATTCATAACTAACTCATTTCAAAAGTTAGCTTGACAGATTACATTATTTAGCACTAAAATTCATCATCATCAAACTTTCATCACAGACTTATGGTCCAATGAGTATTAATGTACACAATCGAGTTATTTTTTGAATTAGAAAATGTATAGGATCTTTGAAAATATGTGACCTAAGATCTAATGTTCATTACTACTACTACTACTACATGGCAGTGAGGAACTTTCGACAATGTTTAAAAGCTTAACCACTATATAAATGATTCTATATACACTTTTGTACGCATGTGTCTATAACTTTGTGCATATTTGTGACTCAACAGCAAAGCCCATTAGCCTGGTGGAGCGCTGCTGGTGCCGCTCCACTCTCAATACCGTCCCACAGAGAAGCATCAGAGAGCTCAAGTTCCTGCACACGCCCAACTGCCCCTTCCAAGTCATGTGAGTCCTCAAACACTCAAACACTCAAATACTCAAATACCTGCCTGCAGCAAAGCGTGGCGTCTTTTCATGCACACCTCATGAACAGAGAGTTATATTGGGGCTACATCGCTTTGATGCATCTGCAGATATGAGCTACGTGCAGTTTCAAGCATTCATACTCCCAGTTATGAACTCATTACATCTATTTTCATCAGTGGTTTCCAAACGGTGAGACAAGAACGTAGGCTGGATGATTAGGTTCTGTTCTTATTTTAAAACAAAAGCTGCATTTTTGTGTTATTAGACACAGTGTGATGTATGGCAGCGATATCCTATTATTGTGTGACCTTCGCAGAAAGGAAAGTGTAACGGCTCTGTCTGTGTGTAATGAAGGAAGCAATAACTATGGGTCAAAGTGATATTCTTTGTCTCACTGCAGACCCATTGTCTGAGACAGTGCAGTACACGGCGATGTGAACAATCAATGACATATTTAGCTATGATGTATTTCATAGGGATTGCATGATATGGATTATTTTGGTTTTTGTTTATTTTTGAATAAGCAGTTTTTCTTAGAAGTTTGATGTGGAGCAGAAACAAGGTGGAGCTCTGAAACTTTATAAGTGACAGAGGACGACTAAAACCAACTACTAAAACAGATCATTTTAATTCGGGAAACAATTGAGCTCCGGGATTCAGGAGTTCAAGTTGCAGTTCTGCTACTTTGGTGTCTAAAGGGTTAAGAGTGAAGTTATAGTAACGTAAAAATAATAAAGTAATCAATAAATATAGACAAATATGAGTTGTATTATGTGTGCTTATGTTGCTTCGTATTTAAACTGACAATGCAACTGGGATTGAGAATCGCAAACTGGCTTAGTGCAGGAGTATCAAACAAGTTCAATCAACATTTCAGAATTAAAGTATTAAGTCATTTGTGATATAGTTCACACCAGATACAACTATGAAGCGACTCAGCCACGGCTTGGGGCTGGCACAAGTCCGTTTTGTAAACAAGTATACAGCTATTTTTCCTATAATTAAATGCATTTATTTATTTTGTATCAAGCCACAGTATTTTCATTGTGTCTTTGGAAACCATAATATTGGGAGGGGGGGCATGATGAGTATTTTAAAGGTGAAATAGTGGTGAAAGGTAAAAGGAGCAATCATCCCGTCACACCTATCCACAGGAGGCAAATACTCATATCTGTTTTAGCGACAGATGAAAGACAGGACCGTAACACTATCCCCTGCTCTGTCCACCCCCGCCCTGCCCCAGCCCTGTCCCATCACACTCAGGCATCCTCGCATGTTGTTGGTCTTAAATCACCGTGAAGTAATTACTACCTGCTGCTAGTGGAACCCCAGTGCCCAAATTCCAGCCAAGTCAATTAGGACAAAGGGGGGGGTTTTGCCCGTTTGTCCCGTCCCCAGACGGGACAAACGGGCCGAAAGGCAGACACATCAAAACACAAGCAGATGAGCAGATGAGCAGGGCCACCCCAAATAAAACACAGGCAGGAAGCGGGGAGGCAAAGGCAAACACGGTTATAGAGTGTGGGACAGCAGGGTGCAAGCCTGGTGTGATGTCTTTGTGTTGAAGAGATGTCTCAAGCCGATCCAAAAAGTATTAGAAATGGAAATACATGCTGTGCTGAGTATATGAGGCGTGTTATAAAGGAATATTTAGATATGAGGACAATACAAACAAAAATAAATATATTTTAGACAGTGGCTAACCCATCTAGCATTGAGATCATATATTTTAATCTACGGTACTACGGTAGCTTTGCAGAACATTATAGCGTCTTTTAAAGTGGTCCCCAACTCCCGGTTAAACACCTTTTTGTCCCTTATCAACCACTGTATTTCAAGATGGCGCATTGACATGGAGAGTCCCCCAGCCTCATGGACATTTATAAGTCAATATCTAAGCCTGTGACAACAATTCAAAAACATGGTGAAGGTAAATATTCTTAGAACAGTCACATTTGTTATTGGTTAACATGGTTTTTCATTTGGACAAACTGTAAAAATTCCACAGCGTACCTTTAAATGTGAAAGAAAGGACAAAACAAAGTGAGATTGAAATCTATTGAAATATCTAAAAACGACAGAATAATAATTTTTAGGCCAAAAAAACAATGTTGGTCAAACGATTAGTCGATTAAAAAGGGGGTGTGGCAAAAGCTCAGAGAACTAAAAGATTGTGGCCATAAAATCAACTAAAAACTGTTGATTTTATGGTCACTATTAATAATGAAAATTGCACCTCGTAAATTGAGAGATTGATCTAGATTTATTATCAAAGTAAATACCTCAGAAAAAAATATAAGTCATGGAACAAGTTAATGCAAGTTAACAAGTTAATCGTTAATGCATGCAGTGTTTGGTTGACCGATTAATGGAATGACTGTAGACTGAAAACCCTTATAATATTGAATACAGTAAATAAGAAAACATCAAAGTGACCATTTTTGATAATAATTCAAGCCACTTTACAATTATTATGATTATTTAACAATGTTGCATTTTGGTGCTCCATATTTCCCATGTATTTTGTTTTCTCATTTCATTTTTACTAGAGACTTTTGCAACTTTTCTTATTCTTTATTCACTACAGCTTATTCCAACAGGCCATTCTATAAATATCAAACTGTTTGAGATGATCTTGCTCTATGTTATGTCTGTGTCGAAATTAATATGTTTCATTATTATCTTTTATCATCTCAATATATCTCCGCAGTAATACGCTGCGCTTCACACCGTGTTATCACTATTTGACCACATCATCAAGTTGAATAAAAACCATTACCACTAAAATCAGAGCGATTACTGACATCATAAAGCCGTGTAGGAGTACGGATGTCTTGTGGCATGATTTTAGGAGGACAGACCAGAAGAGCCAGGACTCGTGCTCACACCCGGGACCTTTGCCACCGAGGCGTCAGATCCACATGTTTTTGAAAAGTGCCCGAGTCTCCGAAGCCTCCCCCTCGCCTCATGTGAACATCATTCTGATAACACACAAATCCACTCATAAATATTTAGCTCAAACATCACTCAACCGCTGCTTTGAGGCGCAGCGTGAGAAACAAGTCCTGTTCTGCGAAGAGAAGCGGCTCAAGCAGCGGAACGGGAAAAATATGCACATTTCAATATTTCAGCATTCGTAGTAATAATAATGATACTTAAGGTCACTGTGAGAGAGGTTGTTTTAGCTGTGCTTGAAATGTAGTGGATGGATTGCAGTGACAGAGTAGAACTACACTCAGATAAGTATTTTTCAAATTAAATCAGAATCAGAATCAGAATCAGAATCAGAATCATTTTTATTGCCAACGTAAGTAACGGGAGGTCACAGACTTGGAAATTGCTTTGGCTCAGTGCAACAGTCAAAAAGAGATAATAAAAATAAGAATAAAAAACACTTCTAAAGAATAAATTTAAATTTAAAATAGAGTTACAGTTACTATTTACAATATACAAGTGCACATGGTGCACACAATGTAAGGTGACAGCAGTACAGTGAAGTAAAGTGACATATGATGGGCAGTAAAGTGACTTTATAAAGGGCGGGGGGACAGGTTAAGAAGTGTTCAAGAGTCCAACAGCAGAGGGGAAGAAACTGTTCTTGTGGCGGGAGGTTCTAGTCCTGATGGACCGCAGCCTCCTGCCTGAGGGGAGTGGTTGGAATAGTCCATGTGCAGGGTGAGAGGGGTCGGCTGTGATACGACCAGCCCGGCCTCGAGCTCGGGCGACGTACAGGTCCTGCAGCGATGGAAGGCTGCGGCCGATCACTTCCTCTGCAGAGCGCACAATGCGCTGTAGTCTCTGTTTGTCCCTGACTGTGGCTCCAGCGAACCACACGGTGATGGAGGAGGTGAGGATGGACTCGATGATGGCCGTGTAGAACTGCACCAACATCTGTGCAGGCAGCTTGGCTTTCCTGAGCTGCCGCAGGAAGTACATCCTCTGCTGTATCTGGTTTGTTTTGTTGGAAACAGACTCTCACACACTGTACTTCCATACACCAGTGTTTTTATGTACAAATGAGCAATGTTCACGGCTAAAATTGCTGCTTATGTGTGAATTAAAACACTGGTCTATGCAAGTACAGTGTGTGAGAGCTTAGTTTGGCTCAGCTGTGTGCGTTTCCTGCTCTTACGCACCTGTCACATAGTCGGATGTGCAAGGTTCTCTGATTTTACTGTATATTTATTGTCATGAAGATATTATTGATGTTCAACACCCTCCAAATGACTCGAGGGAACATTTACCACATATAAACTTTAAAAGCCTGTATTATTGTCTTGTCTTGTGAGGTCTAACTAAAAGGACAGTGGTGATGATCCCGGACACTTAACAGTCAATAACACTTATGGACTTATGGTAATCTGTGTTTTATTCTTTTGTGTTGATTCTCTGATCTGTGTTGGCGAATTCAACAGTTGTGTAAAGTCCTCCGAGATAACTACTGCTGTGATTTAGGGCTATACAAGAATAAATTGAATTGAATTGAATTATTTCACCCACTGGGGCCTCATACACCTTGTTGGGAGAGTTTCGTGATGGTTGAAATTAATTTGGCTCTACTCACAAAATATCATAATTTCAAACTCACAAAGAATTCTGTATCTAAAAAAAAAAGAATACTCCAACCAAACAGCGATCAAGATCAAAGAAGTTCACCAAGTTGTTAGTTCGACAGCTTTATGAGTCACTGACATTGAGGCTTTTGAGTCAGAAATAGCAGCTGGGTTTCACCACTAACAGGCCCGTGACATACTGTTAAAATCTATAATCCCTGGATTAAGTTTTGACCTATAGGATGTGCTTTGTTTAACCACGGTTCAGATTTTGTTAACTTAAAAAGGGTGTTGTGACAGCTTCAAAGAGGTGATCCCTTGGTTATACGTTGTGGCAACAGCCATTTCTTCATCACTTAATTTATCTTTAAGCTGTGTTTTTTATTTAATCTCCAATAGGATGAAAGATGTATGTTTAGATAGGATTTAGTGAATGGGGTTAAGTATTTCCTCCTGAACTTTTAGAGCCCATTAAATATTTACCAAGTTGCTCGAGTTTCTTGAAGTGTTCTATTACCATTTGGAAATTCACTTGTGTTTTCTTCCTCTACAGAGCCAAGCTGAAGAACAACAGGGAAGTGTGCATCAACCCCGAGACCAAGTGGCTTCAGCAATACCTAAAGAACGCCATTAACAAGTGAGAAAACACACTCCACTCTTCACACTGCTGTAGGCATAAATCTAGTGCTTTAGCCGACCCCGAGTGCCACTTAAGAACACATAAACCTCTGGAGCTGGCAGCTTCTCTCTGAAACGTACACAGTAAGTGAAGGATTATCTGTGAGATTATTAGCACAAGGCTAAATCTACAAGCTGTCAGCGCAGTCCAAGATCGCGTCATTTATAACACAAGTTTGATGTGAGGAACGTCAACTCCAGAACTGCAGGATCTACAGATATTCCAGAAATACTTCAGTCAGACCGAGTGTCATCCTGCAGCAGTAACAGCAGATTTGTAACAGAGATTAGAATATTGTTATTCTTTATGGTGTATATTGAGTTTCTAGTTTACTTTTAGATGTTTTAGATTTTTTGATGTATTTGCTTCTTCAGATTGCATTTACATTTTGCCTTGCATATATTTTGTCAGACGAAACGAAAACGCTATTAAACAAATTAACTTACTAAAAAATTTAAGATTCTTCAGATTCTTTCCATTAAATCGGTTACAAAGTCGACTTCTTTGAATCAGGACAGTGTACGATTAGTGTCAGAAAAAACACCAGACCATATTTAAGTTAAAGCCATTTCAATAAAATAAAAACCCAGACAGACAAACAGATTCAACAGAATAAGGTTTACTGATGTTTGAATCACATTTGCAACTAAATCATCAGACACTTAAGAACCAGGGAGACGTAGTCTAATGAGAATGCTGATCAGTGAGTAAGTTGGTACATAAAATATTTGATATGGTGTTGGCGCTTGGCCCCCGGCAGTCATATAGTGTCCCCAAGAGATGTTCCAGAACCTCAGAACATTGGCTGTAGCTTTATTCATGTGATGTTTTCTTTTCTGACACTTTAACAGAACCATATTAGAATAGTGCATTAGCAACACGTTAACAGTAAACCACTGCAACTTTACAAGCAGCACAGTTAAAATAGTGCAGGCCTCATAAAATTATATGAGAATTATTTGTCTGGGGATCCTTATGGCCCCGCAGCATGTCTTTATTTACACACTATGACATGCTGGAGCATTGAATCAATAAAATTATACTTTTTACAATGGTTCATTGTTGGTTGTTTTGTGTTAATGTAAACATGATAAAATTGTGAGATGTGTCAAATTGATATCATAACGTGAAAGTGTGTGGGTCAGTTTGTGGTCTTCAATAACCCACACTGTAGTCATGAGATTAGATGACTATGTTTGGTTATGTTTTGTTCTAAAGATTCTGTCCCCGTAAATATAACCACTAATGTTGTTAATGGTAATGAATGTGATTTTGTTAAAGTATTAAGTTAATTTGGCAACTGTCAATTGGATATGCAAGGAATTCTGCACTCACATGATGATCAGGCTATAGGCTCAGAGATGCCCTGGGGTAGACCAGGTAGATATTACACAATAGATCCATGGGGTAGACTGACGGAACTAACATTTCTTCACTATTAGCAACAACCACCACCACTGTCACCATTTATGTCCTTAAGCAAGTGTTGTAAGTTTCTTGTTATGGACAAAACAACAGTATGCACAAACAAGAGCCACTGAACTTTGGGAGAAGGGCTGGGGATCTTTCAGAGCCACTAAAACAATAGCATCTCAATACATGATATGATGCATAATTTACAGTAATTAAAATACATTTATATTTATCCAAACATCACTGTTTTTAGCAGACCCCTAAGCTATTCTCAGAAGTTTCCCATCTCAGAACTGATAAGGCAAGACCCTGCTTAGCTTTTACAAAATGACATCATTCAGCAGCAAAGTGTGAAATAAATTAAACTAACTAAAGTTATCACAGACTTGAAATCTTTATGGATTAAATAGAATAATGAATATGATGAGAATGTCAAGAAGTCACTAGTTCATTCTGTGTTTAAATTCTTTTGTCAGACCTGTGTTGTGTAGAGAACATCTTTGTCAGTTGTGATTGTGTGAGCGAAGAATAGGCCCATCGCACACAAGAGGAATCATGGAAGAAAATGTCATCTTCACTCTTTTCTCCAGTGTGAGATCAATAAAGACTATCTTATCTTATCTTCTCTTCTCTTTCAGGGTGAAGAAGTCCAGAAGACGCAACAACAAGAAGCCGTAATTTCTGAAAGTCTACTGCGTCAGCCGTGGTTGCTCCAGGGTGAACCCGTATATACCTCCTCTTTTATCACTGCTATGGATGTATTTAAACATGCTGTATGCACCCATCACCTCTCTGCTGGACTGCCTTAAAACAGCACTTCACCCTCAAACAGCATCAACTCAAGACCAACTGTGAACCACAAGACACCTTTTATAGCCTGTTACAACCACCCGGGACTGTGGAGACACTTCTTTTCTTTTAAATATTCTCTTCAGGACAGTATTTTGTATATTGATGGACATTGATATCCAGTGTAAAAATGGTTTGTCTTGGGACCAGTTCAAACTAATACACATTCCAACTAAAATGTATCATAATGGTGTCACCGGCCCCTAAAAGGTTTGATAATTAACCAAAGGAGATTTAGTAAAAACCTTCAACTGTAGTGAGTATGTACCAAATGTACTAAAAGTGACCCATCATAACGGACAGCTCTGTGGCACTCCAATTTACATGATGTTGTGTTGACATCGGGACAGCATGACACTTCCTCATTGAATGTGATTTAAATGACCACATTACAGCAAATCATAAAAACATCAAATTCTCCAGAGAAGGCCCAAACCAAGTTGAGCATCAACGTCTGGAGATGGGTCCTGGTGGGCTGCCCTAGTGGCATTGAAGTCTGGGTCAAATGCAGGAACAATAATCTAATCTAAATACTGTACTTACTGTATGTCCTTATGTTGCTACAGTGATTTGAGTAATTCTGAGTAAAAGAAGTATCCTACATTGAGTCTATGTGCAGTATGAAACAGGAGAGACGTTCACTGATCTCAGGTGATCCAGGTTTATAGTATTTATGGTATTCGTACTTCTGGTCATGATACTGGTTTAAAGGAGAACTCCAGTCTGTTAGGAGGGATTTTGATACAAACCCAGTGAAAGTAAAGGAGCTCTCTTAATGCAATCAGATATAACTAAATATCACACCCTCGCGCTATTAGCAATGTGAGATTTTAAATGGATATTGTCCCATTCCTGAATGTGCCTAATGCATCTCTACGGACTTTTTCCAGTATTATATCAGACAGATTTTGAGAATGTTTTTTGATTCCAAAGCTCTATGCCAATCACTGCTGCTTTTATTACTCCATCACAACACCATAGTTAGAACATCAGGGCGACATACTAAACATGTCTAATGCTAACTGCACACAGAGGGGTAACATGGTATTATGCTGTGCTGATATGTGGTGCTAAATATATGCAGTATACTGAATGTTTTTAAGATTCATTATAGCCTCTGTTTTTTACGTTATGTTTCGACAGTCACAGATTTTAAGTTGTGATCCTGAGTGTGTAATATGTGGATGTTGATGAAGAGGAACTGCAGTTGTTACGAGAGAGACAAAATAAGTGTTTATTCGTTTCTATTCTGCTGCACATATTGTGATGGCTAATTTAGGAACTACGTAATTATTCTTTATCAGTACAGTTGAATGCAGTATTTTCGTACCAACACCGGTCCTTAGTAGGAACGTAAAGCTAATGAGTCGTAACAGCTGCAGGGAAGAGATGATAAAAGAGAATGGCAATGAAATTGGAGCCCATTTTTATTTTATGATATAAATATATATATATATATGTTGAGCCACTTTATTATGAGATGTTTATTTTATATGTAACTGTTTATTTTTATTGTCTATAATCTTACTAAATGCTTCTTAATGCAATGTACAGTAGATGTCATGATAGCAAGTAAATGAAGGTTAGAACCGGGAGGATGATTTCATGTTTTTAATTTAGCCAACCCTCAAGTCAAATGAAGACTTTTAAAGAGGTAAAAGCACATGTTTGATCATAGCAATAGAAAACTTCTCAGATCTTAAAGACAAGTTTACAGGAACTAAAAGTAATTATATTTATCCATTTCAAACCTTACCATGACAATAGCAATTTTAACAAGATGCTGACACCTATAAAATTGTTCCACAGTGGTCCCACAGTCACCCTTTAGGCGTCTCATTTTTCAGAAATGTGATGTGAAACCATATACTGTATATACTGTAGATGGAAAATGCTAACCCTCTAGTTCAATGAAGCCTAATAGGGAAGTGCTTGTGGAGGAAGTTTTGCTCCTACTCACTCTGGCTCCTATTGACTTACATTGAAGAGTAAACTCCGTAGCTCAGAATTTGTGTTACAATAACCATTTTGGGCAAACAATCCATGGTTTAGCACTCTCTGTGATCCTGGTGTTTATATGTTTATACTGACTTTGTAAATCCATTATTGCAAGGGAAACTCAATCTTGCCTTAGAGACCACGTTAGCAACACATCTGCCCCTGTTACAGTACAAAACTAACCCCGTAGAGAGAGAGAGAAAAAAAAAGCCTATACAAGGAAATTGGTTCCAGCTAGCTTAAGTTCAAATCAGCTTCTTCCACATTTGGAAGAAGCTGGGTCACATTTGGACTTTGGGTCACATCCCCACTCCTAATATACAGTCTATATGTGAAACGAACAAAAGGTGGCGCTGTGAATCTTTATATGAGATAGTGGACTTCTAAAATCAATGAAATTCAAGGAAAAAGATGCAAGAAACATGTAATGGAACGTTTGTGGGAAGCCAGATCGCTGTATAGAAAGTGTCCCGGATTAGACGCCTAAAGGGCTATCATTCCTCTCATGGACTAAATCAGTCAAAGTGACCCATAAGACATAATTTCTTTAATAAACACTAAGAACCTCATATGTCCAAGCCTTGACGTGCCTTTTTACAGCCTCCCCTCACTCACGTTGATGTATGTTTGGTCAAAAGGCCACAATTCAAGCTTTGAGATGAATCCAACATGTGCTTTCAATCAAGACACTCCCCGCACACAGCAGGCTTTTCTTTTCACATTCACTCAATTGTTCCTCAACTCAATACCTTTGCATCTCTCCCTGAACTTGGCGTAAAAGTCCCAAAGGTTCTGGTCAGTCTTATCAGCGCTGTTACAGTTATTTGGTGCAATTGGTCACGGCGAGCTATTTTGGTTTTGTGCTTAGAAACTGCTTCATCTAAAAATGGAATATGAAACTACTTTTAAGGCAGCTTCACAATTATCTAAATGTATTAGTCCTTTTGTAAAACCAAAGTCAGTATTTTGGAAACAATACTCTTTTTTAATAAAGTAGTTTGCTATCAAATGATTGTGTGTCTTTTCTTTTTTTATTGGATACAACATATTTTAGTATTGTGTGAGAGTTTAAAGCAGCTTTGTCAAACTGGTTCCAGAAAGAGCTGCAGGTTTTACTTCAAACCAAGCAGGAGCACACCACACCCCATCCATTTTAGTCTCTAGGTTAAAAAAGGGCAGTGTCTGCTTGGTTAGAATTCAAATCAGCAGCCACACCTGCTCTTTGAGGACCGGTTTTAACCCCTGGATGAAAATCAAGGCTATTATTCAGTTCTTGTATTCATTGAATGGCAGAAATTAAATTGTTCAATTATTTTGTCTTTCTGTTTTAGATTATAGTGTTTTATTTACTGTATATGCACGCTTCTTCTTCCTCATCATCACTGTGCCCTTTATTAAAACTTAGGTTGGCTTTCACTGTCGGAAAGGTAAAGGTGCACTTCAATCCTCTGCATTTGATCCTGCATACGTCAGGAGCATTGGTCGCCGTAGTAACAGCGTAGGAACTCATCTGCAGATGTTGATGCTCGGCTAAGTCAGGGCTGCCGGAGCTGGAGGATTTAACCTAGTGAGCATGTTTTTAGTGGTAGGGGAAACCGGAGTACCCGGAGGAAAACTACGCAGGCACGGGGAGAACATGCAAACTCCACTCAGAAAGACCCTGTTCCGACCGGCATTCGAACCCAGGACCTTCTTGCTGAGAGGCGAGAGTGCTATCCACTCAGCCACCGTGCCGCCTAAGGGCCACATTGTATTACCATTATCTATAAAAGACTTATTGAATTATAATTGTATCAAAATAATTGTGCATGATTTTAACCATTTTATCATTGTTGTACTTTGAGACCACCACATATGAATAAAATACCAGACAATTATGTTTTGTGTTTAAACAGGCTCTATGTTTTGAAGAGAGTGAAAAGCACATGGATGGTCAAACTATGATATTGTTTAGCCGAGAAAATCAAGGGGATAGTGCAGTGGTGGTCGGGTCACACAATCTGCTTATTTGATGTCAACATGTTGTTAGACGGATCGCCCTCGGTGTGGAACCTGCGCCAAGCACTTCTCATTTCAAATCAAAAAGTAGCCAGAGGAACAAAATGAGCACATGGAGGCACAGCTGAGGGAGGTCAGTGCCGTAGAATTAGGTTAAATAAAGATGGACTTAGGTTATTTGAGTTGAAGTTAATAAAAGGTGGCTGCATGTGTGGGATAAAGAGCATTACAAGCTCAAATCAGAACACTCTGGAGACTAACTTGAGGAGAAATGCCTGAAACAATGTATCCAATATTACGGGAACCAACTCTTCATGAATAAATTAGTGTCAATTGGCATTTTCCTCCAAAGTCTGTCCACACAAGCCCAAAGAAAACCTTCTGAATAATCATGTTAATTGTGTAAAATGGGGTATTATTATTATGATATGTATTTAAAATGAATCAACTGTCTCGCAGTTCTCACAAAGTCTTTGGATAATATGAACTTGAACCTGACCACACTGCATTCATGACCCACAGCTCTGACTTTGGGGTTTCTATAAGGAGAGGGAGGGTCCGTTCAGGCCAAGCGTTCAATCTGATGAACTACTCTATCCTACAAGTTTATGTTTATCAGAGTTCAAATCTCTATCTTCTCATTATTCATGTATACAGTTGTGTTTCACAGTTTACAAACCCAGACAGAGCTATATTTTTAGGACATATTTCAAAGATGATGAACGATAACACAAATACTTTTTCACTCTTTATTAGTGGTTGTGTGACGCCATTTATTATCAAATGGACATGTTTTCTATTTTCTATTCAAATGACCCAAACTCACCCGAGGTTTCTCACCTTTTCCTTCTGGGTTTTGGAGCTGTTCCTTGCCGAGGCATGAGGGTCTGTTACCCTTGTCTGGGTCTAACTAAAAGGACAGATCCAGGACACTCAACATTCAACAACATTTATGGACATTGGTCATCAGTGTCTAACCTCTCCTGGACCATGCACACTACATCACTGGTCAAGAAAAGTAATCAGCGTCTCTACTTTCTCCGCAAGTTAAAAAGAGTCCCAGCCTCCGTTGTGTGCAACTTCTACAGAGGGACTGTAGAGAGCATCCTGACCAGCTCCATCACTGGGTGGCACGGCACCAGCACTGCCTCCTGCCGAAGGAGCCTCCAGCGCATCGTGAGAGCAGCAGAGAAGATCTGTGGAGCCCCTCTCCCCTCCATTAAGGACATGTACTCCACCCGTCTCACCCGCAAAGCCGTCAGAATCACCAGGGACCCTAGGCACCCATCACACAGGCTCTTCAGGGTAATGCCTTCAGGGAGGAGACTGCAGAATTTACAGAACAGTTCCAGTCGACTTAAAAACAGTTTCATTCACAAGGCCATCAGGAAGCTGAACTCCCTGCCCTCCCTCCCACCCCTCTTCCCCCACCCCCCGCTCCATCGAGGATGAGAGAAATATAATTTCAAACCATTCACTTGGTTTGAAAAATAAAAAAAATCTTGAATCAGCCCCTTATGGACCAATTGCTCTATGTGTTTTATCATCGTTGGCGAATTAAACGGTGGTGTTAAGTCCTCTGAGATAACTGGTGTTGTGATTTATGGCTATACAAGAATTAATTGAATTGAAATGACTAGTTATCAATAGCTTGTTTTGCCTCTTTAACATCTGTTACAGCTTGGAGACTTCTGTGGTAGTTGTGGATGAGGTTCTTTATCCTCCTGAACCTGATGGTAAAGCTGCCCATTCTTCTCTGCAAAAAGTCTCCATTTCACTTCCTCTAAATTCCTGGGCCACCTTGCATGAACTGCGCTTTTGAGCAGCTAAATAATATCATAATTTTAAAATAAACACATTTATTTGACAATATATGGCATCACTTAAGCACAAAAGATGTTGTGTGATCATTTAGAATCTCCAAAATATGTGCTAGGCTCTAGAATAAAATCTGGGTGCAAAGTTTCAAGCTCAACTCTAGGTTCAACTTTATTGTCCCCTCAGCGAAATGTGTCTTCCCTGTTTAAAAGGTGCAACATTTCTAACACCTGCTAGACTCGATGTACTGACTTCCTTGGATGTCTTGTCTAGCTACCAAAACAATTCTTAAAATCCTGAAATCAGAGGAGGGACTGAGCAGACATATTTGCCACCTGAATATAATCGCAAAAACATTCACCATTTCCCAATTTCAAAACAATGACATATGGGTGCAAAGTTCTGACGGGATATTGTTTTGCACTGGTTGCTTGCACAGCTCCACAGGGAACACGCAGAACTGTGCAGACGTCTGCTTCAATAAAGTCGAACCTCGTCGACGGGTTTCATTTCACGGTACAGTTCTGCACTCTGACCCATCTGTGGATACGTCCGTGAACGTGAGACCAGCTTTGGGCCGCGATCAGGGGCGCACGGGTCAGAGAAACTGGTTTGGGCCTTTTGAGTGCATTCAGAAATGATTAAGGGATTTCTGCTTGTGCTTTCTCAGCTGAGGCGGTGATTGAGGGTAAGTTGACAACTGTACTAAGTATGTTTTACCGACATCGAGAGCAGATCCAGTTCATGTCTTTGGCAAACAAATCAAATTCTCTACAGGTTGATACAATATTAGACTAATAAAATAAATGTCGAGTGGGCTGATACAAACTTGAGCCAGACATGAATGAGAAGGAACTGTTGATATAAGTGGTGTCAGTTCAATAAACAAAATAATTGCATCATATTATTACATTTAAGAAATCTTTTCCTATCTCACCAGAGGCCAAATGTAAACTAATATATGTAATACAACACCTGGTGAACCTTGTGATGGCTTTAAAAACTCTACCTTATTGTAATAGAATAAAATAGTTGCAAATCTGAAATATGGAATTAATACTGTATTCAATAAGAGCATGCTAAGGCCTCAAGTTTTGGCAGTAAGATATTAATGCAATAAATCATCCATGCCAAAGTCAGTGCCAAAGCCAATTTTCTTTCTATAGAACTTTTACAACTACCACGGCTACTCCTTCACACACATCATAAACAGCCTAAAAGTGAAGGCAAAAAAAAAACCCCTTTTTTTTGTACAATATATATTATGCATCAAAACACTAAGAACACCTTGAGGTATAAGGTAAGGTGTGATTATTGTCCCTCTGCCTTTCCCCATCCTTCCCATCCAGGTAAGTTTATGCTCGGCTTGGTCAGGACTACCGCAGCTGGAGGATTTTGTCCATATTCTCCTTGTTTTGGACACTGCTCTGCGTCCACAACTCAAACTACAACATCATCATAAATAGTCTGTTTAACTCCACTGTGGTTCATGCTTACAAGATTATTTTAATGGGTGTAAGTTTGAGAGATTACAGCAAAAGCACTTTAATTGTTATATAATAAATACAATATGTCACAATTTAAAGACATTTTGAGCTGAAACATCAACTCTAATGTCTGAAGTCAGATAGCATGAGGCAGTTGGACGACAAATTGCAGCTGGTTTGGTGCAGAGAGTAATGGGTAATCCACGGTGATTTCAGGCCCTTTTTACGATGCTGAACGCCTTATATGAGGCCGACTCGGTGTTCGGTAATGGGAAACATGCTGCTGCTGCGGACCGTGCTGTGTGTCAGTCTTATTCAGACACTGGGAGTTAACAGACGGCTGCAACACATTTTAACATTTTTGTACATTTTTGAATTATGATTTTTACTGTTCTTGTTGACGTATTGTTTTAAGACAGTTGAGATAATTCATTCACTTCACATTCATCCATTTGCTCAATTCCTGTCCACATTAATTCATCCTTTAACATTAACTCCTCAAAGAAAGCAATGTATTTTTTTCTTTTTACGTTTTTTTAACCCCTATTTGTTTTGTTATGCTGTTACCAAATGGTTAAGATGCAGTTTGATGGTAAAAGGGCCAAAAACCAAGTGAGATGCCCCAAAGAGGTATATTTCAGTTCCAAGCATGTTTTAAGTAGATATATTGACTCAAAAGTTGATTAACCATTTCTGTCTGTCTGTTTTGACCAAAAAGCCATTTGACTGTCATTTAATGTGATGTCATTATTAGAAATCAGGAAGTAAAATGTGAAAAATATTGACAAAGTGAGAATTAATTTATATAATAATCATTCTTTCTGACTGTGATTTGTGCAATGAAAAAAGTCTAACCTGTCATAAGCTTTTTTAGTGAAGTGAATCCAAATTAGATTTAAATTGATGTAATGGTACAGTGCATGCGTTCTGCTTCACTTACTTCACAGTCTGTTTTTATAGCAAGGTTTCATGCTACGGCCGATTGCCTCCATCAGTCACATGTGTCTCTATAGCAGAGCAGTGACCCTCATACGCCTGTGCCCTGCAACCCCCTGCAGAGACCCCTCCATACACCACAGAGAATGCAAATGTGGAAGTGATTGTGAGAGTTAGGTCAATATAGAACTACATGTACCATAATGCATCACTTTCCAATGAAGCAAGATAACTGTATTGGAACTTTATGATTCAAAGTTATGCAGTCAGATGTTTTAACCAATGCAAAATGTCCTCAGATGTAAACATAGCCGGTTCTGTGAATTTGGCGAAAATGAAAGAAGCCGAAAAAAGGTGAAGAAAGTAATAAATATGATAATATGTAATATAATGAGACAAAATTAGAGAGGTCCTACAGCCTCACTTTGCTCTCAGCCCAAAGTGTTAGTGACAGGACACATTTTTACAAGTCTGCAAAGGATAACATGTTTATAATAAGCTGAAGGACATATTGTGTGGATACTTTTACAAGACGTACAAAACAGCATGCATTATTTACAGAAATGTCAGCTTTAAGTCTTTTAAAGTATTAACATTTAGTATGGATTGTGCCAATTTTGTTAAAAAACTACTTTTTAACCAAATATTTTTACTGAGATTTACTCATGGTTTCATTTTTCTTTTTTGAGAGGCTGTTTTAAAACCTTTCAAGTTGTTGATATTTTTACTACATTCTAAAAGGCTTATTCAGGAGAAGAAAGTAGAAAATACAAAAATAAATAAAGTACTTTTGTTGTTGAATATAAATATAAAATTAAAAGCCAAAGACACGATAGACCCTATAGCTTCCTCATGTTGCCTTGAGCGATCATGTAAAGTTCAAGTATCTTTTTGTGAAATGTAAAATGGCAGAGCACACATTTTTCTTCAATCTTAGTGCCACTTTAGTTTCCAAATTTGGGCTGCAGACACAGAATATGTATTGTACTGGAGGAATGACAGAGTGGAGGACGTGGAGGGCACATGTGGAGGCCATCATTCACGGCACATTATGAAGACGTCACAAAGACTGGCTCTGACCCACATCCCTGAGCCCAGTGCGATTACGGCCAGGGACAGTTGATGATGATGAAGGCCTGAACCAACGCAACACTAATAATCAAATGACTATAACAATGTCTTCCATATTTGCATGAGTAAAGGAATATGTGGAGACTCCATTCTTTTTGTTATTAAAGGTGAATAAAAATTTCACAAAGAAGGATTTTTAGGTGTATTGTAGTGTAGAATAAACCATTTATACTGTATAACAATAGTAAAGAAAAACAAAAGATGATCAAAAGTAAGATATGCTAAAAATCTTGTTTGTATTGTTAAAATCGCATGACAAGTAACATTAATGTTAATGGTCATCCACCACTCGATGAGGGCAGATAACCAATGTCTAATAATGTTAATAAATGTCCATAAATGTCCATAAATGTCCGTAAATGTCTGGGGGAGGCCCACATTGAGAGAGATCTGCTCCCACGGATGGACGAGCTCCAGAACTCAGCCGTATGTGAGGACAAAGGCCTTGCAGTCACAAATCCAACAAAGTTGCAGTAAATTAGACCCACTGAACAAAGGCAGCAGTGCAAGAAGCTAGAATGTTTAAAGATGTATTTAGATATTTAAGCAATAACTGTGAAGACTTTAATTTGTCATTCTTGTGAACCACAGAGAGAAGAGTTCACACAAAGACACAATTTCTCAAATCACATAATAATTCATGTTCTGCGTCGTCTACAACACAGACGTGCAGAGACTGCTTTTGCTCAGTTGTGATTGTTTAGTTTTATTCCTGTGACTTTGGTCGTTTCATGTGTCGTTTTGAGCCTATGGACATGAACAACTTTTCTTCAGATCTCGACGGTGGGCCTCAAGGAAGCTTTCCATCACAGCACAAGTAAACACTGTCTACTCTTATTCTTGTACGCACTGTGGTACGTTACCATTTCATGTGGTATTTCTGTATATATTTGTGTAATGCATGTTATTAAAAAAACGTTAAAACATTATTGTAGTACAAGGAACGGCTTTCCTTGTTTTGGTGCATATGTGTGTTGGCCAGATGCCCTCCTCACGACCCTCACCTCAATACCTCTTTATGCATGCTTGGAACCAGCATAAAGACAACATGGACTTCAGACTCCGGAAAGTGGATAAAAGTAATGCATAAATAAGTTGACTATGGGAGAGTGAAAAGTGTTCCACAGGATTTATTTCATAATTGTCATGTTCATGGACAAAGGGGTGAGGACTCGAGAGGACATAGTTCTCTACCAGATATTACAAGGATTAACAAGGATTAATTTACCTTTTTAAATTACATTCACTCAAAAGAGTAAAATCAGAGTCTGGACATCAATGCTGACAATTGGAGAGATATATTTAAGCTTTTTTTTAAAGTGGTTGTTCTTATTATTAGAAAGATCACGACAATTGCCTTATTGTAGAGCATTGCATATATAGACATATGAAGGACAATATATATAATTACATTTATGGGGATTTAATCACTGTCTGTGAGAATGTAGAGAATATACTTATTACTAGAGATGCAGATTACTTTTAATGATGAAAAAATATTCCTTAAAAGGGCTTTGTTCAATCAAACTACGAAAGAAACAAAATTTTCCCTGTTCCTTCACCTCTTGCCAGAAGCAGAAAATGTTTCCTGATTGATGACTTGACAGCTTTAAGACGTTGGCTTTAAAATGACAACAAGTGAATTATATGAAACTATTTGAGCTGGTGGCATTCAATCCATACGGTGGAAATCCCGGTCATAAAAATGAAAGACACGGCCATTAAACAGCTGGACAAACACAGGAGAAAACATTGTGAATTGCTCGCAAAAATATAGTTCTGAGTGTTTGGAAAAGACTAATAAAAGAATATGAGCAGCATTGAACTGTGACTTCTCCAAGTGTTGCGACGAGCTTTGACAGTTTGCTTGTGTTGGTAGTGGGTGGTACTGACTGGTTCACTCTCACTGGTCCTGAGGGAGCCATGAGGGGACTTATTATAGATGTGAATGAGGACAGACTCATATAGATCTGTTAGAGGCAGATTATTCCCCTGTGGAGGCACTGGGAACCCGCCGCGGTGAATGCATGCAATGAATGGACTGATAAAACAGTGACAATAGTGTGGATGTGAGATAGAGATCAGACCGTCTACAATAGATCTGTAATCATCAGCTCTAGCACTTTTTATGAATAGAATTTATGAGTTTGTTTTGTAGAATAAACGTGTGCAAAATTATACTAAATCAGGCATTATCAAATGTAATCAGGCATTAAAACATGGTCACAGCATTTACATGTTTTTAGATTATTATATGTCTATTTTTTTGTTTATATTATTAAAATGTTTTTTTGTTTCCCAATGTTCTTTGTGTGCCTTTTAAGCACCCATGGGTTGCTTCTGCATGAATGGTGCTTTTTAAATAAATTTGCAATATTGTCTTTGCCGTGTCTCATGTTTTTAATGTTAGTTAAAACAGTATTGTACGTGGGAGAGGGTGAAGAAGAGCTCTTGCTTCAGTTGTACCTCTTTACAAAGGGCCACAGCTGCTAAACGTCTCAGGACCACGGCAAGACTAAAACAACTTTCTGAATAATCTGATAACGATCCAAGCCACATTGGGAGTTTGAATGGATATGTAAATCTGAATGAAAGCCATGGCAGTAAAAATTGTATTCCTAAAAAGATATAATATGTGTAAAATGAAGAGCGTGCCGACCAAAAACAGACAGTTTCAGAGTATAATGTGCACACAATATGTGACTGAAATATGACTGAAACAAATGACAAGTCAGATGAGTGAACAGCAGGCGTGTTAGCCCAGACTCTCTTTGCACAGTCAGCTGTGAAACTGAACATCATCAGAGGGATCCCACTCTCACTTTGAACTCAGTCTGGAAGGAGTGCCAGGATTCCTCGTTATAAAAATAACATTATAGTCAGTCTATAAAACTGACCATAGTGAGTGACAATGCAGATGTATTGTTTTGTCTATACGTTTATGTAATGTAACTGACCCTTGAAACTTTTTGAAAAGAAGCACAGCTTAAACCGACCCAATGAAATGAATCCAAATCCTTGGGGCCCCTTGTCATTAGATAAATTGTGAAATTGATAAATTGTTCTCCTCCAGAAAATGTTACTGGTTGTAGTTATGGCAAGGGACTGTTTGAAAAATACTTACTGTACATTTTGGTCAGAAATATACAGTCTTTTAAAAATGAAGTTCAATTGAAGTTGCTGACATCATCTTTAAAAGAATAAAAAGAGTATGTATCTAGTCACACGTCATTCATGAGCTTCTGTATTAGGAGTCAATGAGTCAAAAAATCTTCAATTGTTGAGAAAATGTTCTATAAAAGAAGAAGAGATCTCCCTTGTGTCGGCCGAACTTCCCAGACCAATTATTCAGTGATTTGTGTGTTTCCGTGTTAAGTCGTCTTCAGACAGTGACCTCAGTTCATCTCGTATGTTCTTTGCGCATCACTGTGAACATGACAGGGGCCTTTAGCCATCTGCTGGCTGTGTGCCCAGACCAGAGCTCCTCCATGACACCACGCTCAAAGGGACGATTGTTCACGCCGCATTTTTATCTGCTCCACCGGGGGCAGAGTGCGGCACACTGGTGTTAAAAAGCCATTAGTCTTGATTAACCATCTTTGTGCTGCTCCGTGTTCGCGTTAAAGCACCAAATGTGGCCGTATGGTCTGGCAGACGTTACTTGCAAAAACCAACAAGACCCTGAATCAGAAGTCAATAGCCATAGACTGCTACCATACAATGTCATTGGATGTAAGCTAGAGGTTAAACAGATCCAAAGTAAAAGGATCATTTGTCACTGTCTAAAAGTGTACCCAATGTGAATAAAACCTGTAAAGCAATAGAATGCGTTGGGAGGTTTTGGAGAGACATTTCCCATAAAATGTACATTCTTACGTGATGCATTAATATGAAGTACTCAATTATGAGCTTAGAAAATCATCTGTAAAATTTGGAAAGAAAATATCACTCAAATGGGAAATGTTTGCTTTACTTTTACTCACAAAACTTTGAGCCAAAGTAACTAAGATCCTCTGACATGGGGCTTGTAACTACAGTGTAGGAGGCCAACTCAAACTTAATGCCATGTTAACAAGATTATTTCAACAAAAACATGTTTTATATGCGCTTTTCTTGTCCGTGCAATATAAAGAAGTCCAGTTTGCGATAATTGCTAAATAAACTCTCGCAGTGAAACGGGGGATTTATCTCAGAAGTGTTAAAAGTCCACTGGGAGAAACCTTTTATTATTTTATGTAGATCGCAAAGATTTTCAATTGTATCCAACACAATTATTCAGATAAAGATAGGCCGCTCCAACAACAGAGTATGCAAAGTCACGCTACTTCAATCAATTCAATCTGCCATAAAAATGTGAACTATATTTTGTACCAACCAAAGTTAGTGTCATGGACATAAATGTAAGGAAGACATAGTGCCGTTCTATTCTTATAAAAGGGTTCTCTCTCCACTGGTCCTTCTTCTGAATCACTTTTCTCAAAGCTGACTTAACCGAGCACAAAGGAGGGTTCTCCTGGAGGGGCTGAGGGCGGCAAAAAGATCAGTGCCACAAGATGGAAGCCCCCTCACTGTCTCGCAGACAGTTGGTTATAACTTTTGTGGTCATAGCGTGTTTGTAACAGCTCACATCCACAAGGAGAAGACCATCAACATGCTCTATGTAGCTTTTCCCTCGACTCATGTTGGCATGTACTTGTTCTTGCAGTACGTTTCATTACCATCGTTGGTATTTTTTGAATGCAGTTGTTTTGCCACCATAGGGCTCACATTTGTCCTTTGTTTACATTTTCTTATTTTGCTTATGATCAAGATGTTTAAGATATTGCAATATTGGAGGAAGCCTTTACTTTACCTTTGTAACGACTGAAGTAATCAGGGGAAGGATCAAAAAGAAGTGTTCTTCCCACTCCTTTTTGAGCATCCATAAGTGTTATTTTGGTATCATTCCCTCCTTTTGTTATTACTCTTTTTGTTTTAATTTGTAAATGTATGTGATTAATTTGTACTAAATTATTTCTATGCTCACTTGAATGAGTATGAATGAGTATGAATGAATGAATGAATAGTTTAGTAGTTTACAGATAGTATAGTATCTTTTTAAGTGTTGATTTGGTTTTGTATCGCATAGATTATGTACTTGTTTCATTTGTTATTTGTGTTATTTGTTGTGTGCGTGTGTGTATGTGTGTGTTCTTTGAGATCTTCTTTAATGAATAAAACATGCTTATTAATATTTATAATTGATGTACTTAAGTGTTTATATGGATGTGTGTATATCTATCCATGTCTTTTTTTAAGAGCAAAAACATCTCCTCAACATGTACAAGAAAGGGGTCCACTTATAACTTGACCAAAACACAGCTGTGCGGATATCAAGAGATGTGGATTCAAGATTGTGACAGTGTGTGTATATTTAATAACAAATTAAAACCACTCGCTACCTCTGACCCGCTGTTCGCGTCTGCTCGGTGATTGCGGGAGATTGCTCATATTTAGTGAAAACAATCGTGCACTTATCACAAGAGCCATCTACGGCTCACACTTTGCCTCTGTTTACGCAGTCTCCCACCGCGCGCTAACTCAATAACCAACTGGCTTTCGGAGCACTTCCTCTCCTCATTTAGTCCAGATGACAAGTGCATTAGCGAAAGGAGATGATCCCGTGTGGAAAATGTGGAATTACACAGTTAGAGTTAAAGCCTTTATTACCGCCTCGCTACCGACAAGTGATGACAGTGACGTGCGTACGGGTGTGTCTCACGCTGGTGTTTGGATGAAAGGAAATCCATAGCCTGCAGTGTTTTTAATAAGGCCTTTAATCATGTGCAGGTCGCTGGTCTGTGACTCTAAAGCAGGAGGCGAGTTTATTTGGACATACTTGGATAAGTGCATTAATGTGAGCTGCTTAATATGTGCAAAGGGTGTCAAAGTTTATAATTATGGGCCCATGAGTGTGTGTCATAGCTGAATCTAGAACTGCAACACATTAGACAGTGGAGGTTATTTACACATAGGGAACGCTGAGAGACGGTAATGTTAGGACTTCATTGGTTTGAAGAGTCACAAGTGAACCAGAGGTCACTTTAAGTAAACCAATTATATTCAGATTAAGTTTATTTGCCATTTGCAGTAAAAATCTATTTTTGGGGGATTTAAAGGTAAAATATTTAAAGGTAAATTTAAGGATTACGATTGGGTATTTTCTATTTAATTTCTTATCCTATAACTGAATTGAATGGAATGTATGAATAAGTAAGTAATATTTATTTATATAGCCCATTTTCACAGACCAGGGTCACCTAAAAACTTTGTGATCCTGGTCTGTGAAAGGCGCTATACAAATAAACTTGACTCACTTACTTACATAAAAAGTATCTATTATTATTCAAATATATTGATCTGAACATAGCCGAACATAAAACCAGCAAATGATCCAGTCTTATGTCAGAAAAAGCAGATCTAAAAATGGCCACATTGGATTTTTTTGACAAATTGTGGATTGAAAGTTGGTCACAGCTTTGACCTGTATAAAGGCAAAATAGCAGCAGAACAGTTGTTAAACAGATAAAATAAATGTTTAAGTGCAGCCTGTCCAAAAACAACATCCACAGTTGAGAAAACTATCAAACGGCCTCAGATCTATTTCTGAATATTCATCTGTTGTCAACAAAGCCGTTTAAGTGCATTTATAAATAAGTTTGTATCGGTCCATTGTGCTGCTGACAGGGAGTGTTTACCTGCTGTTTACAACAAACCTGGAATCCCCCTTCTCCACAACAAAAGGTGGACGTGCTGCGGTGGATGGCCCGGGCCCTGAGTGCTTCTCTGATACGAGCGGGTGTGTCCAACGCGAGGAGGGCGCTCTGTGAGGAAACCTTGGCGTCGCAGAGCAGAGGTGACAGCGGGAGACAGGAACCGGCACAAACACAGGAACAATCCATTCTGCCACAGACCTGAGAGAGAGAGAGAGAGAGGTGCATGAGAACCAAAGGAACTCAGGACATCATGGTGTTGTTTTGGTGCACATCATTTCTCATTTAAAGATGCAGTCGGTGATTTTTTCCAGACGCACTTTTTTAAAATATGAATGAATGAATGAATGAATCTTTTTATTACGGACTCATGGTCCAACATTGACACACACAAAAAAGGACAAAACATACAAGTTAAAAAGACAGAAGACAACTATACCAGTGCGCCCACATCCTCGACTGATAACGGGCTGCATATGGTGGAAAAATGTCCCTAAACCCTAAAAGTAGTCAAGTTATCATGTGTTTTCAAATAGTAATGGAATTGACCAGATGCCTATAGTCTCCAAAAATGTATAAAACATGTTTAAGAGCGGATAAAAATAACCCAATCTGATTCGTTCATCTCCAACGAACCAATGGGATGTGTTTACGGCCTTCACCCTCTTCCTGTTTCTTGCGAGTGTACGCACCTGAGTTATTGGATTTTCTAAAACCTAAAAGGGCTGAACAGAAAATGCCAATTTCACGTTTGCCACCCACTCTTCCTGCTGTGACAAAGAAAAGAAAATGCTGGATGTTTGGTTTGGTGGAGAGGCAAGGGAGGGGGAGCGGTTTAGAGTTGGTGCTACGGCTAAGCTAACAAAATAGCTTACTGCATCTTTAATATGTCAAAATGGACAATAATAATGTTGATATTGATAAAAAATGATGAATGAATGAATAAATCCTTTATTAATCCCACAGTGGGGAAATTACAGGAGGGTCTAAGGACACTGATAAAATAATAAAACATAATACTGTATCCAAGGTCACTTTTTCTCCTATTTCATATGCATACATCAGGCATATATATTCTCACATATTATTATTTTATTCATTTCTGTTATTGAGTTTATTAGTCCTCCTTGTCTCATAAAGCTTCACATAAAATTTCAGAAAATGGTTGTTTGTCCCCATTTCTCGTGATAACTAATCTGATTTATTTGAAACTCCCTTAAAAAAGAGGTTCTTAATCTCAATGTCAAACCTCAAGTGATGCTAGAATATCCATAAATACAACATAGCCATTATTGTTTTAAAGTGTACACATACTTGTTTTTAATAAATCGCATTGTTGTGTTGATACATGTTAATGACCAAATATCTATAATCTATCATATATATTTGATACATTTCTTCTTCATTTTCACATAAAGTGCAATGGACCCGCACAAAAACAAGACAACGAGCTTATAAAAACATACATTGAAAGTATTACACAAGTGAGAATTGACTGACAGCTACAGACTGCTAAAGAGGGGTGTAGTTCCCAGCAAAATCCATGGACCTTAACATTGCACAGAGAAGGCCAACATTCTGTCTCAAATGTTATTAAACTGCTGCGTTATTTGATAAGGAGCTAATACATAATGCTTAAGACACAGATCACCGTACCATATGTACTTTTCAAATCTCAAATCCAACATTTTAGAGTAGTGTCTATACCCCATAGAGAGGTCAACGGGCCTCCAACGGCTCTGACAATGAAATACTGCAGTTGTATTTTTTAGTAATTACACCACTCAGTTTAAACGAGCTTGGGCCAATTTCTCTCCCAGATCCATCCCTCACTTGGCTTTGAATGGATTGTACGCATTTGTCAAATAAACAGTTATATATTACCTGATAGATCTGGTCCTATAGATGTTGTTTTTATCATGTCGGAAAATGAATATGCGATGAGCTCATTTTTGTTGCACGGGAGTTTAAACAGCAGTCGCCAAGTTTTACAATTGCCTCTTTTGAGCGTTCAGTGGCATTTTGTGTGTAATGACTGTAATGGGCTGGTGCATAGTTTCCCTCATGCTGGAGTCAGATCAGAGAGGGCAGTCAGCACAGTGCACTCAAATTCAACAATACTAAAAGTGAACTTATTTGGCACTAGACAAAAACGTGGCCAAACTCAGGAAAACAAAAGCAGAGAAGCCAGAAGCGGTTCTGTCACGCACAATCTGTGGCAAATGTTGAGATCTCAAAATGTGTTCAGTGTGAGACGTTTCATGAGTTTATTGTGCATCAGACAAAAGGGTCATTTCACATAAGAGTTATCTCTGCTTTTATTTAGCGGGAAACTCCGAGATGCTATTGTCAAGGTTTCGAGGAGTAGCTTCATTTGTAATAACAGAAGTATACTTAATAGAGTTAATTGGTCTTTCCCAGTTTAGCAGCAAGTCTTTGCCATTTTACTGCAAAAAGTGATTCAAAATAAGTGAAATTTGGCCAAAAGTATCTTAGATTGAGCACATTTTGACTGCCTTAAAACAAGATTGTCAAAAAGATACAAGAAATGTCTCCCTTGGAATAAGAAAATATAGCAGTTTAAACAATTCTAAAGGGCTTTGTCCAATTAGCACATGTTGTTTTTAGATAAATTAAGATTAAAAAAAAAAAACCACGACATTCAAGCAAGTATAACTTCATTTTTTATCATTTTCAACTTATTAAACCAATATATAAAAAACAATCTTTACAGATTCATTCATCAACTGTCCGGTTGGTGGTTAGATACCTCCTGTTAATGCTTTGCTTGAAATGTTGTCAGTTTGGTTTAAACATATACATTTCTCAATTATGGATGATTTTAGTGCTTAAAATCTATTTTCATTACAGTGAGAAGACATGCCTCTCCACAGATATAACTTGTACATAGCTGAGTGAAGCCACATGTTTGTTTCCAAAGTCAAATTAATGACCAACTGTATAAAGATCCAGGAAAACGACAACATTTATGTGAACCCAAGCATGAAGCGGCCATGCCCAGGACAGTTGAGGAGGGTTCTGAGATGTGTTTTTAAAAAGTCTGTTGTGATGAATTTTGCGAGGGTGGACTGGTGATGAAATACTAGTCTTTTCCTTTTAGAAAACAAAAATTAAGATGATACAATCCTTCAGCCTCAGCCCATTGAATCATATTAATTTTGTTCTGAATGGTACCCCTGCTTTATTGTGGGAACTGGGCTCGTCTGAATTGTGATCTGAGAATCGCTTGACTAAAAAGAAACTAGGTAATCAATAACAATTTGAAAGAACTGGATCCTCATAAACGCACCACCAGATAAACCATTTTCTGAACGACTTTCATTACTCAAAATAAAAATCTACTCACATGTAACACTGAGTCAGATTAGCAACTTGAACCAATGTAGCAGCAGGTGAAAAAAAAATATTAGTAGAATAGTGTCTAGCATAGAAAGAGGAAAATAAACTGAGTGCTGACTACCCATGGCATTTGCCAAGAGCCAATTTTGGATAGCAACAACCTAGCAACCAAAGAGCCAATCATGAGTGAGACTGTTCTGTTCCCATGGCTAATCTTTAGCCAAAGTCAAATTATCATTCTTTATTTTAGCCAAAGCCAAGTTCAGGGACAGAAGGCTCAGTGGGAAGGGGTTACATGTGGATTCATAAAGACAATATCAAAAACATAGGGAGCATGTAGAGCGGCAAACAACAGATTTCCAAAAAAAAAGCAAAATGGTGAGTGTGAAACAGTTACAGACCGGGGAGAAGTTTACTATTCAATGTAAATGAATGTAAGCCAAAGCGAGTTCGAGCAAAACTTCATCCAAGAGCGCTTTCCTATTAGGCTTCACAGAGCATGCAGGTTAGGGATGTCCACTCCTACATGCACTAAAATGTCATAATTGAGTTGTAAACCTGCCGGTCACTGATTCACTTAACACATCCTGTTCTCATAGAGCAATAAAAGCTCTTTCACTGCTGCAATCATCAGCAGCAGCGGTACCTCAGCCCAGAGACTTTCTCTGCCATTGTTGGATATTGATGGTTTTGACCTTGAGGAAATCCCCTGCAGCGTTAGTATGGAGTCTGTCAGTCTGATGAGCTAACGCTAACCTAAACACAGCTAATTAGTCAATGACCCGCCTCAGGCTCAAAGTGACAACTGCTAGTTCTCACCTTTATGCTGCCTCGGACTGGGCGCAGCACCGGGGGCACATGGGGGCAGAATGTTGGGAGCAGACAGCTTTTCCTCTCTCCGTCCTGGTTATTAGTCTCTTGGGCAGCACTCTGCTTTTAAAGGGAACCTCCTGCAGAGAAGAGAATAGTTTTCAAACAAATGTGCAGCCAAAAAGGTTTATCTATAGGGCGAGTGTGAGAACAGGTTGTGTGGTTTGGCCTTAAATCTTTTTCCATTGTAGATTAGTGCATTACATTTACTACTTGTATAACATGTTTTACTGTCAGGATAATGAGTCTTGACGTACAACAAATACATAGTACATTGTCAACAAAAAGCCCCTGTTCCTATAAGCAAAATAGGGCTTCATTTTGAGGTTGGTATACCTCAAAATAGCATTGGACTATCTTAACAGACAAATCTTTGGAAAGGAGAAGAGGTGCTGTGTTTGTTTGATCTCCAAGTCTAATGCCATTGGGTGGAACATCACAGAATTAGTTCAAGATGATAAAAAAAGAGCTAGATGTTTGATTGCGGTAAAGTCCCCTAAAAGCTCTACCAGAGGTCACTCAAACTGTTGGATTTCCTGATGCAACATTGTAGATTGATTAAACAAAGACTTTATTTAGGCTTCATGAATCTAACCCCAAGACATTTCATCTCACACACAATCCATGTTGTGATACTGCGTTATATTGTCCATTGTCCCATTCTCTCTGACTCACCCTGGTTTACCCCATATCACAAGCTCCAGACTTTTAGTGGAAGAAACAGAGCCCCCACACTGCCTTCGGGACGTCCCACTTGGACAGCTCGGACAGATCTTTGATGGTGTTAAGGTTTTGGAAGAAGAACTGTATTAACATAAAGTGTGTCTGTAAACCTGGCTCAAGGGGCTGTGTTTCTGATGTAGACCTTGTTTTAATTCTTTGTAGAAGAAGGTCTGGGTTTGAAATTTCATCTTTATCACATTTGTCTAATCTATAAAACTGGATAATAAGACCTCGAATCGTTTTGAATAAACACACCAAAGGGGATTCATGAACGACAAATCCTCAAATCCATGAAGTAGCAACAGATATTGTGAATAATGGATACATACATTTTTATTAACAACTCACAATGTAAGCATTTTTATTGTTTTTTTTTTATGTGGGAAATGCATGGAGATTTCCATCTGAAATCACTTTAAGGTCGGTTCGAGCCCACCACAAGACCTACTTCACGACTCCCACTGATAACTGCTGTCGTTGTGTCCTTGGACAAGACACTTAACCCCACTTCACCTGAAGCCCCCACTGAATAATCAAGGCTTCTATGAATTTACCACCTGCAGGAGGATCAGTGAGGGGCTGGTGCTCTGTGAACTCGGTTAAGGGGAAGAAAATGTATGGATTATTTAAAGGTAAATAGGATGATTTTCTACTCCAGGATAATCATTCTGATGATACGTGCGGGTTAAACAAGACAAGAACGTTTTTCAAGAAGTGGAGGGCGGTTCTATCCTAAAATTTGGGAAAATCCTCCTATATACCCTGTATATCTACAAATTCTAAAAAGTAATTATGGACTCAAATCATATATATATAATACATATATATTTTAATCAATCCAATATTTTTATGAGACCCAAAGATATATCCCATTTTATTAGTAATTCACACCATATTCGTGGCCACAGCTGTCCTCAGGCAGACTGGCAGCAAGGTAACTCATCTGTGCCATCGCATAACAAAATGTATCCCAAAATGATGTAATTCTTTGCATTTTTAGTTTATTTTAATGCAATGAAGAAATCAATGCAACCTTGTTTTGCACATGTTCTTTTATTCGATTGCATTTGATTTTCTGCCTTACTCTATGACAACAATCAGGCTAATATGAAAGAGCATATCCATCGGAGTTAGATCACATGTGCCTTCTCCGTCCGTCACTAGCCCTAACCCTATTGTCCCGATCGCAGCGCAGTCTGATGCCTGCCTCTTGTGGACACTTTCCTCTCTTTGTTAACACCGTGTCCCGGGACATTTCCTGCTACCAAACGAAGCGAGGCGTGTTTCCAATTATAGTCTTGATGTAGAGCTTGGTGTACTTTCTCTATAGGCCTGAGGAATTATGGGAACTGAGATTGATTTCCCCCAAAACCACCAGAGACCAGCGTTGTTGACGGTGTGTGGTCATAAATCACAGGTGTATGGTCAGTAACTGCCAATCTAACAGTCAACTACAAGTGTTCTCTGCAAAAGGTCACATAATCGACATGGGTTAGAATAATTATCGGCTTTTGCGCAACTTTTTCCACTTGCTCTAAAATATTACACTCCATGTTAGTTGGCGGTAACTTTCAGAAATTATTCTTAGCATGAAGTTATGTATGGCTGATTATTCTGGCAAACATTTGACCTTTTCACACAAAGTATCAAAGCCAGAAATCAAAGATAAACTTCAGCGTGGCGCCTGGGTTTTCAATGTTATTTCATGAACATGTTTTTAGTGCAAAGAAAAAGAACAATCGACAACTCAAGGGATACTTCAAATCCTACAAAGTTAAAAGTCATGATAGTAAAAAGGGAAATCTGTTTCTTGTGGGTTTGGAGTGAAAACTGGTCATGAAAGATTCTACCCAGAAGATTTTTAGAGCAAAAAGAAAAAAATCAATAAATGAAACTTTGTGACAGACTAGAACTAGAACTCATTTTACCCAAAGACATTTAAGGTAGCGAACACCTGAAGAAACAGAACAATATTATGTCTATTAAGAAACACATAGAGTCCAATTGACGCTTGAAGCTATACATAAATTCCACACTTAATTATTAAACCAGACTTAAATAGTGCTTTGGGTTGTTTTCCACTTGTGTTGTTTAATTATTGAAAAATAGGAAATCCTTGTAGACAGGAAAGGTTTCTCTTGTGTGTAATAACGAGTGTTAATAATAATGTGCCAAAACAATCAGGAATGTGGCGGACAATAACAGAACAAAATAACTGTATGACAAATGTGTGGTCACCGGGTCCTGGCATTAACAAGGCGTTCCTCATCGCACTATCAGGGAAACTTCAGGGAGTTACCGGGTAAATGCTGCTCGTATGGTGATGCAAACGCACTGGTATCCAAGCCTGCATACTACAAGACTTACAGTTCACTTCTGTCACTTTGCTATATATTGTTTGGCCTAATGAATCAAAGAAAAGCAGCCAAGAGAGCATAAAGACAGGATATTGCACTGAATATAATAGCCAAATCACTGGGGGAGCTGCAGAGTCAAGGTCAATGCAATATTGTTGATCATAGGAAGCGTGTCTTGTGATTAACAATGCCAAAAACAGAGGTGGGTCTAACTTTGTGGAACGGGGAAGTTACAAGTGGGGTTTTCCCGAAAGACAGTGCTCCTGGGTCCTCAAAGCATGGAAGAGGCGCTTATGGCTGCCAAAAATAAATATGTTTGAGAATAGGCCAGGTTTCAGGTTAAAGCTGTATCGCTGAGGATTGGTCATTGTTAAAAAGGAAAAAAATGTGAAATATGTGAAGAATGTGGGAAGAAATATGACGTTATACAGAAATTAAGGTATCATTTATTTTTCATAAATAAAATGTTGAAAAACAATATATCTTGAAAAAGTCAAATGTTGTGAACAAATGAGACCCCAACATGCTTCATCTCATTATAAAGCCTGTTATCTTTTACATACTTAAGAAAAAGTCTAGTGATTCACTATTTGACAATTGGGCTGAGAACTGAGTCAGGGTGGCCCTTTTTTATATTTTTCTGTCTGGTAAATCTGATCCAAAGAGTTGACGAGGTCAAAAATACCTTAATGTCAAATCTAAACCAAACTGTTTTGAGAGTGAGGAACAAGTTACATGCATTTTATATGATGTGGTTTGAAAGTTAGTACCCTATAGCTTTAATATATGAAGGCCATTTGCATTGTCATGTTAAATTTCAAAAAGATTTAGTTTATATGAAACTCGTGATAATACATTATTCAAATTGGAGAAAACAATGTTATTTGAGTGAAAAGCTCTTTTCGCCACTTGCGCAACAGTAAAGTTCAGTGCATTTGACTGGTAAACACTGACACCTAGTGTTCTACAGGGGTCATTGCATTATCACTTTATTGTGAATCACTTGTAATACTATTTCAGTCAGCTACAAGACTTTGGATTAAGAATGTTTCCAAATATTTAATACATTATTGACATAAATTAGGATTTATCAATCAATCAAATTTTATTTATAAAGCACTTTTCATACATAAGATGCAACACAAAGTGCTTTACAGTTTGGTTAAAAACAATCCCGCCGGCCCATGTCCCCTCCCCCCGACCACCCAACAGACCCACCCCAAACCACAAACACACACACACTCGCTCATGAACACACACACACTCGCTCACACACACACGCTCATGAACACACACACACACACACACACACACACACACACACACACACACACACATACACGTTTTTGTTACCTGGTGGGTCCCTTTGACAGGGCCGTTCAGAATGGGACCCATAGACATAATCTTTTTTTACCAAGACTTTAAGTAATACAAAACAGTCAATAGAAACCAAACAACTATTTTAAAGGAATTTTATTTTAGATTTTGTTTTCGAATTGCAGTGATTCTATTTTTGACATAGAATTTAATGCCACTCCATGTCCGATGTCTAAGGTCATCTGGTGAGGCATTAATGCAGGCCAGGCAGTGAGACTTCCCAGGGACCTTTCCAGTCTGTATGAAAGGTGTCATGGTCTTCTCCACAGCCTTCACCTCAGATGCAGACCATGGCTTTCTTACACGTTCTAGGGAGAGAAATAAAAATATATTAGCAATATACACTCCCAGGGTGAGGACCAAGCAGCCTGGCTGTAATCCCCCACCTGGTACACTTACCAGAAGGGGCACTGCCACTACCATGGGGTGCATCTGGATGAATGGTTGAAGGTTCTCCGCTTGAAGTTTCTTTTAGCCCGTCCGTTTGTGAGAGGATCTCTACTGCTCTCCCTGTCGCACAGAAAATAAAAATACAAGTGGCCTTTAGGGGAAAAAAATCATACATATTTTAATAATATCAAGAATTACCTTCAGGCTCAATTTGTATCTGGTCGAGGCTCTTTCCTTCGAATTCCGTCACTCTTCCCTGCTCCATGGCCATCAACACTTTGCTGATTTTGGCCAGCTCCAGTGTCCCCTCTGGTAGTCTGTAATATTGCCTGTGGATGCGAATGTCATGGCCGAGGAAGTTGGCAAGTATGTCCATCTCATTCTCTTTCATATTGAGAACTGTAGACATAGTAGCTATGTGCTTTCTAAGTTTGGTTGAGGATAGCATCTCTGGATGCACCGCACCACATTCTTTGGCTACCTGGCGTAGGGAGTCTGATCCCCTGATGTGGGTGTCTGCGCCCGGGCGGGAAATGAAGTATGGGTTATGGTCAGAGATGGAACAGGCCCTTCTGTTCTCCACCAGCACCTCCATCGAAGCAATCATTTCAGGAGTCAAAAGAACCGGCACTTTCCGACTTCTTTTCCCTTTAATTTCAATGCGTTGAAAATGCTGACACAGCTTTTTCTCAAGTTGGGACAGTCCCAGAGCAATGTCAGAATGGATCCCAGTCTTACTTCTTAAGGTAAAGGCTGTCAGTGGCATCTTTGAAACCTCACCTTCCCTTCTTCGATTGAAAATGATGACCTCACAAAGAGTCAAAACTGCCAGTTTAGACCAATGCTTAGACGTTGGCTCACTTATTAGGGTTTGCACATATTCAGGTCGACATACCTCAATATGTGCATGCAGGGCTCTAACGTCCTCAGTCAGAGGGAGCAGGTCCGGAGTGTTCCACTTGGCTTGCCGGAGGGTCTGTAGGGCAGCAGAAGAAACACAGACGTCCCACCTCTTCTCAAAAAGCAGCCGGCTTCGTTGGAGGTTTTTAATAAATAGTTCATCAACACAATGCTCCATTTTTGAGTCACATTCAAGAATATCTGCTAGCTTTCTGAGGCTATGGCCGAGTTTGAGGGCCAAGGATGGAGTCTTGTATTGATTTGTTTCCTCATCATATCCAGCCACAGACCTGACTGCATCAATCACATGGTTAAAGTTGGAAGGAATAAAGAAATCCTTAATTGTTTTCAGTTTCCCTGCGGTTTTTGCTTCGTTAATTAACCTACCGACTTCTCTCATTTTCTGCCTAATGTAATCATGCTTTGTCTTATCATGCCCGTGTTTTAAGTACAGGTGCTCTCCGAGTCTCAGAATCCCCTTTTCTGCTTTGACAACACCCGTGACCTCATCCTGATGCAGTGCCGAAATTAAAGACCACAGCTTTTTGCTGATGCCCTCCGGTACAGGCTGGGCTAGGGAGCAGAGGGACTGGACCCTACTTCTACCTGGTTTAGCCTGGGCATCTTTCTGTGAAAGCCGGCACCTGGCCACATGCCTCCACAGCGACTTTCGCTTAAGCAATGCCCCACAGTCTATACAGTGCAAAAACTCACTGGATTTAACTGGGCAATTTGGCTGTTTAGCTGGGACTCAAGTTCCAATGCCGGCCTTTAAAACCTCAAAATTGTGCTCACGGTTTCCACTATTCCTGATCAAATCAAACTGAAGTTTACGTGCTTTAGATTTCACAGGTAGAGCCAATGCTCTGGCTACGTCACTTTCATTTCCATGTTTTCTAGTCAAATGACGGGACATTTTGTGGCAGGACATTGAACAGTAGAGGCAGAAGTGTCTCTTGCTGTATACTCGCCCCCCATTTTTCTTCTTTTGCAGCTGCATGATAACAATCTTATTTGCCTTTGGTTCGTCACTTTCCGAGTCTTGAAGAAAAAGTGTTTTTGATTTTTCTTTTTCCATACTTTTTTACAGGTTTCTTCTTGACAGTTAAATCGTCAGAATCTGAGTCGACTTCATCAATTAGGGACTCTTGACTAAGCTGCACAAACAACAAATAATTTGTAATCATTCTATATAACAATTTGAAGTCATGACTTGTAGTCAGCACTTACCAGTGGTTTGTAAGCGTGCGCTTCAGTGTGCTCCTCCATGATTTCTTGCAGCCTAATGAACCACACACTTGCACCTTTTTCTAGCCTGACACCTGATTTCCTCTGTTGTGCTGCTCCATGATTGGCTCCAGCCTGCTGGACTGAAATTGCCCCAGTGTGCCCCTCCTTGATATCCCGCAACCCACCACCAGGGTTCCGACACATAACACACTTTTTTCAGGAAAGTAAACCTCCAGGGGTCCTTTCCATATTTTTACAGAGACTGCATAAGGACCGTTAGAAAAGCATTACCCATTGATTATTAAGCTTGGACCAGTGGGGTCCGGTGTTCGGGCCCCACCACGTAAAACCAGTCCCCATGACGTGAGTGGAATCTCAGGTTATGGAACCCACCAGGAGTTGAAAACAAGTGCACACACACACACACACACACACACACACACAACACACAACACACACACACACACACACACACACACACACACACACACACACACACACACACACACACACACACACACACACACACACACACACACACACACACACACACACACACACACACACACACACACACACACACGTAAAACATGATGAGAGACTTGGCAGGGTTCAGATGCAACCAGCTGAAAAAGCGTCATCCAAGGAGCCGTCTGCACCAGGAGCAGAGAGCCGCCCGTAGCCACAGGGGACGACACAGGACCCAGAGGAGACATGAAACCGAGGCCCCAGGCCCCCACCAGGCCCAAGAGTCCGACCCCCGCAGCCACACCGACCACTGCTCCCAGTGCAGAGGGCTCCTCCAGAGGAAACACTGGGTACACTAAAAACAATACAATAAGTAAAACACTAAAATGTGAGACTAAAAGGAACACACAATACATGAATAATAGCAATAGCAATATAATAAATAATAAAAGATAAATAGATGGATTATGGATAATGGTCATACCCTCAGGACCAACGTTATTTTGTGTTTGTTAAAATTGCATTTTTTTCTCTGTGATATGTTGTTGGCAAATTGACTACTTTACTGTAAAGACTTCCGAGATGACTGCAGTTGTGATTTAGGACTAATAAAAGTTTTATGGAATTTAATAGAATCAAATACTGTGACAATATACATTTTGCAACATTATGTTTCACAATAAAATTGTGTCAGTCATTTTTGACATGTTTATTACATGTTAGAAAATCCTATGCAATTCATGGATTATTGAAAATTGTGATATTAGTAAAGTGAGCCATGTATCATAGGTGAACAACTCATTCCCAGAGAACTGCCAATAATAAGAGTTCTTATTTATTCAGTAAACATAAACTATAAACAACAAATTAGAATACACAATTATCATTTTAGTTTTCCAAACACTTTCTCAAATCCGTCCCGGTCAACAACACGTCCGTAATTAGTGGAGAAGTAAAAGGTCTCTGGGCTGCTGTAGGTCTTCAGTCTCAGTATAGTCTCGCTCGTGGAGTCACCTGTATCTGCAATAGTCATCACGTCCGACACGGGGAAGAAACGGTCAGTGCGCTTTCCCCAAAACGTCAGATGGGAAACTTTAAGTGTTTCCTGTGAGGAGTCCAGGTACATCATCCCAACCACTCTTCTGGAGAAATAACTGGCTGTGTACAACATGACACCAGCAAAACCAGCTATTCCTGTGGCGTAACCAACGACGAACATGGACAAATCTCCTTGTAAGTAAGAATAGTATACTGGGGGTAAAATAGCCAACGTGATGCCGGTCTGGATAAGTTTGAGTCGAGACACTGCCCTGAGGAACTTGATATGTGGCAGACTGTAGATCATGGAGTAGGACTGTGTGGCATTATTTGAGTATCTGGTGGTTGGTGTGAGTTGAGTGGTAGATTGTACCAGGAGGGTGTTTCTCTGTGAAAAGGTATAGACACCACACGACTTCCATCCTTGGACGGGACAGGGTCCTCTGGTGCAGGTCAGCAGCCCGTATGAAAGCCCATTGAGCAACAACTTCATCTGAAACAGCACAAAAGAAATTGATCTTAAAGGAAAATACTCCTCAGGTAAGATAAAGCCTAAACCTGTGACACAGCTTTAAGTCGTATGAGAAGCTACAGTGCATTATATTTGACCCATCCCTCCACTGAGGCTGAGCAACCTTTCGTGAGCAGCGCCTGGTGACTTGCACCGCTTGGTCTTTGCTGAAGGATTTTACCTGGTGCATGGTGCATGTTTTGAGTGGTTTGGGAAACCGGGGCACCCAGAGGAAACCCAGTCTGGGTGGGTGAAGCTTGCGAGAAGCATGTGGCATTCTTGCCCATCCACTAATCTAAGTTTAGAATACATTTAATCTTATCATATATTAAAACAAATACATTCTAATTTCTGAATTTATAGTAGATTAATGTCTATAATATTGTGCAGGTATTATTAAAAATGTAACTATATAAAAAGAAACAATACTTCATACATCGCTGTCAGACTGAAGCACATATGTATCATTATTACCACCTCTTTAAACATGACATTATGAATATTTAGAGATAAAAACATGAAATCAACCTTGCGAAGCTGCTGAGCTGCTTGCATGGGCACCGGGATCCGGAAGTGTACCACGGTGAACTAAAACTTGGGCTTTAGTTTAGCGCCCTCTTGCGGACAAAACTTGAAAGATGGACATCTTTATTTAGTCTGCAATAACAAGACATATCATAATTAATGATACACATCACACATACGCAGTCTGATAGCCAGTTGATACAAGCATGCGTGAGGTTTGCATAAATCACAGTCTGAGGTGTTGCTTGCTCTGCAAGTTTCACTTCCAAAGACTGCATCCAAATTCATAAAAAGTCCTCATTCCATAAACACCCTTCTGCGTCCTTTTCATTGAAATGACTAAAGTTGTTGTATTTCCTGAATAATGTTACATTTTATTTAATTTAATTATTCTGGAACAACTCTGTGTTTAAAAGAATGATGATAGGGACATGGAAAGGTTAGGAAGGAGTTTATTTAGAAATGATTTGGATGTGGCCAAGACCAGGAGCACTCTTCAGTCTATGGACGCATCGTTAGCTAAAGACATGTGCTTTAGAGAGGGTTTTGTGTGTAATCGATGTGTTTTCGAAGCTCCAGTGGAAAGCTAACATTATTGTAAGGCTTTAGTAGTTCTTCCAGGAGTCGCCGTGCTCATGCTCTTGCTCTTGCTGTGACCGCGGTGGACATGCTGCAGCTGGGGGATGAGGTGACCCTGTACTCGGTGGTCTTCGTGGTGGTCCTGCTCGGCACCAGGAGCGCAGTGTGGACCACCGCGCTCACCGTGTCCCTGTACGTCTTTGTGGCCGTGTTCCGCTTCCCACAGGCGCCTGCGGACCGAGCCAAGCACATCCTGCACCCGGCCAGAGGCGGTCATGGCTCGGGTAAAGTGTCTGCCATCGCGCATCGGGGCGGTGCGCACGACGCTCCCGAGAACACACTGGCAGCGATCAGAGAGGTATGTCCCCGCTGTGAGGAGCAGAGTCTGGGGCTGCAGGGAACCTTTAGGCAGGCATGCCCAGACTAAGGCCCGCGGGCCATTTGCAGCCCTCCGTGTCACGTTATTCGGCCCTCTGCCTTGCTAACTAACACAAAGTAGTCTTTTAGATCATAAACACAAGTTGCCAGCTTCAGCTCAGCTAATATAGTCATGTTATTACACCTCGTAAGGCTCAGAACCTCTAGAATCCAGTTGTCTACTAAATGTACTGTACTGACATTTGTTTTTAATTGTCACAAAATCCATTAATGATTGATTCCATTAATATAGATCCATCATAGTTAATTATGACTATTATGTTTTACAATCCAGGTTGTCAGCCCCTGGATAAGTCTGGTGAACTAAAATGGCCCTCTTACTATAAACTTTGAACACCCCTGCTTTAGGGGGAATACTTGTTTGATCATTGACCTATGTCACTTGTTCCTACAGTTGCACTCACCCAGGTAGAAATATTGACAATTCGTTTAGGCCATATTTTCTAGACTTTATTTTTGACACTCTTATTGGAAAACAATATCTTGCCCCAGCCCTAATAAATATTGTATTATGAGCTAATGAGGTTTTGTGGTCCGTCCAGGCAAGTCAGAATGGAGCGACAGGAGTGGAGTTGGACTTGGAGTTTTCGGCTGATGGTGTCCCGATTCTAATGCACGACGACACTGTGGACCGGACCACTAATGGGTCAGGACCACTCTCAAAGATCCGCTTCGCTGACCTGAGGAAGCTGGATGCTGCTGCTAAACACAGACTCAGGTGAGACGAGTGTTACAGTGCATCCAGAAATTATTCACAGCGCTTCAATTTTTTCACATTTTGTTATGTTACAGCCTTATTCCAAAATGGATTCAATTCATTTTTTTCCTCACAATTCTACACACAACACCCCATAATGACAACATGAAAAAAGTTGTTTTGGGATTCTTGCAAATTTATTAAAAATATAAAAACTAAGAAACCATATGTACATAAGTATTCACAGCCTTTGCCATGAAGCTCAAAATTGAGTTCAGGTGCATCCTGTTTCCACGGATCATCCTTGAGAAGCTTCTACTGCTTCATTGGAGTCCACCTGTGGTAATTTCAGTTGATTTGACTTGATTTGGAAAGGCACACACACATATATTATACATACATACAGTAAGGCCCCACAGTTGACAGTGCATGTCCGACCACAAACCAAGCATGAAGTCAAAGGAGTTGTCTGTAGACCTCCGAAACAGGATTATCTCGAGGCACAAGTCTGGGGAAGGGTACAGAAAAAAATACTGCTGCTTTGAAGGTCTCAATGAGCACAGTGGCCTCCATCATCCGTAAATGGAAGAAGTTTGGAACCACCAGGACTCTTCCTAGAGCTGGCCGGCCATCTAAACTGAGCTATAGGGGGAGAAGGGCCTTAGTCAGGGAGGTGACTAAGAACAATCAGCAATCTACATATGAGGCCAATATGGTAGAGTGGCCAGACGGAAGCCGCTCCTCAGTTTGGAGTTTGCCAAAAGGCACCTGAAGGACTCTCAGACCATGCGTAAAAAAATTCTCTGGTCTGATGAGACAAAGATTGAACTCTTTGGCGTGAATGCCAGGCGTCATGTTTGGAGGAAACCAGGCAATGCTCATCACCAAGCCAATACCATCCCTACAGTGAAATATGGTGGTGGTAGCATCATGCTGTGGGGATGTTTTTCAGCGGCAGGAACTGGGAGACTAGTCAAGTAGAGGAAAAGATGAATGAAGCAATGTACAGAGATATCCTGGATGAAACCTGCTCCAGAGCACTCTTGCCTTCAGACTGGGGCGACGGTTCATCTTTCAGCAGGACAATGACCCTAAGCACAAAGCCAAGATAACAAACAAGTGGCTTCAGGACAACTCTGTGAATGTCCTTGAGTGGCCCAGCCGGTGCACAGCCATCTGAAAATGGCTCCCCATCCAACTTGATGGAGCTTGAGAGGTGCTGCAAAGAGGAATGGGCAAAACTGCCCAAAGACAGGTGTGCCAAGCTTGTGGCATCATAGTCAAAAAGACTTGAGGCTGTAATTGCTGCCAAAGGTGCATCAACAAAGTATTAAAGGCAGTGAATACTTATGTACACAAAGGTCTCTTAGTTCTTTTATTTTTAATGAATTTGCAAGAATCTCAAAAAACCTTTTTGTCATGTTGTCATTATGGGGTGTTGTCTGTAGAACTTCAAAATTAATTGAATACATTTTGGAATAAGGCTGTAACATAACAAAATGTGGAATAAGTGAAGCGCTGTGAATACTTTCCGGATGCACTGTAAAACAAGAAATTACCCCTGTGACCTAGCCTGGCCTTAGCCATCCGTACACTCAGCTCAAGCATAATTTCCTGCGTGTAACGTCTGGGTCTGGTCCCTGTGTTTGCGATTACATCGGTTGAATTCCATCCGACCTATCAGCGAGCACGGGAGGCAGGTGTTGTAGTTAGATGTGGGTGACATCAAGAGTTTGCGCCAAACGGGCTGGTTGTAGTTTGGCAATGGCGAAGAATGCAATAGTAAATTATTCCGGGCTGGTTCTATCAAGAAATTGAAGCGGAAGCCAGAGAAATGTTTAGCAAATGTAATTGCTGGCAAAGATTGTGGCGCTACTCCCCACTAGGGGTGTGACGATATATCGATACTTTCTCCCGCGATTCGATTATCGATATGCATTTGCCAAGTATCGAAATCGAAAAATTTTCTTTTTAAAAAATTGGTATCAATACTTAATATATTGCTACATTACGCATCTCCATTCCATTTATCATGAAATAAAGTGTATTTTTTTCTTTTATTTATGCCATAAATTGGCATATTGTATATTTCTGACCAATATATCAATAATCGTGATATTATCGTTATCGTGAGCTTTGTATCGTATCGTACCTCACAATATCGTATCGTATTGTGAGGTACCCTTAGGTTCCCACCCCTATTCCCCACGGGCTCCGTTAGTGGCAAAGGAGATGGCTAAAGCTATGCTAAATGCTAACGATTTACTCGGGTGCATTACATAGGTCACGGTAAACTCAGATCCAATCGTTTCAATCTGCAAAAGGAGTTAACCCCTCCCACCTGTAAACGGAGCTCAATGGAGCACCTCCAGACCTTAGTACAAAATGTAATTTTTTTCTATGGTATGGTACGTCCAGGCTAACTGTGACCTGAAAAAGAATAACTATATATGCAAATACATTAGGCAAATGGGGTTTGGTCACTGAGTATATTGAAATATTTTGCTTTCTAAAGGAGCAAGTATTCTGGAGAGAAGATCCCAACACTTGAGGAAGCTGTAGAAGAGTGCATAAGACTTCAGCTGACTATTTACTTTGATGTGAAAAGCCATCCTGATGAGGTGCGTACTCTGACCTGTACAACAGTTTAATATGCATTGTTCTATGGGGCCATTAGGGGTAAAGAGCATGTATTGCCTTTTTGTATTTCTTTGTTAATGTGTAATTAATTATGTACTTTGGACTACAAATCACACATTCTAATCACACACTGGTTACTCTTGTGTAAATTAACAATAGGTCTGTCCTTGTTGAGTTCACTTTGTGTGTGCTAGTGATGTCTGAGGTTTTGCTTTTTGTTTGTTATTTCATTCTGTGGAATTTAGGACCCACTGGGGCCTTCAGCTGTTGCAAAGATTATCAATCCAAAATAAATATTGAGAGGTCTCTCTTTTCTTTCCCAGGCCGCAGCTGCGTTAAAAGCTTTGTACAAGAAGAACCCAGTCCTTTACAACAGCAGCATTGTCTGCTCCTTTGAACCCAAAGTGATCTACAGGGTAAATTCATCTCCTGGCCCCCTGCTGGCGGGTCATTAACACACTCAATGTATTACATTTGAGAAGGATATGATTTCAAAGGTTTGTCTTCAGATGATCTTGGCCCATTAAACCACTTAATGGGCTTTTTTCAAAAAGTATCAGGGAAATAATTTACCAATGAGTAAGAATATTAAACATAGGCAAAAAGTTAAATGATCCTGTTATAACTGGTTACAAAGGTACAAAGGGATACTGAAATCATCAATTCATCATAAGTCATTGAATTCCAAAACTGCTCAAGTCGAGAATCTGAATTCAAGTGATTTTAAAGCTGGGGTATCTTACTTTTTGTTTCATAAATAAAACACAGCACTTTTTTATCTAAACCCAAAGAGTGACTATTTGGCACTTTGGGCTGATTTGAACTCTTCTGTCTGAAAAATCTGATGCTGCTCAAGTAGTGACAGGGGAAAAAGAAATCCTTGTGAAAACTAGTGATAAAAGCAAATGTTTTATATGGAATTTATTACATAGTTTCATTTGGAAAGTCAGGGACCCTGGCTTTAATGTGTTTCGTGTGATTTCTGTGAAGTTGTAGCTGTATCAATGTTCATGACTGACCTTTTATTATTCTGGACTCTACAGTTTATTACTGTTTCCTGTGTGCATGTGTCAGATGAGGCAGAGTGATCCTGGCGTGGTCACAGCGCTCACACACCGGCCCTGGAGCCTCAGTCACTTGGGAGACGGGGTCCCCAGGTTCTCGTCTCCATGGAAACTGGGATGGATGACCCTGCTGGACGTGGTGCTGGACTGGGCCCTGCATCACGTGCTGTGGAGGTTTTGTGGCGTCTCGGCTTTCCTCATTCAGAAGAACTTTGTTTCTCAGTGAGTCTCTTTAAATAGATACAAAACTGTGCCATTGTGTTCATTAAGAAATTATCACAAGTGTTGTTTCCATTGGCATTTCATTATTTAAAGTGTAAAATAATTCCTAAAGATGCAGTAAGTGATTTTGTTAGCTTAGCCGTAGGACCAACTCGAAACCACTCCCCCTCCCCTCGCCTCTCCACCAAGCCAAACATCCAGTATTTTCTTTTCTTTGTCACAACAGGGAGAGTTGGTGGCAAACGTGAAATAGGCATTTTCTGTTCAGCCATTTTAGGTTTTAGAAAATCCAATAACTCAGGTGCGCACACTCGCGAGAAACAGGAAGAGGGTGAACGCATCCCATTGGTTCGTTGGGGATGAAAGAATCTCATTGGTTTATTTTTATTGGTACGCTCTAAGATATGTTTTATTATTTTTTGGAGACTATAGGCAGCTGGTCAATTCCATTACTATTTGAAAACACATGATAACTTGACTACTTTTAGGGTTTAGGGACGTTTTCCCACAATATTTAAAAAAATGCGTCTGGAAAAAATCACTAACTGCATCTTTAACGTACAAACTACATGGATATATTTGAGATGGTAAGGGTGAGCAAAACTCCCATTTAGTGGTAGAAAGTTAATTCTGCTTTTAAAAATGTGTAGAATCAATCCATCAATCTTTTTTCAGACACAAAAGGTCCATAAAAACATTAAAAACAGTACATTATTTTGTAATTAAATATCTCACTTCATTATTATTTATGGAGGACTGTGGCTACCAAAACAATAAATATATACAGAAATAAATAAATAAATGAATACATTTAAAAAAGATAAAATTTGCAAAGAAATGCATGCAATTATGAGAATAAGTGCATTTATTTCTGTATTTATATATTTATTTCTGTATTTATTTATATATTTTTATTTATTTTTGTATTTATTCATACATTTATTTCTCTTTCTGTACTTATTTTTGTATTTATTTATTTCTCTTTATTTATTTCTATATTTATTTCTATATTTCTCTATGTATTTATTTTTGCATTTATTTATTTATTTCTCTATTTATTTTTGCATTTATTTATTTTTTTCTCTATTTTTTTCTCTATTTATTTTGTTCTCTATTTATTTCTGTATTTATTTCCGTATTTCTCTTAATGATATGCAAATCATGGGGTGGGCCGGGATGCCTCTGCTGTAAGCTCATTGGTTAATCTTTTTCCTTGCTCCATAGCTTGTCCAGCATAGGCGGTCATGTTGAGATCACTGTGTTCTCGTTATAGCCATGTCAGAACGAAAAAATAAAAAAGATGGGCTACGTATCACTCATTTGCGCAGTGTTACTTTTGCGCTTTCTGCCCGATTAAAGACCAGCCCAAACTCCACAACAAGTAACTATTTCCTTCCATGACACCGAGAGAGGGGACCGGTGGCATTTCATCCCTCTCGCTTTCTCAGGCACAGTTCCCTCTAACTGCGCTTGTGCGCAATTGCGCACGGCTCCCGTGTTGTCTGGGCACAAAATAAAACATAGCTGATATGATTGAGGAGTATTAACAATCATCCTCCGCTCTGAGAGTCCACGATGTCGGCCTCTTTATGCTCATTTCCCTGTCCGGCTCGTGAGAGGCTTTTGGCAAAGGCAGCGACAGGTGCTCGTGTGTATTTTACTACAAAGCGCTGAAGTCCGCCGAAAAACCCCGCTTTCGAAGTGTGTGTTTTACACTCAGACACTGGAGCTTTCAGTGAAGGCTGAGAGACTGAAAAGTGGACGCAGCCACAGCACTGACCGAGCCATATTCATGGTACAAACTGTGGCCCGAGTGTGGGGGGGGGATACAGGCGCTCGTTCTACAGGCCCAGAGTCCGGTCGTTTTCCGCACTCAGAAACGTGTTTTCGTTGCAGCGGCGCAGTATTCTGCACAGACGCAAGGCCCAGCTCATTCAGTCTGAGTGGAAGGATGTGTTGATGAGGAGGCTCAGCTCCGAGAAACGCCTGTAGGCCTACTGACGTTTCTGCCACGAGGACTGATGTTACAGGCTGTAGTTGGTGTGGTCATTTTTGCTGTTGACTATGTTTAATGTAATGATCAGTGTGCGCCAGGGCTACGTGAATACCAAAATCTATGTACTTTAAAGTAATACTAAATGTGCCCCTGCGTGGATTTCATATGCCGGGACGGGACTTTACGTAGCTGATCCAAACGGAAAATAATATAGTCAACACTACAGTCCTCGTATGCCTGTCCGCCAGTCTTCTCAGCTCATCAGAAATTTCCCTCCAAAGCGAATCCATTTCTATCACGCGTCTCCGACTTGTTTGGCTAGCTACTAGTTGTTACTGTGGCAACATAACACAGCAGTCCCCAACTAGATATGCTTGAGGTCCAACATGCAACCGTTTACCACTCTAAAATGGAGGCTGTTCAGCGACGCAAAGCAAAGAATAATTTACTTATTTGTATAAAAAAAAAAAACCACACACACACACACACACACACAATGCAATTGTTGGATATGGAAGAATGCTTGAGATTTTTATTTTTTCGTTCTGAAATGGCTATACATAGTTCCCACATGACGTCACTACATACGGGGATTTGCCGACCCGGCGCCATTTGTGTTGGCATGCTGTGGGCAAAACAATAGAAAAAGAAGCTGAAACGTGTTAATGTCGTGATAAAGTTGAAAATGGTCATCTCCTGCTGGGTCAATGGATGTTCAAATCGTGCCGGAGGTTCCGTTAAACTTGGATTTTACAGTATACCCATCATTAGACTTCATGAATGTGAGAAGACTAAGCTTTTGTCAGAACAACCACGGAGGTTATGGCTTGCGAAGATAAACAGGCAAGAAAACTCCCTCAAAACACGCAAGAATATGCTCGGAGCACTTTGTGTCAGGTGCGTATCGTATCTTATAATGTGTTGACAGACGTAATTTACTCAGTACTAACTTGTGTATGCTGATAGCTGGTAACTTGAGAGTTTCATTATTTAGATTACTTTATTATGAGGAGGATCGGTGTCGCGTCCGAGGCTCTCGAGGGCAACGTAAATGTATTAAATAGATAATAATAGTTCTATGGTGGGCTAAAACAATGTTCACAAACAGCATTGCTTCTGTAAAAAGATCTGTGTCATAAAATAAACTGCTCTTTACGCCTGGAAAAATCAGTTGCCCACCATTCACCAAAACATACGGTCAAAAACGCGGAAATAAACAATAACAGCAATCCAGAGTGTCCGTGTGGCATTAGCATTAATTAAATTAATTGTTAATATAATTAAAATAATTAAATGGAGCTCCAACTGGTATTAAATCTAAAGTTTTTGAGAAATGTTTGCATTGCTTGTTAATTTTTGCTGCATAATTTGATCAAATATGTAAAACATGTCCGTAGCACGTTAAACTGTGGTGCCATTGTATTAATATACAATTATTTGCTCAAAAGTTGCCCTTTTTTTCCAATTTGCGTTTGAATATCTACATTTATTCTCATTCTTCTGTTTAATGGAATGCACAAACACAGCAGCGTGCCATCAAAGATGGCGTCTCCGAGGAGGTCATGTGACATTCATTGGTCTGTGGGAACTATGTATAGCGAGAACACAGTGATCTCAACATGACCGCCTATGCTGGACAAGCTATGGAGCAAGGAAAAAGATTAACCAATGAGCTTACAGCAGAGGCATCCCGGCCCACCCCATGAATTGCATATCATTAAGAGAAATACTGAAATAAATAAATAAATAAAGAAAAATAAATAAATAGAGAAATAAATTAATAAATACAAAAATAAATACATAGAGAAATAAATGTATGAATAAATACAAAAATAAATAAATGTATAAATAAATATATAAATACAGAAATACAGAAATAAATGCACTTATTCTCATAATTGCATGCATTTCTTTGCAAATGTTATCTTTTTTAAATTTATGTATTTATTTTTGTATATATTTATTGTTTTGGCAGCCACGGTCCTCCATAATTATTAGACGCACAGTAAAAAAAAAAAAAAAAAGTTGTGTATTTACTGACCTCAGGTGGTATCTGAAAGACATATGATACAGGCTCATAAACTCTAAAGCTGTGTTCCCACCGGATCATGTGTTGCAGCGAGTTTCAATGCAAAGTCAATGGTGACGTCTGTCGCGGCAGACGCTTGTTGCGGCGAGGCAGAGGCGGTGGGATGGGCGGCTAGATGCATGCAGCGAAAGCAGGAGATGAGATTCACTGAAAATCCTTGCTCCATGCAGTGCGGCAACCAATCAGAGAGCAGCAAAGTGGTCACGGGACAAAAACAGGAAGACGAAGACACCCGCAAAAACAACCAAAACATGAACTAGACAGGGATTAAACCAGGGCTGACAATGGGGACACAGTGCTTGTGAACATATGAGTTGACATTCGACTGTGAAACATTTTTTGGTAACGTGTTCCCCAATGCAGAAGTAACTCGTTAGCATCAAAGCCCCGCCCACCACTTCCACCCTGCGTTTTTCCCCAACTCAGGACAGTACGTAAGATTGACTAAACTCATTCAGCTGATATTTAGTGCGTCCATGCATCGGTGGTGGGAACACAGCTTAGAGGTGGCCTGCTACAAAATAACATTGACCACATTGAGACAGTAAAGTACATTTTTACAGATGTAATGTGGGAAGATCTCATCCTGAAGTGGTCATGTAAATGTGTTAGGGGTGGGCGATATGGCCTAAAATTCATATTGCGGTATAATTTGGGACACAGACGGTAGACGGTATATATTGCGGTATAATTTGTTGTGTGAATTTCAATATAGTTCTAGCAGGTTCCTGCATAAAATAGTCAAGATTGTTAATTATTTATATAATAGAATCTAATATATATATTTTTTGAGTTAGAAAATCAGTTGTGAGACGAATAAAGAGACAAATAACATATATTATTTATGTATGTTACAGTTAATACCATTCACTGTAAAAGCAATTTTTAAAAAGAAAAACATGTGCATTCATTTAAAATATAAAAAACTCACAAATGTTGAAATCAAAGTCTGTAGGAGTTAGACATGGTCATTATTCATAGTGTCTGAGAGTTTCGTGCAGGTGCATGACTTCAGTAAAAGCTATTTTACAAAGCTGGTCTTGCCATTTGTTGACGCTCCCTAAGCGCTTTTCTCTGCGCTGGATGATTCAATGGATTTATGTTCATTAAAACAGCGCATTGGATTTGAACGATTGATGTAAATGATCATTTTGGCACAAATAATTTTGTTTAACAAAGTAGCTTTCGTGAGATATTGACCGCGGAGGTCCGAATATGACGCTAACTTTCCCAAACTTCTGCTGTAATGCTGCGGACACGGCACACGCATGGATCTATTTTGGCTCCCGCTGGCGCTTCGAGCCTACGCCCCTTTGACACTGATTGGCCAAAAGGTAGACGCTTAAACTGTGATTACTGTGTGTATTTACCTCTGCTGGGGCCGCTGTGACAACGATACATAGACAGAAACACGGTGTTAATGCCGTGCTGTTGTTCGTTGTTTCCAGTGGTGTCCAATAGTGCTAGGCTAATGCTAGGCTAATGTGCTAGGCTAATGCTGCTGAATACCGGTTTGTTTTGGTCCTTTCTGCTGGCGTCAGAGCCTGCGCAATTTGATGACATAATGACCTATCGCAATATGCCGGTATAACAAAAATCTCTACCGTGGGCCAAATTTATATCGCATACCGCTTATACCGTTTATATCGCCCAGCCCTAAAATGTGTTCTTGTGCTGTCTTGTTCAGAGATTACGTGCAGTACTGGGCCAACAGAGGCGTGGAGGTGGTGGCCTGGACAATCAACACCAAAATGGAAAAGGAGTTTTACCAAGAGATTATGCACGTCAGCTACATCACTGACAGTCTGCTGGAGGACTGCGAGCCACACTACTGAACAACAGTCAATAATGCATTCGTAAAAAATGGACTGTTGATTTTTTTGTAGATTCTTATGTGTTTTCTTACAGGGTTCCATTTAAAGGTTATACACATTTGGTCAGAGAAACTGCATTTATTAAGCATGCACAACTTAATGTAGTGTAATTATCAACTCAGGACTGAAAGACGTGTGCATTGAATACTTTAAAGGGGTGGTATGTAAGTTTTTGGCAAGAACAACGCATAGATTGTAATTACATTGTTAAAATATGAAGTTTCTATGAATCCTCAATACAACAATCTAAGTCTTTGAACAAATATTTATGTACAATGGATACTGGCTACATACCATGCCTTTAAATCTGCACACTAAAATAAATATGGCAATACTGGTATTTATAAAGAATAGATTCATGTATATTGTAACTTTTATTATATGATCATCAATTATATGGTAATGGACAAAGTCGTAGCGTTTTTATGATTAGATAATGTCTTTTAAAAACTCATTCTTTCATCAATAAAAGATTTTTTTTGTCATCGTTTTTTGTATTTAAAAAACAAAAAAAGTGACGTCTTAGCGCTAACATTAAGCCTCTCCAGAATGTGTTTGTGTGTACATGTGTGACCTTTGTTGTAGAGTTGAATGGGGTAATTAAGTGTTGTGTATCACTGGATAAGCCGGTCTGAGCCGCTCCTGCCCGTTTGTGTGAACTACAAAACTACTACATATTAAAGCTGGGGTATCTAACTTTCAAATCACAGAATAACTGAACTATGAAATAACATGCTATCACTAGTATTCACATGCATGTATTTTCACATCTTTAAATCATCTTTTTTTAAGACAGAGAACTCACCCAATCATCTCTCAGTGACTCAGAGGGCTATTTCTTACAAGTTTGCTTAAAATAATAAATGTTTTCCCACTGTTCTTTTTTTGAGTTGTTCCTTGCCGATGCAGGAGTCAAAGGACAGTGATGATCCGAGATATTTTGTTTGTTATTATTGAATTTCTGTTTGACTCTGATAGCAATAACAATCATTCGGATTGCTTAACAAAACTTTACTTTCTGTTGGGATAAAGGAGACAAATTTAAGAAGTGGGGAAACAAGTTAGATACCCCAGCTTTAAGACCACGCGCGCCTTTCTCAGATCTACTTTACCAGCGGCTTATCATTTCAAGTTTACTGGGTGAAGGGTTGGCTGTGGGCGTGCTTCGGGTGACGCGGAAATTGAATCTACAAAATAAAACATATATATATTACGCATTGGCCATCGTAGAAGATATTCTTCAGCTTAATGGGGTTACACATTTTATTTCTTTAATCTTTACTCTAAGGGAATACACAACTTGGATCTCCACCTCTCTATAAACCAATAACTCCTATGTGTTTGTTATTATTGCAATTCCTGTGTTTTACCTGTTTTATTCTCTGATCTATTGCTAGCGAATCACAAACTTTGTATAGTCCTCCGATCCGCATTCTGTTGCTATTTTGTGCAATACAAACATAAATTGAAATCTTACGCGTTTGGTAACCGATTTTATGCTGAAGGCGAAACCGGAAACACAAACACGAAGCAATATTGTTTACTTTACGTGTCCCAAGCGTGGTCGCAGTTCTCTCTGATGTAAATATCCAAGTGTCCTTATAATCTGTGCGTGAGTCAAGCGTCAGCAGCGGCACCCACAGCCCGGGCTTGGACCACCAACACTACGCACCATTACGCACCATTACGCACAGCCTGTCCTGGTCCCTGCAGCATGTGGATCCGCTGTTTGGGTCTTTCTCCTTGGGTGACCTCCACGACTCCTGCGTGAACTGTGACCGTGGCTTCAGCACTGACCTACACCTGCTGCTTAATAAGTCTGACTTGAAAAACACGTCTAATCTCTCGCCGTGACGAGTCGGGGGTCGTACGTCTTCACGCCGTTGGAGTGGCGAGAGGCGCAGACCGTGGTGGTGGTTTTGTTGACAGCTGGCAATTGCATTGACTGCCATTCAAACTCAGTGATAGGAATTTATTTTTCTACATCGCTGGCGTCCACATGATGTACACAATTACCAGAGGTCCCAGCAAACTTGTTACACAACGAAGGACAGGTGAGCAGGAGCGCGGCGGGCTGCATGCGTAATGATGCAACGTAGCGTCATTTCTGTCTCTTTTTGGGGGGATATATTATTATTACCCGTGATCTAAACTAGCCTCACCTGGATAATTTTGTTTGTTTTTTAAGGTCCCACGCAGCAGGTAGAAAGCAAGTTCAGCGATTTGAAACTAAAGCCCACGTCTTGGTTGACCTCAAAGTAAGTTGCCAGTTTGACAGTTTGCCCGTGTTCGTGTTTTGTAAATATTCAAGGCAGGGACAGCGTAAGCAGCGCCCGTGGGCCCAAAATACATCTGCACGTGTGATCTCGTATTCTGTTTCTCTGAAAACGCAGCTTCCACGCACATGAGCTGTGTATGCATGGACAGCAATCATATGATCAAATATATGGGCAAGCGAGTAAATGTGTGTTTACAAGTCATCTAGAATCAAACACGTTAAGGTCTGTGACTGGATAGTGCAATAGTCCATTATCACCATGACTAAACAATTTCAATTTGATTTCTTTAAAGTATTTATTCGATTGATTTATTGATTAGACCCATGACAATTTAATGATTGTTCACTGTTCAAATACATTTTGAAGTTCAATGTTATGTTTATCATCTTTAAAATTATCTTTGAAAAATACAAAGATTTGTACTTTGAAAGTACAAATAAGTCACTTTTATGGTTATTATTATTGTATCATTGGTTTCTGCCAGTATAAAATGCGGTTTTCTGGGATTGTTCTGCTATCCATGAGTTTCATTTTCTGGTGACAGATAATGAGGACTTCTGTTGCACAGACTGGGTTTTAAAGACACAATTCTAAATTCTCAAATTCTTACACTCATTAAATGCTTATTTCCGCAGCTATCCTCCTTCAAACATTGTGTTCCATCGCCTCAACGGGAAACGTTACAACGGAGCAGCTCCACATAAGAGTGATGGTTCGGCTGAAAGCTTCACTCCGGCACATGAAGAAAATGTCAAATTTGTCTTTGAAGGTGAGGCCAAGCAGCTCAAAAAGTCTATGTAATTAAAATGTTTCTCAAACGGTGGGTTTCAGAGAAAGAACAAGTCCTCATCTTCAGCCCCATGATTGGCATCGGTTGAGTTCAGTCCATGCTGATAATTGACAGTGTTTATAATTATTAGAATCTTTTTGGGGAGCAACTTGGAAAGGCCGAGCTGTAGGTTACTATATCTTTCCCTATAAGTTATAAATCAGCTTTATTTGTTAGAACTGGTGTTTCAAGTTATTTTGAACAACATATAACGTAACGTAGTTCTTTTTGTGTCTTACAAAAAATCAACACTGGTAAACTATTCCACACAGTGACCGCTACAACCCTCAGTCTTATTGTGTCGAAGCTGATAAACTCCAGAGCCAATGAGTATATTTAGTAACATATTTAGTTTGTCTGAAATCCTTCTTTTTGTGCAGCGTGGCAAGATGTGGAGCAAAAACTTGAAAATGGTGCAGACGTGACAGACCACAAAGGCCCAGTGCAGTATGCTGAGAGGACCCCAAGTGCAGCAATGAAGAGTGAGTCCACATTCTATGTTCTGTGATTCTATCCACTTCTGAAATAATGGGATAACATTTTAGACATCTAGACATCTAGAGGAACATCTAGAAACCATTTTGATTTCTTGATAAAACTAAGTTTCAGACAAAAAAAGCAGGTGCAGTCAAACTAATTTAAACATGTATTTACATAAATTATGGGAAATTGTCTTTACAGTACTCTCAAAATAGCTTATTTTCAGGTGTTTTTACTGTGTTGTTGGGCAGAAGTATAATATTAAATTGGATGAATGATTGGCAGATGAGTTTTTGGCTGTAACCAGAGGGCAACTAATTTTTAAACGGCGTCAGTTCACACCTGTTTGTGCCCAGTCCAGAAACGACATCTCACTCGGTTCATTCAAGGATAAAAGGATTAGACATTAGGTTCAGCCCACATTCATTATTGCATTTTTCACATCTAAAGCCAGTCTCAACACAACTACCTGTAAAGGCCTGCCAATTGTGTTTAATATATTCATACACGCACATGTACATGTACATGCAGGAGAGTTATCTACTTTTGTTATAGTAACATGTTTTTTTGTAATTAATATAATGTACCAACAAGTTGATAATAAATATGATGGAATCTCTTTATCCCTTGTTTTTCCTTTTACCCACTAAAAACACATAAGTCTGTAAAATGTAATCTTCATCTGTTTGAGAACAAATGTGTCTGTCTTTTTGAAGCTGAGGGCCTGTAGTTTTGGCATCTGTTCTTTTATATTGAGGGCAAACGAAACATTTCAGGTTTTTTATTTAGATTCTATTATATTTGTAAGTGTGCCTGGAGTAAGTATCCAAACAACTGTTTGTACAATTCCCCTTTCACAGCAGAGTGATTGTGACTTAACTCTTTAATGGTTTCCTCAACCATTTGGTAGATCACCTTTCGATTCTCTATCGACTTGATTCTTGCAACCTAAATCTTTGGAGCATCTCATTTGGTTTTAGGTTCTTACTGCAAATCCACTATTTGGTAAAGGCCTATGATTTAAAAAATAATAATTGTGTTATTAGTGTCCTAAATCTTATAAAATACAAATAAAAACATTGCTTCAAGGAGTGAACATTTAAAGGGTTAGTACAAACGTTAAGCATGCGCTTTTAAAATGATTAAAATTCAAATAGGTTTTGGATATGTAAAATTGCAGCTGCCTCAATATTATCATCAGACTGCTGTGACCTGACCAAAAGGTCCAGACAAGGACCCTTTCATGAAGTTGCTGGTTTTATAATATTAGAACAAATACAATCCAAACCATCATTTTCAGTGTTAAACAATGAGTATATCATGTGACACTCTGTGATTGGATAATCTACTTGAGAGTTAGTCTTTAGTTAAACAAAAATGTTGGTAAATGTAGCAAATAAACCCAAATGTGATTTGTACATACTGAGTCTAATGCACGTTGTAACTGTCTGCAGATTTTGTGCCCATTGATCTGGAGGAGTGGTGGGCCCAGCGCTTCCTGGCTAACATTGCGAACCTGACCTGAGCATGGCGTGGTCAGTGGCGCGGTCAGTGGTGCGGTCAGTGGCACGGGCCGAGATTCAGCTGCAGCCTCTTCAGGCGCCGCAGCTCCAGTGGATGTAAGAGTCTAACATAGTGACGATACGGAGACACTGCCTCCTTACTGAACTGTTCTGCAGAGCTGCCTTTCTCGCCACTCGAACGATGTATCGACAGGCCTCCTGTTTCAGCTGTGTGTATTTACTAATCTTTGGACAACCATTTTGGATAAAAGAAAAACAGTAAAGTGTTTTCCAAGATTTTGTCTGAATCTGTCCTTTTTATCGCATGAAAGAGTGGTTAAACTTCAAACATTTATTATACATAATTTATAAAATTAATTATAAAACATTCTAAATTACAAACATAAAAATATATTTTGCCACAGTATAAAAATCCAACTTAATAAAAGTTAAAATGCCTTAGTGTGCGGCTGCAGTGTTCTTTTTACGCCTCACTGCAGTCTCACCCTTGTTCTTTTTGACCCGGCGGCGGCTGGGGGCGGACTGTCCTGGTTTGGCTGTGGTGAAGGTGATGCACTGAGAGTCCAGGTAGTCTGCTAGTTTACTAACACCAAGACGAATCCCAGCTGTCTTCAGCTGTTGCTGAAGCTGAGTCAGGACCAGGGGCTGGTACTGAAGGATCTTGTTGTAGAGAGAAGAATCAGACATAATAAAGGTTCGAACAGCCTGCAGCCGGTCCTGCAGACGGGAGGCCGACTGAGAGGCAGACACGCCCCCGTCACTGTCCGAGTCCCCATCAGACAACTGCACGATCTCTGGGTTTGATCTGTGAAAAGTGAACAAAAGCTTCACTGATAAATGTTGAAACTCCTCCGTAATTACATGATGAGGATGATAAAGTCTGCCATATCAGGTTTAGAATATGCAAAAGAATGGGCAGGTACCTTTCTGATTCTGCGGTGGAGGAGGTGTTTGAGCCCTGAGAGGCAGACAGTGGCTCGTCCTCCGTCGGTTGTTTAAGAGGAGAGGTAGTTACTGCTGAGGGCTTTTTGAACTTTGGAATCGCACAAGAAGTCTGTCTGACTGCTGCTGGGATGGTTTGACCAGCAGAGGGCGCCTCATCCTCAGAGTCCGAACTGACCAGCTGGTGGGTGTACTGGTGGATCTCCTTCAGCTTTAAAACCATTTGGCGTTTAGGTAACGGTCGAACTCCAAATCTACAAACATATACATCAAGTGTGAAGCATACTTTATGTATAGGAGGTACTGACTGATCTGACAAGGCTGTGGAGGAGGTGATGAGAGAATCTCCTCAATGATTCAATCAATATCAAGTCTTAAATAAAATGGCTACAAACTTGTTCAATTTGTTCTTCAGCTCGGGTGTGTCCATGTCGGAATAGTGAGGCAAAGGAGTAATGGGAACAAGAGATTGTCGATTTTTGAATTTGGAGACTAAAAAGAAAAACAAAAATGTTAAAAACACAAAAAGTGATAAGCTACAGTATTATAAACTGATTAACCCTAAGTAATAAAGAGCACTTACTTGGGGTCTTGTATTGCACCGGAGGCTTCAGTCTCTCAGACAGCGATGGGAACGTATCCTTCTCATCTTCATCGTCCCAACTGTCCCAGACTTTGGAGTCCATGAGTATGTTGTTGACGTCTTGAGGTGCTTCAATTTCAGGAGGCAAAATAACAGATGTTTCGGTTGACATTCTGTGTGGGGATGCAGAAGAGCTTATCCCGGCATTCATAGATTGCGGAGTAGCCATTTTGATATTCTCCAGACTACGCTGCTGCTGATCAGAGCCTTCGCTGTCGTCGAGTTTGAGACTAAAGCAGGGGTTTTCCGCACAAGCATCAAGGCCCCATGAGTCATTGAAAGCCATAGGAGGCTCATCCATAAAACTTTGTCCTAAACAAGAGTTTTCTCCTTCAGCATTAAGACAATCCTGGTTATTTTTTTCCAAACTTGAATTCTCACTTCCCACTCCGCTTCTTGTGTTGCAGTCTTCAGATATTTTGCTTTTAATGGAGGACTTACTGTGAGAAGAGGACTGCTCTGACAAAGGAGAGAGATGGAAGCTCTGAACTTTCTCAGGGCTCGGAGAGATTTCAGTATTCATTGGATTTGACGCTATATTCTCCACACTGAAAGGTGAAGCTGGTGTTACCTTGGACGTAACAGTCTGTACAGGAGTGCTGCAATAGGCCGGGAAGGGGATGGGTGTGTTCTGTTTGGTTTGTGTGTTGCTACTGTGCTTTGAAGTGCTTTGAGGCACCGCAAACCCAGAAGAGTCCAGTTTTTTCTCACGTGTCAAGTCCAGGCTACTTTTTTGGTGACTTGTTACTGAAGTAGAAAATGAGGCTTTACAAGATAAACTTTTGGACATTGAGTCATCCTGTTTTGGGAACAGTTGTGTCCTACAAATGTTGCTTTTGATTTGAGAGGAACTGGTGCGGACACTCTTGCCAGGCTGGAGCGGCGTGGAAGGGATGAGCCAGGATAACTCTCCAGAGCAATCTTCCGGGCTTATTTCGCCTTCGGGAGCTTTGTCATCAGCTTTGTCTGTGTTCAGATCATTTGTATTGGGAGTATGCGGCACTTTAATTGCAGTGAAGCTCTTTTCATTTTGAGACAAAGGGCTGTTGGAGCTCTGAGTAAGATCCACGCACATGTCATCACTGGAGTCAGACAGAAATACCAACTCAGGTTTTTTTAATGGAGAAGATACACATTTGAAAATAGTCTCTGCATCTTGAATTTTGGACTTTTTCAATATCTCCTCCGCTCTATCGCCCTCTCCCCAATGTGCAACAGGGGACAGAGCAGGAGACACACCAGGTACAGGCAGGTTCTGTGCATTAGGAGGAGGAGTCGGAGACAGCTTATCAATCACACTCGCTGAGGACTGAAGCAACGTTCTGGCCGACATTTCGGAGGATACGAGACGAGCAGGCAGATGAGACTTTTGTTCTGGTTTTTCCTCAAAATCACCCCAAGTTTCTGAGAAAAGGCGACTGTAGCTTCGATCCAGACTGGTGTTAACAACATTCTCAGTGTTTGCATCATGGATCTTAGGCGGACTTGTGGATATCTCTGGTGGATCTCCACTGTCTGCCTCGTTTTCTTCCTCTCTCTTTTTCTGAGTAGCAGCAAACTCGTAAATCTCCTCCAGTTCGTCCTCGTTCACTTTGTCCTCTTGTATTTCTCCGTCGCCCGAGCAGATGTCCCCAGGGTGGTCCTCCATCTCCTTACTGTCGTCCAAAGAATGGTGGTCGGCGTCTTCGGGGTCCTCCTCATGCCACATGGAGCGCAGAAGCTCGGCGAAGTCCTTGTCCGTGTGTGTGATTAGACGCTCGCAGTCCCCGCTCTCAAACACGGTCTCTGGAAGCCGGCAAAAGTCCTGGAGATCTTTTAAGTCAAACCTGGAAATTAATGTAAACAAACGTTGACACCATGGAAACAACAGCAGATGTGACAAACGACGAGTAGGCAAAACATTGTACTGTGATTATTCAGATATGCTTTTTACTGTTTTATGATTCTTTCAGTTTTTGTTTCTATACAGCACTTTGGTGTTGCCCTGTGTAGGAAATGTGCTATACAATTAAACTCGCCTTAATCTGAGACGATCCCCAAATCTTTTTTAATCCTCTACAGTAATACATTAACATGTATTAGAGGGCTGATGGGAAACCAAAAAGTACTGCGTTAAATTAATCCAAAAATATTTATCACTATATAAGCCATAAAAATGAAAGGCAATTCATACAGCATCTCTTTCATCTTTCTAAGTTTTTTTCAAATACTTAATATACTTTGATAAACTAACATTGCTGACCAATCCAAATCCCTGCAAGCTTTGACCCCTGATCTAAGTAAGTCGGATATACTGCACAAAACAAGCTAAGATTACAGATCATATTTTGAAACTATTGGACAAATCTAGGCCTAACGGATATTGTTACTGTATTGTTACTGTGTTAAAACCAATTGTTTAAGATGGAGGAATTTGTAAATGGTTCATGACAAAAACAAAATAAACTAAAGAGACCTGGAAGCCAGTTCGAGGATGTAAGGCCGCAGTGAAGGAGGAACGGAGCACTTTGCAGTGTAGAGGAACTGGAGCAGGGCCAACACAGCCGGTCCCGGGACGTCGTTCAGCAGCACCCTCTGAGCAGCAGGCACGCCCTCCTCCTGCACCCCAAAACCACTCTCATGCATCTGAACAGACAAAACCACTTTGTTAAAACACAAACAGTCATAACTAATACACAGAGGTACATTACGACTATGGAAATCAGTGAAAACAATAACGCTTGGCCTGCAAACAAGGAGAAGCTAGAAGAAATCTCGAAGAGCACAGATCACCTTAATAATCTAATGTCTACTTCTGAGTGTTATAGAATATGTTTTAAGAATCTGGCCATAACTTTTTGCAAACTAACAGACGGGCACACAAACCCTGGCCGAGGTAATCATTCAGACAGAGATGGTATCAAGCAAAGAGATTTTTATTTTGGATGTTGGCTATACACTCAAATTCCATGATATTTTAAAGACATATGATCAATTATGTTCTTGTGCTGTTCCTGATGAATGTGCTGGAAATGTCAAAATCAAATATTGAAGTGTTCTTACCATCTCAGCCAGCAGAGGGCAGCGCGCATACACCATGAAGGAATGAGCAAAGTAGACTTCCCCACTGTCCACCTGTAGCTGCACATCACTGAGCTGAGGGTTGTTGACCATGGAGCCCAAGTCCACAGCGAGTCTCGCCAAGAGCCGCTGAAATCACAAAACATCACTCAACACAGTTCGTACACAATCAACTTGTGAAACACTACATTTATAGCCAAGGCTGATTTGAAATGTCCGTCCTTTAACACAATCAAAAACACATTTAACATTGTTACTTTGAGTTTATCTTACTGTTTTTTGTCTGGCCTCCTCCTCTTCCCGCTGTTCTTTATGATCATCGTCAACGGTTTCAGGTAAGAATCCGCTCACGTGATCGTTACTGAGCTCCTCCTCTTTCTCCACAACAAATGAATGTAAGCGTGAGATGTGCTTCTTGCCGCTTTGCTGGTCTGAGAAAACACACAACTATTTATACATCAAATTATTGTAATTAATCATGCATTACTATAATTTATATTGATCGTGTGTGCATCGTCCACCTGTTGTAATAATGTAGGTATTGTAAGAGAATCACAGACATAGGAACTAATTCTGTCAAAACACAAAACAGTTGTAACCTTCACTGTACTAGTCTGGAACCCTCTCCTGGTATTTGCATTCTGTACTTACTTTTAAAACATACGTATGGACTCTTTCCAAAGTGAAATTATGGTTTTATACTTCAGCCAATAAAAATGATAACAGGCATTTATAGTGTTTTTCTTTTTTTGAGTGCTTCCTTTGTCCCTCTTTTGTAACATGCACTGCAACTAGGGTCAAATGTATCCAAAAATGTAATCAATACTAAAGCGAAGCGAATACAAAAACTAGATAAGATTTCTGCGTAGCAAATAGACCAAAGAAAGACTTTTTTTAATAATCACTGTGGTATCTTTAAATACATTTCTACAGAACTGACAGAACTTTAATCTACCATTTATATTGTCACCTTTTGTAAGCTCTGTGGTGGAGTAACCGTACTGCGTCAGTGTCATCCCATCCTCAGCCAAATCCATGAGGTCTTGAAGAGCCTGACTGCCTCCAGGGATCTGCCGCCCGGGGCCCGGAGTGGACAGAGGAGAGGAGCAGCCCATCTGGGAGGGCACGATGGAGGCACAAGAAGTTCTTGACTTCAGTATTGGAGTGGCTGCAACTTCCCCACTCACAACAGTCTAGAATAGAATAAATAAAAAACAAAATATATAGCTGTATATATAATTTTTACCATTGTGTATGCTTATAATAACAATAGTACTTTTCTAACCGTTGAAGATTCTTGGGGAGCTACAATGTCTAGAAGCGCCGGGACATAAAAGTCAGTTGGGCGCAATCCTGAGAGCAATGCACTTTTCTGCCAAAGGGGGGCAGCACCACTCTGGCCAGACAAAGTGGAGGTGCACCGCGTGGGAGCGGGAGGAGATGGAGCTCGAGTGCAGAGCAGTAGAGTAGAGACACGTTCTTGTATCTTGGCTGCAGCTGCTCCTGGATCCTGCACAAGTAGCAGCGGAAGAGGCCGAGCGTTTGCGCCTCTTTTCTTTTTGCTGCGTCCTTTTCCTTAAAGAAAATTACAAACAAACAGACTAAATAAAATCTAGAAATTATACTACAGTAATGATAAAACACAATATGATTAAATATTACATTAGAATTTCACTTATTATAGTCTGGAGATTCAAAAGGCACTTTCAGTTTCCATGTGCTTACGAATACACATAATATGCATGAAAGTATACCAGCATCTGCGTTCCACTTCAGGGCTGGACTCTTTGATGTGCTGGGGGCAGTTGCATCCTGAAGATTCAGCTGTTTTTCTTGTTCCAGCAGTGATGACGACAGCGCAATCGCCATCATTGTGTCTTCATCCATATGTCCAGGCTTCTTCCTAGGCTTCTTACTTGCCGGCATGTTTGACTTTGAACCTTTTCGTTTTTGACCTGCAGTCTGTGTACTGCAGGTAAAATTAGGTTTTATTAGAAGGTGCATGTGACAAGTTAGATTCCTTATTTCTCAATACAGCTTGAATCCAATGAAGATGCAGTTCCATTCCTTAAAAAAATTCCAGACGATGATCCGGATCACCTCCAAAATCCACCCAAAACTTTTAGCTATTTTACAAACTAACAATAACTTGGTTACAAGAGTAGAAAAACAGATAATGATTACATAAACATGAAAACCTGGAAAAATTGATGAAAATGGATGGACATACTTTGTGGCTGAGCTGCTGTGGGTTTCCTCTGCCTGTCGCTGCAGAGCCTGCATCAGCACAGCAGGGGGGACCCCCATATCAGAGGAGCAACGCTTCATGTGGGACGCTCGATTCTTTTCCGACTTAAATCTCTTTCCACAAATGGGGCATTCCATGATTCCTGGGGCCGGCGCAGGTGCTATGTGCTCTTCTTCATCTAAACACCTGCAAAATAAAAACACAATTTGAGTTATAACTGTTCTATAATAGGTGAAAAAGAGCTTTCAATTTTTTTTTAATGAATTATTACTTATTATAAATTCTGTCATCAAACATGATTCCTCAACACAAATATATATACTTTTTTTTAGGATTAGTTCCAAACTATTTTGACACAGGTTTTTACATAAACCGAACCAGAAAAAGATCCAGCCAGAAAGCATTTAAAAAAGTTATTCCTTCCATCCATCTTCTTCCCCTTAATCAATTCCTAGGTCAGGGGGGTGGCAGTCAGAGATGACACCCAGAGCACCAGCCCCTCACTTGATCCACCTACAAGTGGTGAGTCCACAGGGGGATGGCTGCTCTGTTAATGATGACACAGGCCTGATCTGTCAAAAGGGGCTTCAGGCAAAGTGGGGTTAAGTGTCTTGCCCAAGGACACAATGACAGCAGACATCAGTGGGAGTCGGTGACAAGGTCTCATGGTGGGCTCGAACCCACAACCTTAAGGCTCAAAGACCAATGCTCTACCAACGAAGCAACTGTTTCCTCCAGTTAGTAGAGCATTGGCCTACCAACTGGGCAACAGTTAATCCTTGTCGAACTAAAATATAAATCCTCTTACAGCATCTGATGTGTTGTGGAGGTACCTTGAGGTAGTAATACTATTAATAAAAAACAACCCACATTCCAGCTACTCTACAGCATCTCATCCCTGTGTGAAGAGAACGACTCGTTTCAAGAATATGCCACTTAGCAAATGATTAATATGTCATGCAGCCGTCTCAATTCAGAAACAGGTTTGTTTACCTGTTAATGTGCTGTGTGCGTCCGTCGGGCGTCATGTGTGAGAGGTTCTTGTTGCAGAGTTGACAAAAGAACAGTCCCTCGTCCTCCAGATCCACAGCTCGTGTGTCTCTGTCCAGCTCCTGCTGCAGACGCATCGCCAAAGCTTCATCACTGTCCACAGCTCCAGGGTGGATGGGCCTCTGGCACTCTGCTTTGTACATACACAGCTCGTTCAGATAACACAAAACTCAAGAATAGTAGTTTTTGGCAAATGATCACCACCCAGACAGTTATGAGAAGCCATGAGCTTGTAAAAGTATTGTGTTAAAATATTACATTAGGTGGGCAGTTATTACATACACAGGAGGAAAATCTACATTGAGTGTTATGGACAGTAGTTCACAAAAATGTATGATGCAGTTCTCTAATTATTAATAATCCTCTCCAATATCAATGCTGAATGCAATTTTGATTCTTCGTGTTGTTAACTTTATAATTTCTTCTATTGAAAAATACATAATTACGTACACACAAAAATTGCATATCCAAAATGTGATACAGACCAAAATGTTGATTCCAAAAGCATTTTATGTCATCCAAATAGGTAAAATAGCTCAACTTCTTTACAATCATTTGCTACTTGTTTTGTTTCCTGTATTTGGAAGTATGAACAGTTTACCAAATGAAGTTCTGTTACCTTCTTGAATCCCCTGGTCTCCCAACATCATCCTTGGTGGACTGGCTCTTCTGAACTTGCGCATGTTGAGGAGAGCCTGATCTTTTACCCTTGTCCCAGACGTGGCAGATGAAGTGTGGGGCTCAGCGTTGTCATCTTTACAGACTTTCTTTTTCCCCTTCTTTCCCAAAGTGGTCTGGCTGCTGCTCTGCTGAGGGCATGTCTTCAACTCTCTTGGATCTACAGTATTTTTACGGTTCCTTTTAAGAAGCTTTGAGCAAGGATCTTCAAAATCCTGACCCGAATCATCCATATTGGCACATAATAAGAATAATATATCGATAGGAAATACGTAGCTACGTGTTGTTTTGTGGTAACCATATATACAATTGAACGTACTTGTAGTAACACAGTTAGCAAATAGCAACACTCCCCAAATGTGTCAATGCTAACGCTACTTTAGCTTGAGAACCTAATTTGTCAACTGTTGCATACAAATGGACCTGTTCGTACCCACATTGAATAATAAATCTCACAATTAAAGACCCGTAGAGCTGTTTTCATCTTATGCTACACGTTCAACTAAACCGCTTCTTCTTCTTGTTGTTGTTGTTTCGGTTACGTCGTTACGTCATTCCGTTTCCGGTCACATGACTCGTACCGGACTTGAAAGACTTACGCGGTGATAACATTTTGTATTATAATTATAATTGTATACTTTAGCGAAACAATTGTTAAGCATAAAGAATATGTTTCTAAATATTCTACAGCTATTCATTTTGTTTTGAGCGCCACTGAAATTTATCCACTGGACAGATAAAGATGCCTTGTCCTATAAAACTGAGCCAGAACCTTTCTATTGTGCTCATAGAATATTACTTACTCAACTAAATTGTCGCTATTGAATGTCCTGTGTTCGAACGGTTTGACACATTATAGCGAATTGACAACTTTGTAAACTCCTCCAAGACGACTGCTGTTGTGATTTAAGGCTATACACAAATGAATTGAAGTCCATATTTAAAATTTTTGTGCAAGAGGTAGACAAACTGTTGGGTAATCCTGCATTACTGTCCACAATTGAAATGTGTCCCAAACATTTATTTGACAAATTTGCAAAAGCTTAGGATGAATTCTGAATCTACAACCATGTCATGAGTTCTCAATTTCTGCTTCTTCACAAACTGGCTCGGGTTTAAAATGATCTTCTCATAGTGTCAACCAAACCAAAAATGAAAAATGAAGAAAAAAAAATTCTTGTATCTTGTGTGAAAGCTCAGAACCTACTGCATTCTTTCTAGAATCTGCATTGATTGGTATTGGTACTCACATTCAGTAATCATTCAGATCGGAAAGAGGCATTTTAGGTTTAAAAACTGGATTTCAGAAAATTATTAATTCTTCCTTTACCTGTTTCTGATTATACAATCAGAACAGGTAAAGGAAGAATTAACCATCTTGGAGCACCAAAAAGACAATACTATCCAACGCCTCCATTATCAATATTAACAATGCTTAATTTTAACACAGATCTGAGTTAAATACTGAATAAAGGACAACGCAACTTTGAATTTGGCACAACGTAAGCAGCATTACTTAAACAGAACCACTAATTAAAGGCTACAATTAAAGCTAGTAAGCTACCACCAACTAAAAGTGTGTGCAAAAAATGGCATCAATGTATATTGTAGGGGTCAGCCCCATAAGACAAAAAAAGGGATGCCTCATTATAATCCAGTCGACAGTGTACAGTGATTCTTCTGTTGCACAGTTTATTTAACAATATGGTATAGAAGTAAGAAATGAGTCTTTATTTTACCAATACAGCAATTCCATTCTCTTCCTTATATTTATAGTTTTTTGTTTAATAACTTGATTTACAATAGGAGAAAAAGTTGAACCCCAATTTCAAGTTTTTTGGGTGAGGGGAATGGCGGTTGTCATGTAGTTTTTCTTGTTACACATTTCAAATGCGCCCTCATCTATGTGCATAACATTTAGATGAGGGGGGTCATTTAATATATAGCATAGAGGCAACCAGCAATCCATCCTCCACAGATCAGGGGGCTTGTCTGTTTCTCTCACTCTCTTTACACTTTACAACATCTGTATGACAAAAAGTATGACAAATTCAAAGCAATGTTTTTTTTTTTTTTACATCTGCAAAGACAATTTTTTTTTTTTTTTTTCAAATAGCAGGCCACTTGGATGGCAGTCCTTGTATCCAATTTTTTAGACTGGGTTTGTGTTGGTGTCTTCATGTGCACCTGCGTGCATGCTTGTGTATACACAACCTGCAGCAGTCAGTTTCCTCTGTAATTACAACCGAGTGCTCTTCATACACAAAAAGAAAGGGAGCGGTCAGTCCCTGAATGCATCATTTGAACAAATGGGTACAACACTAGATTACAAAAAACCCTGGCCCAACAACTCCCTGACAACACAAATATTTTACAGTTGCAACACAAAATGTTTTAAGGTCTCTCCAAAAGGTACAAAATAAAAGATATGAATAATATAATGCAATTTTACATTTTCTTTAATAAAAGAAACAAGAAGGCATGAAATCATACCAAAAACAAACCAAAAATAAATTGAATATTGAACACATTTGGTCTCAACCAAAAATATATTCTGTATGATTTATTTTTATTTAAGAAGCAACTTGCAAATCCCTCAACATTTTAAGGAAGAAGACCCCTAAGAACAGGGCGTAGAAAACAATTATATCCCATAGAAGTATTTAATTATTTTTTGACCAAATAGTCTTTATACAGAAGAAACATTTTTACATGTCAGTACAAAAACATTCTCGGCCTTAGAAAGAACAAACAAAGCCCTCAAACATGTTGGGATACAGAAAAACAGGACGGGAGGTCGGTCCATAGGGGGGACTGTTCCATTTGTTCCCCGCACAGATGCTACAATCCCTCAACAAATTTCTCTAGTGTGTCCCCTGTAGCATCTCCCACCAATTCATTGTTCAACCCTCTGTTGGGCGTGTTTATCTGTGGTAGCATGGCGCTCTGTTCTGGAGTCCCCAAATGTCCCTGCTCCATAGATGCCGACAGAGGGCCCCCTAAGCCTGGATGCGGTGAGCCCGTGTGCGGCAGGTGCTGCGGCGAGGGCTGGGTTTGCACCTGTGGCGAGGGACTGGAATGTGGCGGGAGCTGAGGTTGCGAGGGCGGACAGGGCGACTGGACTGGGGCAGGGGAGCGGACTTGTTTACCAAGAGCATTAGTAAGTGCGGGCTGTCCAGGAAGGTGAGGGCCACCCAGTGCCTGTCCCGCTAGCAGGTGTGTCTGGGGGCTTATAGGGCCAGGCTGCACGGGAGACCCCATCTGCTGTTTGAGAACAGCTTGCTGCTGCTGGGGGATTTGCTGCTGAAGCATTCGCTGGTGCAGTAGATTCTGGGTAGAGTCCATGGCCAAACCAGGCTGACCAATTTGGTTCATTGGTGAGAGTTGGGTCATAGCCCCTGCTGCTGTCCCCGCTCCAGGCTGCATGGTGATCTGCTGCTGCATGCGGAGCTGGGAGTAGGTAGTTGTGGGGCCAGGGGCCTGCGCTGGGAACTGGCCATGGCCTTGGGGCATCACACCCTGCTGCTGCTGTTGTTGCTGTCTGAGGAGCTGTTGCCGCCGGTAAATCTCTTGGAGCTGAGCGGCGTTACCATGTGCTGAATTTATGAGCTGGCCTTGGGGTCCGAGAGCAGTCATACCCTGGGCAGGAGGCTGCTGAGGGGGCATACCAGGCCTCTGTACAGCTCCACCTGGCATTGCCATGGCTTGCATGCCACCCATCTGTGGCTGCTGAGGTTGACCTGGCTGAACCTGCGGTTGGTTGGCATGGTACTTGGCTGTCCGCTGCTTTATGAAGGCAGCCATGAGTTGAGGGTTTGATTTTAGGATGTTAAGAACCTGCTGTTGCTGTTGTGGGGAGCTTGGGGACTTCAAAGTACGGAGAAGGTCCTGGAGAGCATTGGGAGCAACTGCTCCCGGCCTTGGGGGTGCCTGCGGCCGGACGCCAGGTTGTTGAGCGATGAGCATTCTCTGCCCTGGCTGAGGCTGTTGTCCAGGGGCAATCATAGGTCGCTGCATGGCCATGGTCTGTGGATTCTGTCCTGGCACAAGGCCTGACTGCTGAGGTTGTGGAGTCTGCATGGGTCCTGCAGCTACGGGCCACTGACCTGGAGCCATGTTGGGCTGCATGACTTGTTGTGGGGGCCCTCGAGGTCCAGGGGCCATCTGCATTGGGGGCTGCATCGGCCCACTCATGCGTGGCTGAGGAGACTGGTTCATGGGCAGCCCGTTGATGTTGACCCGGTAGTTGGATTGGTTCTGCTGGGCCTGTGCAATGATCTCTATGTGCCGAGCCATCTTGACCGCTGCGAGTGGGGGCTGCTGGGCCATCTGCTGCTGTGGCTGAGGGGGCTGCGGCAGAGGGGACTGCTGCTGATGCAGAGGAGAAGCCTGTGGGCCAGGTTTCCCCTGAGGAGGTGGCTGTCCGTTGCGTGGGGCATTAGGATATGAGGGGGACATCACACCCACAGAGTTTGGAGTCTGTGGTTGATTAGACATGGGCGGCTGAGGGGTCTGGGGAGTAGTGGGTTGTATGTGACCAGTGGGCGTATTGGAAGCAGCGGAGGTAGGTGGGGAGGGTAGCGGCATGCTCCTGGCCTGCATGGTAGCCATTCTTCTCCTCATCATCTGGGCCTGCTGTAGCCTATGCTGCAACTGCTGCTGGCGAAGCTTGTGTTTGATATTCAAACAGAAGGGGACAGGACACTTGTTCTCCTGACAGTGCTTTGCATGATAACAGCACAAAGCAATGAGCTGTTTGCAGACAGGACAGCCACCATTGGTTTTGCGTTTGCAACCTTTGGTGTGCTGAACCACACGCTTCATTTTCTGACAGGAAGGGAGTGAGCAGTTGGCATTGCGACACTGACAAGCATGGACCAAGGACTGTATACAGCGCTGAATACTCAAGCGGCGACTCTCCTGTGGGCTCTTTGACGCCTCCCCGCTCTGACTGTTGCTGTCGTCGTCCAGACCAAGACCCCACTTGACCATCTGATGATCGTGGCCCTTTGAGTTGTAACAGTTAATGCACAAGTCAAAGTCCTGAGCAAAAAAGAAGAATTAGACATATATATATATATATATATATATATATATATATATATATATATATATATACACACATACACACACACATGAAATACAACTTCAACACCAGAACACCACCAGGCATACCTCACAAACTGTGCAGTGCCAACGAGTCTCCACATGATGTTTGCACTCATTACAAGTGTAGACGAAGCGGTCCTGGCCCTGGTTATGCAACTCGACAAGCATGCACATTGTGCTCCACTTGCATCTTCTGAGAGAGCTGAACTCCCAGTGTTTGTCTCGAGCTAAAGTGAGGAACGCATCCCGCCCATCCATCAGGTCACAGGAGAGCATGGGGTCCGGGTCCACGAGAGGCGGCAGAGTGTTGATCATTTGTGCAGAGTGGAGGTGGATCACAAAGAACACCTACCGTAATTTAATGAGAAAAATATATATTAGAGACAAACCAAATTTACAAAATTGTATTTTAACCAGCAACTCTGACCTCTTTGTGCTTCTCCAAAGTTGCATACAATTTCTGGGACAAATCATTTGCTACGTTCGGCATTCCTGGCTTCTTCTTATTTGCTCGGCTCACGCTGCTCTTGTTTTTGTTTGTCTTTTTATTGTTCTTTTTCTTTGCGTTTTTGCTGTCCACTGGAGTCCCCTGTGGAAGAGATATTATTTAATGACTGGTCGATTAAAACCTGCTTGTTTATCTTGCACACAAGGCAACTTGAAAAGCTCTTAGAGTAGTAAAACTCTCAGATGAATGGAGCTGTACTCTTCATGGTACAGCTTCCTTCGCACCAACATTCTCCATGTGTTCCGTGCTTGTGTTTCACTTTTGCCTATTTATTTGCACTAGGTCATAAACACATGGTGAAAACGTTAACCGTCCACGTTTGGGGAAAAAAAATAATACGAATGTGTCAAGTCAAAATGTGTTAATTTTGACTCAATTTTGAGTCAAAATTTGTTAATTTTGAGTCAAAATTTGTTAATTTTGACTTGACACATTATACATTCCCAACCTCACCCAAAAATAAAATAAAAACATAATATATAGAATATATCCACTGGTCGCCAAGCTCTGGTGCACATACAGATCCTATGTCTCAGGCTTGTTCTTCAGTTCCAGAATGACCAGACAGAGCAGTAGAAGGCAATTGTCGTGCCAGGGACTTGAGGCAAACCAGCCAATTAACATAAGCTTAAATTTACCTTATCAATTCATCCTACACCTTTAGAGTAAAAAACAGTGAAAGTCAGCTGTAATGCAAACAAACTTTACTATTCCACTCCATGGTCAGTGAGAATTCTTAAGCCAACCAGAGTTTATTCTTCTAACAGTTGTATAGTGGTTAAAATAGTCCTTTGTTCCAATGAAAGATGGGCAGAGAAAGCTTCTGTCTTTCTCTGCCCATGATCAGTCTATTTGTTAAAATGTCTAACCTGCTTTTAGCTAAACATCAATTCTGTGACGCACTTTGAGGGAACTGCTGTTGAGATTTTGGGTTCTACAATATAAACTGCGGATTGGGTGAAGCAGAATTAGAGATTAACAGAGTGCACCATACCTCAGGAGTTTCAGAGGCTGCTGTGTTTTCCTCCTTTTTCCTCTCTTCCTCTTCCTGTTCCAGCTCCTTAATGCTCTCCTCCAACACGTTGGGCCAGAAGTCACCCTCAAAGTAAGGCAGCTCATTAGCACTTGTTATACGATCCTCTGTTGCCTGCTTGAAGATGTCCTATAATTAAATAGGGGAAAAAAGTATAAATATTTCTGTAAATACAAAAAAAAACTTGAATATAACATGTAGGTCCATACCTTGTAGTCATGTATGATCCTCTCAGCAAATGCCTTGTCTAACATTTTCCGGTACCACTCTTGGAGCCTTTTGGGCTTAGGAATCTTTTGATCTGGAGGGTGACAATGGAAGATGTAGTCATCTCCTTCACTGGGTGGACATGCCCAGATGTGCCCCTGAGCATAACTGTGGATGTGAATAAAAAAAACAAAATATTACATCAAATTCATTTTATGTTACCAAATTCTAAAATGTAACGAATCAGAGCAACATTTACCCTAGTTTCTTGACATATTCTAAATAGCCAATAAGGATTTCGTGGTAGACAGCTGTTCGTAAAATACGTGGTTTGAAGAAATGAATACTGTCCAGATATGATATGTATACACGCCTGCAGGGGAAAAACAAAACATGAACTTAAAGCTGTTTTCAGGAACATGGGATCCATTATAGAGAGAACCACTGAAAACAAACCTTGTGTTTGGAAATGTACATTCAGAGCCATACTCCTGTACGTGCATGCCAAAAAAGCACACGTCAACACCATCAATCTCCTCAAAGGCGAAAAGTGCTTTGGTTCTGTAGGGGAAGGTTTCGGGCATTTCTCCCGTATCAACAAACCTGGTGAAATTTGAGAAGCAAAATATAAGCAACATTTTTAAAAATTGGCTATAAAATTTAAAACACGTTTTGTAAATGTCTTGTCCTACTCACCTGGATTTCATGCCAGGTTTTACTTCTACCGTTTTGTCAGAGCTCGCTACCACTCGCACAAAGACCTCTCCGGCCTCTGGATGGTTCTGTCTTTTCAAATACTTATTCACACGGTCCTCTATGAAGGTTCCCAGTCGAGTGGACTGAAGCCCTGCAAACAGCAGATGTTAGAAACCCACCCTCAAATCACGTCAAGTATCCAACTTCAACAAGTTTGAACATACGTTTGGCAGTAAATTTGTTATCTTTGCGTGTTTTGCCACTTTTCTTTGAACAGTTGTCACAGATGAATCTAAAAAAAAAAAAAAAATCAATGGTTAAGCCGAATTTTAATTCAAACATAGCACTAGTATAGAGCAATATCTCACCCAGATGGCCAGATGACTTCATAGTGTAAAACGCATATCTGATGCATCTTACGCCCACAATCTTTACATTCAACAAACCTTTGAACGATAGAAAAAGTAGATTAATACAAAAATTGCAATTCAGTATGGTAGGTCGCTTGGGGCTGCAGTGAAACAATTGAAGACCGTGGTAAAATATCTAATTGTGATACTACATTGGGACTGCAAGACAATCTGATCTTTTTTTAATCTAACTGAATAAAAATAACAACTTCAAGAGTGCGTTTGAAGCCTCTAATACACACAACCAATAATACAAATTATTGTATAAATAAAAGATTCACAGAATAAACTTTTGAAAGTTTCGGCCTGAAATAATTAAAAACGCTTTTGCTGATACAAAAGATTCTAGGGATACATTGAAATCTTTAAAATATACTCGCACTAAATTTTTGTTTACAAAGAATAATTTCAGTCTTTGTCATTTGCCAATTATGAGTATAAAATTGATTCAATTGTGATTAATCATGTTGCTTTTTTTGTGGAATAACACGCTAGTGTTTAACTGGGATAAAATGTGTAAAATCTTTACAAAAATCAAATATACAGCATAATCATGTTAACTGTATTTTGGTCAGCATAATCATCTCCCAAAGATGATTTTCCTTACTTTAAATTGTTTCGGAATTATAGTGACCTGACCTGTTTTAGCATTATATAAAGAAATATTCAAATGTGCTGAGATGAAATTTTCTTCAAATTATCTTATGTAACACTCAGCATTTGTCAAATAACATTGATTATGCACAGGAAACATTAAAATACAAATGGAAATCAAAATGGATAAATGGATGACTCTATTGTCCAGTTTAAACAATGCAGAATTGTTTGCCTATTTTGATCCTCGTTAGTGAAACTGTCACGATTGTCATTGCCTAACTAACCAATGACAAAAATGTAGCTATAAATGTAGCTATTCATTATTATAATTTAGATTAATAATATCCACATACTATTTACAGTTCTATTCCAGTGAACGACTATCATCCCATCCTATTCATACAAATTAGTAAAAGTTTCAAAGCGACAATAGTATCCAATTTGGTGAAAACAGGAGAGTTTAACTTACGGTTCAGGATCCAGAACATCATTCTTTTTTCTTTCAAACTGGTCTTTTGAAATCATCCTAAAACAAAATTAAAAAATATACATAAATCACAATAGTTGTTAGCATTTTTTAAAGACCGATTTAACCATACTGTTGTAGAAATCTAACTGGGGTTTAGGGGTGTGATACTTTCTCCCGCGATTCGATTATCGATATGCATATTCCAAGTATCAATATCAATTTTGAATTATTATTTTTTTTTTTAATTGGTATCAATGCTTAATACATGGCTACATTACGCATCTCCATTCTATTAACTCATGAAATGAGTATTTTTTATTTTATTTATGCCATAAATTGGCATATTGTATATTTCTGACCAATATATCAATAATCGTCATATCGTGATCGTAATATCGTTATCGTGATATTATTGTTATCGTGAGCTTTGTATCGTATCGTATCGTGAGGTACCCTTAGGTTCCCACCCCTACTGGGGTTATAAATCAATTTAACTTAAGAATGAGTCTAATGATGAATTAGGATATCTGGGACAAAGTTCAAAGCTAGTCAATCTGTTCAAGCTAACTAATCTGTTGTTCTGTAGAGACGCGAGGCCAATGACGGGGTGGAGGCAGATTCTAGCTTGATATCAGGGGCAAGAAGAGCGGGCTCACCGGTCATACTGACCATTCTTCCTTTTATCAGAGTAATATCAGAGTCTATCAGAGGAAGACGTCAGAAGAGAGGCGGGTTTGGGCTACGGCTACCACTTAATCTCGAACTCAGAGACGCCATAGATAGACCCTTCTGTTTGTTCCATCCTATAAATATGAGAGAGAGTGAGCACTATTCAGCAGATCTACCCGGGACCTGCCACGCGGTTACACGGTTGTATTTCCTGTATATGTATACATTTACTGAGATAATAAACCACACTTTGCTTTGAATTACAGCTCTTGTTGTTTATTTTATATTTAATATTGTGTATTTCACTCCTTAGAAATTCCACAACAATACCATAACCATTTTTTTTTTTTATCCAATAATAAAATGTTTTACTTTGATCACCACACAGCCAAAGTGATTCTCCTCGGGTTGAGAACATTAAAAATCCCATGCTCACTGATATTTTCATTCGCATTTCATGCAACAAACTAATTGATTAACAATGTGATCATTAATTACAGCCCAAATAACAGACACCATCTTGTTTGTAAATTGTCGTAATATGGTTTTTAACATAGCATATACACGAGCTGTACTTACGTCTGAGGTTGAGCAGGATCATCGCCCAGTGTGACACTCTCCCCTTGGATCTCATTGAAGCACTTTTCACAGAAATGATACCTATAAAGATAACAATATATTTGATTAAGTATCCAGATATCACAAAACCTGCATTTACAATGTTTGTACAGCAGGGGGTGCAAGGGAACATGTTTTCACAAACTTAAATGATGGTTGCAAATAAACATTGTCACACTACATATTCTTACTGTGTATTCTAGCAATATGTAGTTGTATGTTTACATCTGTACATGTTAGAAGATTGAGGGTCTGGGACACAGTAAAGTGACACTGACAAATGTGTTTCTGACATTAGTTAAGGATATTGCACCGACGCATGACATGTGAGATCTTATCAATAATCTGCACTGTTGAATGTCTATTGTGTGCATTTACATAGTAGAATTGAAGCAAGATTTTTGTGTATGCCTTTTTGTTATTTATGCCAATGCAAATTTCCAGTTTGTGACATCCTGCTACTTACAATGGCAATAATAAGTATTCAGATAAAGATTCTAAAATAATGGAGTCACAATACAAACTCCAGCATTTAACTTTCTTAAAAACAAATATATTATTCAGGCACTACACAGCTCACCAAATAAGTGCCAAAGCTATTACAGGACTCGACATTAACGGTTGTCTGCTTGCCCGGGGCAACTAAAGATTTGGGACGGGCAAGTGCGCTGTTTTAGCAAGTTGCCCGGTCGGGCAAGTGAAGTATTACTTCGCGCGGACTAGACACGTGGATAGAACCATAGAAACGCGGACCATTGACACGCGGACAGGACCAGACGCGCGGACAGGACCAGACGCGCGGACAGGACCAGACGCGCGGACAGAACCATTGACGCGCGTTCAGGACCATCCCAGCTTGTTGCAAGTGCAGGTCTCCCTCGTGCCTCCTTTGCGCAACAAAAACGTACGAAATTAAGATCTACCTAAATCTCCCCTTGCATTAAAAATGCATGTTGGTTTTGCACAAAAGACAAATTTTGTGAACTAATCAAACGGAACACGCCACGACAAGTGTCTTTTTTTATTTTGCATACTTAAGAGCCCTGGGAGTCATTATTTGACTTTTTTGGCTCAGAGTTGATTTTTTTTCAGTTAGTGCCACTTTATTGGCAATCTCTTGTTAACTCATTGTATTGATAAATATTTGGGCAAGAAACTTTTGACATTGGGCAAGTAAAATATAAATGGTACTTGCCCGAAGGCCTGCTACTGTCTAGACCTGCTACTACTCTGCTGGTCCAAAGTTACGACCAGCTGAGAAACTGTTTTGAGAACTGTTCACCCACTGGGGGTGAACATTTCTCAGAACAGTTTGGTACTATCACAATCATGTTTGTTGGTTTACTATTGCTTTAGAACAGATTTTTCAGACAAAAAAGTAAAAAGGAGAACCAAATAGGGACTCTCAGGGCAAAAGATCAAATTAATGAGAGCCATACCTTTAATTCCCTTGGGTGGGTTACAGACTGACATGTTTCAGGTTATGGCCCACATTATCATCCCCAATGATTCTATAGATACCCCATTCCCAGGGAAATCTGTCCTCTGCATTTGACCCGTCCTTCAATCAATGGGTCAAATGCAGAAGATGAATGGATACACCTGTGAACGGTTCAACCCACTGTCTAAAGTAGATATTCACAGAAATGTGAAGGGTGCAACTTTGGTGAAATAATATAAATTTTCCATGAGTGTACACACATTGACCCCACCCTGTGTATAAAGAAACCCAAGGATCCAACAACAAATACCTGTTCTGGTAACTGTAGTATGTGCCGCCAGTCGGTATTGTGCAAAGCTGTTTTCCGTAGCAGCAAAGTGTTTGAGGGGAGAACTCGTACTGAAACACAGTTGCATGCCAAAACATGAAATCCCCCATCACATACCCGGTTTAACATATGCAACGCAAAACTCTCGGCACAAAATATTGTATATTATTTGACAGATCTTGACATTATTACATCTTGAAGCTCACCTTCCTGCCACAGCAGTAGCCCAGGCCTTGCATCACTGGGTCAATCTCAGCCTCGAACACTTCAGCGAGTTTGGAGCAGTACTTATACACACGGGAGGTCTTGCGGTTGTAAAGCCAGGCATTATTAAACATCAACCAAACATCGTCTACATATTGCCATGGCTCTTGGTATTGTCCTGTGTCAAGCTTCCGTTTTATGGTAGAAAGATCTATAGGATTCTTCACAATGTCAAAGTAATCCTAAGTGTGAAAAAAAATCCAAACATTAGTACACTGACAAGGCACGGGGATGCACAATAATATAGGCCATAACATTGAAAACGTACTCATCCAATGGTTTTCCACATTGTCTCGTTACAACCACTACGATATTTTGTTGGATTTTTTTGTGAAAGACCATAAAGTGGCATACAATTCTTAAGTGAAAGCTAAATAAAGACATAAAAAATTCAGCCCTGGACGTTTCCCAATTAACACTGGAAACTCAACAGGATCAGAAAAAGACAGGTTAGGAATGAAGTGGCAGAGAATCAGATACATATAAATCGGAACGAGATGACTGAGCTTGATCCCTGTAATTGGAGCCGAGGGGGTTTCACAACGTATTGACTAAGGCAGGGTTTTTATTTGTAAAAGAATAAAGTTATGTATCACGTTGTATCACGTTGCTAAGTGTTGGTCTTTCACATAAACTAGCAACAAAAATATCTTAGGATGGAATACTTTTCAAGGAACTGTAAATATTGGATGAAAATGGCAGCTATGACTTCACACCAATAATGGAAAATTCTCAGATAATTGAATCTGATCTTTTGATGCCCCCACTGAAAGATCAAGGCTATGCTCACACTCAGAGAGCAGCCGTCCTCCTGTGGACTCACCACCTGCAGAGGGTCAGTGAGGGGCTGGTGCTATGAGACTTGGGTGGCATCTCTGACTGCCACCCCCCTGACCCAGAAATGGATTAAAGGGTAGAAAATGGATGGATGGATGGATGGATCTTTTGATGTTCAAAATACATTTTGCGATAACATGTCCATATATGTGTGGTGTAAACACGAGTATATCAAAGCTTTAGCGTTCATTCTGTGCACATGAAGAGCAGGATAAGAAGAAAGATCTTGCCAAGTATGAAATGGTCACAATGAACTCATGCATCAGTGCAAAATAATCTGCAGCCAAGATCCCTTCCCCAAGTAAACAATAGCATCAAACCCCAAATACACCTAGAAAAAAAGTCAAATGATCAGATTTTCTCAAAATGAGCTCTTATCGGTAGAATATTCCATTATTGTGCATCACTACATAGACCTGCTGCATTCATTGTAATAGTGAACATACTGGGATGCCCAAAAGGAGTGGATCCACTGGTTGTCTGAACGGCAGAGATTCAGGATCTTGTCTGTACAAAGACTCCAATGTTGGCATCAGCGCTTGCCGTAACTCTTCTGGTTTAAAAACTGAAAATGGTAAAGAAAAAAATGCTTGCTTTACATCTTCTCTAATAAAATAAAAAGCTGAGGTTTAAGACCAGGTTTACACAATAACGCTCAGAGTGACCTCAGAGGTCACACAAATGACGGAGGCGGAAGATTCCTGCAGAAAAACACAGCTTTTTTGCTGTGTCGGAATAGAAGATCACACTAAGTCTATTTGGGTCTACCAGAGCCAATGACCTACATGCAGTTTCCTCCAAATATGTTTTACCCCATTTAGTGTTTCGTCACAACATTAAATGGGGTAAAAAAATACTTGTAATGTTTTCCAAGGTTTAGATATTGATGAGTGGAGCGTTCAAGATTTCCCCACTGATTTTTGGGTACCATTTTTTTGGCATTTTAAACTAACTACTAATTATTATTAAATAACAATAATAAACACTATAATAAACACATCACTAATAAATGATGTAGAAATCTGGAAAATGTGTACGTCACCTGTGAGCGTTGTTGTGTAAACTACAAACCCACATGAGGAAATAAAAACCACTAACTTTTTCGCCGTGATTGAGTGGGAGAGGAAGAAGAGTTGATTGCTCCAGCCTCTTCTTCATCTTTGGGTTCTTTCTTAATTTCAATTTTTTTCTCATCCACCTCCATTGCTTCCTGCTTCTCTTCTGGCTCCTCCTTCTTCACCGCCATTGAACTAAGGTCATCTTCTGTCTAAAATATGAATGATTCATGACTTACATTGAATACTGTAATATAATGTAATGTCAATTTATCGTTATATCATTTCAAGTTCAAAATTATGATTAGCCGGGCTAACCTCCATCTTGGGCTCAGTTTTGCCGCCAGCGGCTTCAAAGTTGTGTTGTTCGTTGTGCATTTCTGTTTTCACCTCTTGAAGAGGCAGGTCAGCACCAACATGGGGCGGATGCAGGTCAGCACTGGCAGCTGACACTGGCGTCGGCGCTCTATTGTCCAGACTGGCTCCTGGCTGTGACAACTAAAACACAGAGAGGGACAGTTGAATTGTAAAGACTGAAGCAAAATCCTGTCCATTTCAACAACAATAAAAAGCTCAGCATGCAGGCTGGACATTAAAACACAGATGAGGACCCTCCATGTTTCTTTAATTTTCGACTGAAGGATTTTGATGACACTACAATAAATTCAGCTCTACACAGGTGTGAGGGGATGGGACTGAACATGGCAGGGATGGTACTCAGCAGAGGAGCTGAGATGAGGGCATGCGGAAGGTCTCAATCTCACCGGAGTGGTAGGGGGCTGAGGCGGGGCCTGCGTCTGTGCTGTCGCAGGGGGCTCCGCCTGGGTTTGGGACAGGGTGGGACAGGGTGGGGTGGCGCCCTGTACCGGTGTGGGAGCAGGGAGTGTGGGGGTGGAGCTGCGGCTGGATGGCTGGGGGAGCGGCAAGTTAGTGGCTGCCCCAGCTGTAGAGGCAGCAGGTGGAGGCGTGGAGTGCAAAGGGATTTGGGAAGAAGCTAGCTGAGAGCCCAGCGAAGGGCCAAGTGCATTCATGGGAAGGTTAGCGCTCTGCTGCTGCTGAATAGAAGGATACACACAAGGGGCGGGCAACACACAACACACAAGGGACACTGTCAAAAGTCCGACAATCCCACTTGATTGTTATTAGAGCAGTTAGTGCCAAGTGATCTGGAAATAAATCATCACAAGAACATAAGTGTCAAATGTGTGCCCACCTGAGTGACAGCAGCTTGTGCCTGGCCCATGCCCGGTCCCACAGTCACATTCATGGCTCCTGGGGCGGCCACAGCGGGTGGAAACTGATTCTGGGGTAGAAACTGGCCCTGGTTTGTATTCTGCCCTACCATGTTTGTAGTGCCATGACCTGCCATCATGCCCTGGGTAGCAGGCCCTCGAGAGGGAGACATACCTCTCTGTTAAGATGAAATATGTTAAACATGTTAATACATTATCAGCACAAAGTATCATTACAAAGTCTGTACCGGTGGAACAGTCATGTTCATCTGTTGTGGATGATTTAATGGTGAAGCCGCCCGGGCTCCCATTGGAGCTTGGGGTATTTGAGCGTTTGGTAGTGTCATATGGTTAAACTGGTTAATTCCTGTAAAACCAACAAATATAGTTTATGATACATATTTATTTAATGTACTTGTTTAATTAGTTATGAAATAGTTTTTTAATAATGTACCTTGTGAAACTTGCAAACGATTTATCCCTATTGCGTTTGGCAAATTTGGCATAGTGACGGGGCCATCTAAACACAAAACCATTAATCATATTACACACTTACAACATCAACCATAGTTAATCCTATAAAAAATAGGATAAGTAATTGCCAACTCTCTGTACCTTAACATCAGTCAAAATGATAGAGATTTAGCATAGCGTGTGAACAATTACCTCCAATACTATTTCAACATACGGTAAGACTCCTTGTCATTGGTCAACCTATGAACTTTTGCTTTTGTTTAAAACAGCCAATGTAGCCCACGAAAGTACATGTAGACAAAACAGCTTTATCATAATCATAAACACTTACTCTGAGGTCTTACACCGAGGGCATTCGGCTGAGGAAGGCCAGGCTGCTGTGCCCCTGTTGCAGCCATAGATGACTGGTTGATGATTTGCTTCTGTAGCCTAGAGCGCCTCTTTTCTTCTAATTCTTTTTGGATTTTATAAATCTTCTCAGCCAGAAAATGGTAATATTCATCCTAACGGGGCATACACAAATTATTAGATGACAAAAACAATCAAATTTAACAGTCAGTTAAAATTCCTACCCTGCTATTTGCCGTCTCATACATGTCACCCTCCACTTTCCGTGCATAGGCCACAAGGTTCTCCATTCGCCGGTCCTTCAGAGCAGCAGGGTCTGGAGTCGGAAATATGGCTTGGACTCTGTCAACACAAATTGGAATACTAAATACACTTATAACTTCCAAACATAAAAAAAGACCCGGAGCACTTACAGTTTGTGAACAAGGTGATTACGCAGATCCTGAGTCACATGTTCATGCCAGGCCTTCCTGATGCCTGTGGCAGAAGGAGCTGCAGTGGGCAGGTTTCCCATAGAGCCTACTGAGGATCCATCTTGGAGAAGCTGACTGAAGAACAAAGAGACAGAAAATATCTGTTAAAGCACCAGCATGAATTGTATAATGCTCGATGTGAATAGGTTAACGTGTCTTCATAAAAACGGGTAATCATTACTCACTTGTTCGTGTTTAGGGCATTAGGGATACTTTCTGTGTGTAGGTTAGCCTGATCAGCAGCGGTTACACCCATTGATGAACCTCCCAAAGAAATCTGGTTTCCTTAAATATGAATACAGAGAACATAGTTTTGATTTTCAGTTGTTATTGTTGCTTTTCATTTGCCATTTTGTTGGTGTTGTCCTGGAGCTGGAGTCAGCAAGTGTTGATTCAAATCATTATAAAGGAAGCATATGCAATATACAATTTTAAACTACATGTCTTACATTTGGGTTGCCAGTTTCTTATTTGAAGAAAATAAGAAAATTCACCTAAATATGCAAATGTTCACCTACAAAAATTTTGTTAGGAATGTTTTTAATGAATGGTACCAAGTACCTGCATTCATATGTGAAGTAGTCATACGTATAACACAGAGTTTGTATGGTTTCAAATTAAACCCTAACAGTTGGTTTGCAAATATAATCAGTGCTTAGACCCTAGTGTGTGACCGGCAGTAAGATTCTGGCAACAAAAGTTGGGCTCCAATTGTATTTAAATTATTAACTCATTAAGAGTGCAAACTACTTAAATGAATGATTTTTAAAACTTGTAAATCTGTTTAGTGTCTTTACCGTGGGCCATAGGTCTCATTGGCTGAAGCTGCTGAGTCTGTGCACTGGGAGCCGTTGTCTGTCCGGGACCATGTGCCTGCCCCGTTGTCTGACTGTTGTAGGTGAGCCCAAGTGCTGCATAGGCCCTCTGCATGGAGCTTGGGTCGATGGGTGCTGATGTATTGATGGTGGGAGCACTGGGCTGGCCTACCCCTACTGCCGACATGGGGTTTTGGAGGCCTGTGTTGGGGGAGCTCAGCATGGCTGCAAATGAAGACCAATCTTAATTAGAGTTTTAAGCCAAATAACACAATCGACCTTTAATATATTGATAACAATGGAGTTCACTTTTATATGGGCATAATATACACCAGTGTTTCCCACACATAGGCTAATCAGTGGCGCATGTGCCGCCATGGGGATATGGCCTAAAATTCATATGCGGTATAATTTGGGACACAGACGGTAGACGGTATATATTACGGTATAATTTGGTGTGTGATTTTCAATATAGGTCTAGCAGGTTCTTGCATGAAATAGTCAACATTGTTACTTTTTAAAAATGTTATTTATTTAAATCTTAAATCTTATTTCTGTTGCCTCGGTTACTACAATCGTATACCACACAAAAATACTGCATTGTATCTATGAAAGTGAATGAAAGTCTATGAAAGAAGTGAAGACTGCGGACTGTCAGCTGCGTCTGCGGCCGCAGATGCTACCCAGGGTAATGCTAATGCTAGCGTATTTCTCCCGTTCCTTATTAGGAATTTTCCTAAAAATTGACACCCGTTAGAGAAATATTTTTTAGCAAAGTAGAGACTCCATAAGTTCCCCACTTGATATGAGCAGTTGCCACAACTGTACACGCCACAGAAAAAGATCATTTTAACTCTGAATCAGTCAATGTTTACATTGTTCTTAGTGGGGAAATTTACATCCTGTCCTTCGGAGCACTTTCGTCACGTGCAACCCAGCAATTTGATGACATAATGCATCAATGACATAATTGCAATATGCCAGTAGAACAAAAAGCTCTACCGTTGGCCACATTTTTATCGCATACCGCTAGGGCTGGGCGATTAATCGATTTTAATCATTAATTCGAGTTTTACGTTTAGGGCGATTTCTTTTTTTAAAAATTCGATTTTTATTTTCTCCAGCGCAGAACTACAGCGCTAACGCGCTAACCGCGGGTCTATGGTGTTGAGCAGTCATTTTGAAGCTAACCTAATGCTAACAGTCTCCCTCTGGCCTGATGCTCGCTCTCACAGTTGGTGCTGTTGCAATAACACTTCAAACGTTCAAGAATCAGACTTTATTTAATCGCCAAAACACACACACACAGGCTCCGGTCGTACGCCACATCTTTCACGCTCTCTCACGCTCGTTATTCCAAAGCGCACTCCCGTGTCCGTGGCGCGCACACACTCGTGTCCCACTGAGCCGCTGCACTTTGGGGAAAGACACGTCTCACACATTGCTCTCATTGCTCTGATACAAACAACGTGTTCCCCGCTGTCCGTTAGCTACAGTAGCTGCTACAGTAGCTGTTAGCTACAGTAGCTGCTACAGTAGCTGTTATCTACAGCATCAGAATGTAAACAGGAAGCTCGCACAGTCACTGAAGTTAGTATTAGCGCCACCAGCTGGACCGAGCGTTGTACTACAGCACAGTTACTCAGGCACAGTTGAAAGAACAAGCATGAAAACCCGAGGAGGCTTTTGGAAAAGACTGTTACAACATTTCTATTTTGAGTAATCAGTTTTAAAAATGTGATATTTCATGTAAATAATGCATGTGTTTAATAGGATTGATATATTTGCGATGGGCCTTGTTTGTGTGATTTAAGTTATTTTGAAGGTGCATAGTGTCATTGTAAGTGAAGTTATTATAAAACTGTTAAGCTACATTTTCACTGTTTACAATGGCAGAGCCATCTCGTTTACAAGCATGTTTTAAGGCTTAATTCCTGTTACACTTATGCTCCATGGGGATTTAGATTAAACTGCATAAAGGAAAATCTATTTCTTTGTCAGTTGTAGTTTGTTTTTAAATAGAAAAAAATAAATCGATTAAAATCGAAAATCGGATTTGGTGTGAAAAAATCGGAGATTTTTTTTTTTTGCCATATCGCCCAGCCCTACATACCGCTTATACCGTTTATATCGCCCAGCCCTAGGCGTAGGTCACTCACTACGCTTGCGGTGTGTCTGGGCTGTTATATACAGTCAGGTCCATTAATATTGGGACAGAGACATAATTCTAATATTTTGAGAATAAAGATGATCATTTTGTGGTGTACAAATCTGCAAATTATGCTACAATCTGCATAATAAACTATCAAGTTCAGCAAGAATACTTGCTTCCTTATGCTTCAAAAGGGACCAAGAGACTTATTAGTTCTGTGTTCGCATTCCGATTGGTTGGACCAATTTTTCTAGGAACAAATGCGGCTGATCTCAGACCTTCCTACATCTGATCACGAGTCAGAATGTTGACGGGGATGGCTGGTCAGGCAACAGCCCTAACTACACTGTTCACCCAACTTTGTATGTTCCCTAAGAAACTGCCATCCTACAAATACAGAATTGCCTGGACCTGACCTCTACTGTGGCAAAATACCTATTGTCACAATATAACAATGATTATTTTCCAACAAAGCTAATCTGTATTTTTATTTAAAAAGACATTTTCTACAAAAGCTCTGTGTGTAGTACTTACGTGGTTGTGTTCTTTTATCACTGGCGTTTTTCAGTGGTAGACACACAGGACAATCATGGCGTGTACAGTTTTTCCAGTGAGAGATAATCTGTCTGGATGATGCACAATGGGCAACTGCAGAATCAAAATGTGTCATATTTTATTTTCATTGAACAGCTCCATGCCATTTAATTTTATATGCTTGGTTTCTTCCCTATAAAAACAGACTAGGAATGACCCATTTAAAAATAATAACAATGAATGTACCTTGGCAGGACTTGCCAGCTTGACAGTGGGTCATGTGGTTTAGGACGTTCTTCATAGTGCGGCAATGGGGTAAGGCACACGGCCTCACCTCCCCATTTGCCTGTTCTCTCCGCTGGCATTTGTGTGCGTGGAGCAGCAGGACCAGCTGCTGCTGAATGAGTTTGCGTTTCTCTGGGTCAGCAGTAGGTCCAGCCGAAGGCACTGCCACTCCCCCACCACCCGCCAGAGGCAGCATGGCTGTCTGCTGCTGCAAAATGAGTATTTTTGTAACACCTTTTCAACAATCAGGCAATATACTTAAAATACACAATCATAGGTATAAATCATAGGTTGTGTATAAAATACACAACTGTATTTCAAGTCTATATTAAACATAATTCCCCAAAAATTTTAATAAACTGCATGACTGAACACTTGACATTAATAATGGGGAAAAAAACAATACAGACCAATAGATGCCTGGAAAGTTAAATAAATCTCAAGATGTGTTTATCTAACAAAACACAATAAACGCGAGTGCGCAGCTATACTAATTTGCATTTCTTGTGTTGAACTATTGATTCTCTGATCTGGGTTTGGCGAATTTAATGGTTTTGTTAGGTCCTTCAAAATAACTACTGTTAACTATAAAACACGTTTTAGCAAGTAATGTGTACTTACTTACTACTTAGGTTTTAGCACGTAATGTGAGCAAACAATAATAGGAGTGACATGTTCTTCTTATAAAGTAATAATACAAGAGCCGAAAGATACATTTTCACTTGCTCTTAACCCATTTAGGCCTTAAACGCTCTCAAAAATCCACTATCAACCCAAAAAGTCAAATAATGACTCCAAGGGCTCATCTCTATGTAAGCAAAATAAAAAAATAAGATGGACAGTTGTGGTGTGTTCCGTTTGATTTGTTCACAATATTTTACTTTTGTGCGCAACCAACATGCATTTTAAATGAAAGGGAAAATTTAGGTACCCGAGTTTTAATTTAGTGAGTTCTGGTTGCGCTTCGGGAGGAGACACGGGGGAGACCCGCACTTGCAACAAGCTGGGGATGGCTCTGTCCGTGTGTCTGGTGGGTTCGCGCTCGGCCCATATGACCACGTTGTGGCTATGCGTTCGCTGAGCTGTTCTCAAAGCGGCTGTTAGAGGTGCAACGGTTCATTACTGATCCATAATCCGTTCGGATCAACGTCTTCGGTTCGGTACAGACGTGATCTGCGGTTAGATTTATGAAAAAAAAGTTGTGCGCACGTTGTTAAGTCCACACACAGCGTGGTCATGGCGAGCAGAGGAGATGAGATGAGAGCATTTTGGCTTCACTGTCAACTATACTGATGATTAAGTAGTTGACAAAAACATTGTGGCACAAGAAAGACATGAGTGGGAAAAAAGCGTCTCAACCGCTTTTTGCCATGGCATTTAAGCATCCCCTTTATGCACAGTCAGACCGGGCTTAAGTCAACTCTCCCGCGCATCCAAAGTTGCGATCACGACTGACGCTTGGACGTCTTTCGGACCCTATAATAGATCCATGAGCGGAACGGAGAGCTATGTTACGATAGCCGCTCACTTCATCACAGCAGACTGGGAGATGAGAAGTCTGGCGCTGCAGACACGCCCCCTCTACGAAAGTCACACAGGCACACAGCGCAGGTACTGCAGTGAATGAGGCTGGACTGGGCCCAGAATGGACCGCCTCCTTGGGAGAATCAGGAAGGTGGTTTAATATATGAGGGTAAATACCCTCATAAAGTGCCTTCTTATGTTGCACTTTGTGTTGTTAAAAGGACATAATTGGATGGATGGATGGAATATGCCTTCGATCCATCCATCCACTTCCCCTTAATCAATTTCTAGGTCGAGGGGGGGGGCAGTCAGAGCAGGTGCCGAGTCCACATGGGCCGCCTTTATCAAAAAGACAAAACTTTTTTTTTTTTGAAAAATGAACTGAACCCGGGGTACGATGCCAACTGTGATTTTTTCAAACCGTTGCACCCCTAGCGGCTGTCATTACACAATGGCCGCAGTTGCTCGCAGGGTCAGAACTGAGGATGTTGAATCCTGTTCGAGTACGTAACTCAAACAACAGAAAGTGCTCCGCGGCCACACATATCACAAAAAGGACATTTTCAGCAGTAAAAAGTCTGCAAAACGCGGATCCGCGGAAAGATGTCATCACTATTATATCCTGATGCATTTGATTGGTCAAGAGAATTGACCAATGAAGAGAATTGGTTCATATAGCTTAGTGGTAGAAATGCGCTACAGCATTCCCGACTCGAGAGGTAGAAAGGCGGGTTAAGCCTCAATGGGTTAAGTATTGCATAAACATTTTTGCTAAATTTAGGACCTATTTTATAAATCCAGTCGTCTGGCGTCATTATCTTTCATGTACCTCTATAGGCAGCTGGCCAAGTGTTTATTTGACTGTTTTGAGTGCTTCAGGTATGGACTCTTGTCGCTGATCTGCCTTGAGGTTAGTTTCCCTCCAGCCTTCTTTTCCCCTTAACCGATCAATGTGTCTCTGATCATAATCAACTGATCATGGCTTGCCAATCATGTTCACAGAAACAGTGGCTTCCTTATCACAAACAGCTCACAGGCCAAGCCTCCGTTTAGGAAAGCACCAGAGTTTATATTATTTTATGTAACCTTTTATGAGCCAAGCATCTCTAGGGTCACTGTTGCTTAGATCAGCTTATTGGTGTATGTGATTGTTGTTATATGGATCGCTCTCAGCAGTGTCTCAGGGAACAAAAGTAAGTAATGAACCAGGACTCACCATGTTTGGCACACTGGTTACTGACGCCCCTTTGAGTTCATTGGGGAAGGATGGTAAACTGTTGGTGAGGGCCTTGTTCTGGAGCTGCCCCGGACCTGAAGCAGCCTGTCCGTAAGACTGGGCTCCAAATGGGGCACCATTACTACTCACCTGGGGAACATACAAGCAGTACAAATTATTTACAAAATGTTCACCTTTCAAGCAAATAGTTAAACATAGATTAGTTGTATGTAGGATTACTGGATCCAGTGTTCTTATTGGCTGACACGGGCACCTAGGCGCTATAAAACCTGTCTCAGCAGAGAGGACGAATAATTTATGCAAGGTAACAAATTCATTGTTACTTGAAACGTGAGTTAGCTAACATTATCAATAAAGCCACTTCATAATTAGCATCAACAATAGGGATGCATATGTTTTTATTTCTAAATAATACAAGATGTAAAATTAGGACTAATACATTCCAACATATCTTTACCAATCAGAAATCCAGCAGGCAGCTGCATTAATATCATGAAGGTAAATACAGATCACAAAGTGATTTTCTCAATGTAATTTTAGTAATTTTGGCCATATCCCCAGCCCCCAGCCCTATGTGTCAGTATATGGTTATAACCCCAAGCTGTGATTGGGAAAAGACCAGACTGTGTCATGGAAGACCAGGCTGTATCCTCTTGGGCTGTTGACATCTCTCCAACAGACAGATGAAAAGACCCAGCTGAGAGGAGCAGACACTGGCAGCCTTTCAGCACAGCTGAGCAGGCTGACACACATTTGCCCCTCTTCTTCAGGCTCTGGTTCAGACCGCACACTCCACACAGACAGCACACTAGGCCAAGTATAATGACATGTTACCCCCCCTCATTCCCACTAATGAAGTGGTTAACAATGTATGCCTCAAGAATAACAAAGCAAGGAGCACAATCCTCCCATGGACACACCAATGCTTGGAGCAAACAAATGGAAGAAATATGTAATCATGCACATTTATATAGTAGGTCACAGACAGGGCTGGACTGGGACAAAAAAACGGCCCGGGCATTTTTTCCTTCTTACCGGCCCAGGCATGTTTTTGTCACGTTTTTTACAGTTTGTTTATACCAGGGATCGGCAACTCAAAAGGTTCAAAGAGCCATATTTGACAAAAAAAACTAAAAACATCTGTCTGGAGCCGCAAAAAAATAACAGCCTTGTATAAAGCTTATATGAAGGTTACACAATGTAGCTACATTAGCTACATTAGCCTAATATCTAAAGGCTACAAATACATAATAAGCATTCATGATTATCAAATGTGTGTTTTCACTGCAGCGTGTCCTGGAGAGAATGACGCACCATGTGATGACTCTGCTTTAACTTTGACTTCCATTTTACAATACAGTAAATAAATCTGCTTTTTGGCTCAAAGGTCACACACCTGCACTGTCCGCTCATATCGATCACGTCACAGGCTGAAGTTTGCTGGAGCTGAATGTCCTTTTCTTTCACAGTCTTTGCGGAGGTTTTTGAAGTCTGAAAAAAGTGCTCCGGATTTTGTATGAAAGAATCCTATCCCTGTGAACGGTATTTAGTGCTTCATTGTTCCTCGTGTTGCAACAAAACTTCTCATTACATCGCAAACATGAAGCAGTCCTTCCTCATTGACTGAAAGCAAATGTTCAGTCTTGTTCTTAGTCCAGTCTTATTATCAACTCGTTCTCTTTTTATCTTTGGGATCCGTGCGCACACGCCGGTTTGTTTACAGCAGCAGCCGCCTGGCGCGGGGCCGCGCCACAGGATATGACGCACTACGTTAACAGAAAAGTTGAAATGTTGAATATTACTTATACACATTTTTACAGCATTGAAATACGTTAGGAATGTTTTTCCTCCTACAGAAACCACATTCAAACTAGGAATAAAATATAGCCCTCCCACTCCATTTTCAGACATTTTTGAAAAGGCTCCAGGAGCCACTGGAGGAGCACTAAAGGTTGCCGACCCCTGGTTTATACAGTATGTGGAAGCATACTGTAGAGGATCAGGATGTCTACAGTTTCAACAAAAAAATAAAGTGCAATAGTCTACATTACAAGAGAGTAATAAACATGTCTCAGAGTGAGGGAGGTGGACACAGACAATACTATTGTTTGTTACAGGGATGAGAATTGGTCAAAAAAGACTGAAATGCATATTGTCAGCCATTAGCTGGCTCTAAATCTGTTTAAGTTTTTCACAACATTTTACTTTTGGGCTCAAACATGAACTTTTAATGCAATGGAAAATTTAGGCACCCGAGCTTTAATTTAGTCGCACTTCAAGAGGAGAGGGGAGACGCGGACTGTTTTCTGCAGCGGTGTATTTATTTGGTGCACAAATTACGCAAAGACACGCATGTGCACGTTTATGGTCTTGGGTATATGGCCACGTTGCGGCTACGCGCTCACCGTGTTGTGTTGTGAGCGGTTCCCGGTGAGTGGTTCCTGCGTCCAGCTCAGAGCCGCTGGATGCCGGAACACTGCGGCCGCTGAGGTGGTGGAATCCCGTTCGAGTACATACAGCAGGTGCCCCGCGGACACGCGCGCCCCCTCGAACAGTTCTCAACGGATTTACACTTTTCACAAACATTTTTTTTGTATGAGGCAGACAGACCGGCCCAAATATGGGCATCGGCCCTTCTGGCATTGCCCGGTACGCCCGATGGCCAGTCCAGCCCTGGTCACAGATAATAGGGTAATATACCCCCCCAAATCCCAACCATATGAAAATTGTATTGGGGCAGACACCAATGACCAATGCAGGGCTTGACATTAACGGTTGTCCGCTTGCCCGGGGCAAGTAAAGATTTGGGACGGGCAACTGCGCTGTTTTAGCGAGTTGCCCAGTCGGGCAAGTGATGTATTACTTTAACCCATTCAGGCCGAGAACACATGTCTTCATCTTTTTTTGACTAATTCATTCATTAGTAAATTCTCTGGATCAATGAAATGCATCTGAATAAACCAGGAATTAAAATGTTCCACGGATCCACGATTTACAACTTTTTTCCGCTGAAAACGTCATTTCTGTTAAATGTGTGACCGCGGGCGCTTTCTGTTGGTTGCATTACATGCTCGAACGGCATTCACATGCTCCGTTCTGAGCCCAGGGCAGCTGGGGCCGCTGTGTACCATACACGGCGCGGGCAGGACCATAGAGCTCGAGACCGGGCTGGTCGTATCACAGCCGACCCCTCTCACCCTGCACATGGACTATTCCAACCACTCCCCTCAGGCAGGAGGCTGCGGTCCATCAGGACTAGAACCTCCCGCCACAAGAACAGTTTCTTACCCTCTGCTGTTGGACTCTTGAACACTTCTTAACCTCCCCGCCCTCTAGAAGTCCCCTACTGCTCTTTATAGTCACTGTACTGCTGTCACCTTACATTGTGTGCACCATGTGCACTGTATATTGTATATAGTAATTGTAACTCTATTTTAATTTTAATTTTAAATGTATTCCTTAGAAGTGTTTTTTATTTTTTATTCTCTCTGACTGTTGCACTGAGCCAAAGCAATTTCCAAGTCTGTGACTTACGTGGCAATAAAAATGATTCTGATTACACAAAGACACATACACGAGAAGCAGAGAACGGTCCTGTGCGCGCATGGTCTTGGGTACATGGCCACGTTGAGGCTGCGCGCTAAACGGAAGCACCGTTTAATAATAAAATTAACGTATGGAGCTCCTCCGTGAACACATACTACTGTTACATAAAGTCTCTGGAAGGTCTCCGGACACAGAGACGCTGCGGAGCTGCATTATTGGAGAAGAACTTTACACAAAGAGCCGCTAGCTTAACTCCATTGGCATCAAAGTCCGCCCGCTACTTCCGCCACTTCCGGCACGCGCCACCGCCGGCCAGGACTTCTGGTGTGAAGAGCCCTGCGTCTGAAAACTAGAGAATGTGCGCCTGGTGCGCGAGACGTCAGCGTTCTAGCGTCGGCGTTGTGAAAGCACCTTTACAGTCTATGGCGCTGGCACATAGGGGTGGGCAATATAAATTGTAGACAATAAGTTCGCGAAAGTGAATTTGCCGATATGCTTTTTTGCATTATCGTCAATACATTTTTCAATCTCCAATACATATTACAAGTAGAGCAGGCAAGATGCCCATTCCTCAAATACGTGCCTAAAAAGCTAATCAGTGCTTTATTTGTAAATTTCAGTAAATATTTTGCCTTTTTGGATGGGTTATTCCTGTGTTACTTGAATTTGATTTTTAATGTTAATATTTCTTATATTTAATGCACAGTATGTTTGCGCATGTTTTACAAAGATTCTCTTCCTTGTTGCAAAAAAATTTGATCCGAAATAAAATGACACGCCAGCACAAACCAGCGCTACTTATTCTTCAAAAGGACGTATACCCCAATGCACTGCATGGATATGGATTGAATTTTTGTAATGAATACAAAAATAAAGTGAGTTATTGCAGCCTTAACGGGGCTATTATAGTGACGCGACGGATTTTCCACTAGGCTAGCTTTGTCAAGACTAGAACAGTCTCAAACTACATGAAAATTGAACAAAGATTTCTGAACATCAGCGGTGAGTGACCCAAATATAAACTCAACCTAAATCTGTAATCATATTCTCTGCAAATGTGTCCCAAAATGTTCTACTAATGTAAATAGATACTTCCGGGTTTACAGCTATCGCTTTTTGACGCATTAAAACAGTATTTGTCATGAAAAAGTTAACAGATCATTCTGAAAACCTTTGTGCACCTGTGTTATATATATATAATTTATTCTTCCATTAACATAATGGAATGTGTTGATGGACTGTTATGAGTTTATTGAGCGTGACTTGCTCCGATAGCTTCTCTCGCAGAGACAGAAGTAGTGACAGGCGCTGAAAGCCCATTGTGACAAAGTGTCCGCACTACTTGCTGAATTACAAGCACAGATTGCATTGCCAAGGGCAGCGGTCATTATTGGTTTGAGAGGTCCGTTATCAAGAAATAATGAACGGTAGAACGTTTGGAAATTACATCCAAATCATTGGAGCGTTCTACTGCTGCTGTGAGGAGCTGTATAATAAATGATTAAATATTCTAATATATTTGAATATTTAAATTAATAAACAAAACAACTTTGAATATGATTTTTGTGCAAAAGTCAAAGCCCTACAATCTAGTTGCACTCCGCATGGTTATCATCCACAGTGCTCTTACTCCTTTTCCCTCCACTTCCTCTGCGGCACATTACTCTTATTTCTTATTTTATTTATTGTTTATTTGGTTGGGATAGTACATGTTAATGGGTCTTGGATATGACCACGTTACCGGAGCGCCATTCGCCGTGTTGTTGTTAGCGGCTCACAGCTGCTGGAGGTGAGAACCGCTGTCTAGAGCGGAGGCAGCTTCCCCGGGTCAGAACGCTGTAGCCACGGAGGATGCGGACTTCAGTTCCTACAGCAAACAACTGCAAGTGCCCTGCGGTCACGCGCATATTCTTTCAAAACTTAGAGGGCCGACTTACTGTTGCCATCTCACACATCCATGTGTTCGCGGCATTCTCGGTGACATTATGGGATACATGGGCGAGACATTCAGACATGCGTTAAACACAACCATTTTTTTCCACGCGATTAAGTGAAAATGTAATTAACGTGCGTTAACGCGATAATTTTGACAGTCCTAATTTTTTAACCTTTTTTACCTTTTAACAGGTTTGCACACTTCAAGTACATTTCTCTATTGTGAGATCAATAAAATTTACCTTACCTTAAAGTTGCGGAAAAGTTGTGGAAAAGTTGCAGAGTTTAGAAGAAGTGACTAGGTCGCACCGATTTTGCAGGGTTTGCTGGATTTTGCATTATAGCTGCGATTGCAACATCACAAAATTCTGGAGGGACTGATTAGGGCACTGCACTAGTACTATATTAGGTCAACATAAAACTGTATTTTTAAAAACAAAAATTAGTTTATGACTAGACAACTAGAACTATTGTTTGTGAAATCAAATGGTTGAATGGCCTTTGGGCATTTAGAATGTTTTTATTTTGTCATGTTGAAAGTAGCTGTGTAAAAGTACTTACCTTATTCAAGTTGGCCGTTTGTTGTTGTGCACCCAGAGCAGAATGGGCCACCATCTGCTGCCCCTGGGTAAGAGTCTCTGCCAGGGCACTACCAGCTCCTCCTGGGGGTGCTGCCTGCATCGTGGGGTTTTGAAAATGTATTCCTGTACCCCTTCCTCTCCCCACCCCTGGTCCTATTCCACCGTTCATCACTTGGCCCGACTGTGGCTGGGCCAGGAGCCCTGGATGAGTCTGGTTATTGTTCATCATAGCTTGGTTAAAGCCCATAGTTGTGGTGTTATTGTTGTTCTGTCCTGCAACTCCTGTTGGTGTTACGGCTTTTTGAGCCTGAGGAGACGGATGATTGTTGGGGGATCCCTGGCCAAGAGGACTTTTACCTAATGCTGAGGCCAGCTGTGCACCCATGTTACCAGACTGTGGGCTGGCAGAGTTGAGACCTGTGCCGGTGATGTTTGTTGTGCTCCCACGAAGAAGTTCTGACAGTTGCTTGTGCTTCGCCGCTGCATCCGGGACAACACTCCCTCCTGTGGCACCACTGGCCGCTCCGCCATTGGATGGCATTCCACCCATCAGACTAACATCACCGTTGGGAATCAACTCATCAGGCAGATCATTCTCTAGATCGTCCCAGGATAACCCAATATCTAGAAAATAACAAAAGAATGTCATCAATAAATGGCAAGAAATCAGCACATCTTTTCTTAGGAATTTATGGAAATGTATAGAGATTAGGGCTGTAACAATACAAACTCACATTTATTGACCCACATGTTTATTTTATATACAGTGGAATGAAAAAGTATTTGAAGAATCTGATTTCTCACATTTCAGCATAAAATCACAATCAAATGTGCTTCAACTAAAAACACCCAGATATTTATACTTTTTTATAGCTATAATGCTGTTTGCATACAAACAAACACCAGAAATGGAAGGAATAAGTAACTGCACCATCACATTTAATAGCTGGTTGCCACCCCTTTCGCCACAAGTTCAAGTTGATCTACCCTGAGTAGGGCTGGGCAATATGGAGAGATTATTTATTTATTTTTATATATATATATATATATATATATCTCAATATATCTTGATATTTTTACAGGATGAATAACCCAAAACTATATTTGCAAAATTCCAAAGTCTATTTTTATTGAACCTCAAAGAGGTCGTCAGTTTAATTAGGAACAAAGTGTTTTTATTCATTCATTGTTTAATTCCCTTTATACAAAGACAAACTGTAAAATGAAAAAATTACACATACTGCCTAGCCTGGCCTTAGCCATCCGTACACTCCGCTCAATCATCATTTCACTGCATGTAACGTCTGGGTCTGGTCAACATGTTACCGATTACAATCGGTTGAATTTCGACTGACCTACCAGCGAGCGCGGAAGGCAGGTGTTGGAGTTAGTTGTGGGTGATGTCAAGAGTTTGCGTCGAACAGGCAGGTCGTAGTTTGGTAATGGCGAAAAATGCGATAGTAAAGTAATCCGGTCTGGTACTATCAAGAAATTAAAGCCGGAGCAAGGGTAATGTTTAGCAAATGTAGTCGCCCCACAGGCTCCGTTAGCGGCAAAGGAGATGGTTAGGCTAAATGCTAACAACAGACTAGGGCGCACTACATACGTCACGGTAAACTCAGATCCAATCGTTTCAATCTTTAAAAGGAGTTAACCCCTCCCACCTGTAAACGGAGCTCAATGGAGCACGTCCAGACCTTAGTACTAAGGATGTACCGATCCAGATTTTTTGTAATCCGATCCAATTACAATATTCTTAAATACTGTTTTGCCGATACCGATCCGATACAATTTTTTCTAATATTTTCAAAGCATTAAAGATTTTGCATTTTTAACTGAATAAATACGTCTGTCGTGTCGGCTAACACACGTTAGCAGCCCTTGTTTACAGCCACGGCGAATGAGGCTCGAGGAATATAAGTTCACAAGCAGTCTCCCCCATAGTGAGCCCTGGTGAAATCCTGGTTCAGTTCTGGTTTTTCTCCTGTTTTGTGTCCCCATGACGGCTCCGTGCGGCCGCTCTCTGACCGGTCTCTGTGTCCACTGCCTCTCGCCACACATGCTATGCCTCGCACGGACGTGCATAACCATTGACGCGGCATTGAAAAACAATCTTTAGATCCATGTACGCTACGCATTGTGCGGTTGTTGTTTTTGTATTTCCCAGAAAGTTTTGCGGTTCACGCTTGGCTGTGATGGGTCGAGAAGCCTATGCCTACATCCCCCTGAATGACGCGCGCCTCTGACTCGGCTTTACTTCCTGTGTTTTCGTCCTGTTTTTTCTTACGGATTGATGTTAAACTAACATTCTATCGAACCCGTTTTCTATTGATATCGAACACGTGTATCGCAATATATCTCGTTGTCGTTTTATCGACCAGCCCTCGTTTTGTGAGCATGCAGAAAAGTCACGTAAATTGGCTTCATATTTAACAAAATTATCCAATCCTTACAAAATACCCATATCGGCCCCCGATACCGATACTAACTATCGGATCGGTACATCCCTACTTAGTACGAAATGTCATTTGTACTATGGTGTGGTACGACCACGCTACATACTGCCTACTCTTCATTCAAAAACAAAACAACCCAAGGCAGTGCCTATAGGAACAAAGCACTTCTGCAACATTTAAGAAAAAAAATCTCTGGTTACATAAAAAGAAAGTAACCTGTTCGAATTCAGTCGCTCTCTCCGCAGTGTACTGTCGCGGGAGTTCTTGTATCGTAAAGTAAAGCCTAAACTCGCTAAGTCACTTTGTTCAATGACAACAAAAGGTGCCATGTCCACCGCTGTATGAAATGACACAGACTCTGATGCTACACCACCTGCGCTTCTGATATATTCTACACTCTGTTTTTCTAGACAAGTTAGCGGCCTCCGAGCATGTTTACAGTCTATGCGAAGCAGGTGCCGCCGTGTTGAAAAACACAGGGAGAGAAAGCAAAATTGAGGAGGCAGGGGAGAGCACAGAGAATATATGTTCCTCCATATATGACCTTGTATGTTCCTCCTAAACAATTCAACTTTGGTTTAATCAGTCCACAAAATATTTTGCCAGTAGTGCAGTGTCCATGTGCCTTTTTGAAAACATTAAACATGCAGCAATATTTAATTACTCTGCAATGGCTTTCTCCTTGAAGTCCTCCCATGAACACCATTCTTGGCCAGTGTCTTATATTAGTAGATTAACCCATTGAGGTTAATCAATGGGTTTCTACCTCACAAGCCGGGAGCGCTGTTGCGCACTTCTACCTTTGAGGCCGGGAAAGCGGACATGTCTTTTTCTTTTTTGACAAATTCTCTTTATTGGTCAATTCTCTTGAACAATAAAATGCATCAGGATAAACTAGGGATGAGAATTTTCTGAGGATCCGAGAATTCTGACTTTTTCCCGCTGAAAATGTAATTCTGTGAAATGTGTGGCCGCGGGCTGTTTGCGTTACGTACTGGAACAGGATTCCACATCCTCCATTCTGACCCCGGGAGCAACTGCGGCCGCTTTGACAACAGCTCAGCGAACGCACAGCCATAGCGGGGTCATGTACCGCGCGGACAGGACCACAGACGCGCGGACTGGACCGAAGCGCGTCTGCGCGTCATTCTGCTTAATTGAACAGGAAAGGTTACATTTCCATGTTCAAACAAACAGAACTCTTGAAGTTAGTTCTTCTCTGAACAAAATGTGACTTATTACAAGATACCCAATCACATCGCAATGTTAGATCTTTATCCAAATTGGAAAGCCCTACAGAATAGAGTTTTCAAATAGGGGTGTCACTAACTATAATTTTTGTAGTTGACTAGTCCACAATTGTTTTTTTCGATTAGTCCACTAGTCAACACGCTTTGCGCCTCGGGTGTACACCCTCAAAGGGACAACGGCATTACATTAGTATTGGCCTGCATACAGATTATACAGTACAATTTTTGTTTTATTTTTTCCAAAATTAGTGGTCGACAAGAGATGACTTGTTTGATTAAATTATTTGATTATAATACAAATTCTGCATTTATATGTCATAACACCCATTTTCAGCAGATTTAGGCCTTTGATTCAAAAAACTATTGAGTAATAATTTCATTGAGAACTACTTGATTCACTAATCAGTAATTGATCAGTTTCGATTGATTGATTAACTTGTTATTGATCACAACATTAGGGATTCGTAAAATCAGCATCCCCATAATGTACATGAAATAAACTTGCGACACATGTTGCAAAACAAAATCAACACAACAATATAGGGTTTCAAAATATATTTGTATAAATAGAGAAATTGAGACAGAATCCTCCCTGGATCATCACGTTTAAGTTGAGATGACATCTCTATGCAAGAGATGGCTATAATCTCACAAGTTTTGAGTGGTGTATGGTGTATCACTCAAATTATTATCACACATGTGCATAGGATGGACCACGAAACATGAAGAGCGCAAAAAGGCTCCTTTAAGATGAATGCTGCTGTTCTGCAGTTTCTTGGCTTTTGTAGTGACAAGGTTCGACTCCGATAAGCGCTTCACTTCAGCCTTAACCCTTTCAGTCGTTTCCGTTTGTTTTTGGAATATGACATGATCTGTATCATCTGTCTGAGATTGTCAAGTGACTGAACAAATAAAGTATGTAACTGTGAAATGCAAACCCAAATACATGTATGAGGAGGTTAAAATATATAATGCATCTTGCATGCCACCTGAGGTGCCCCCCAATTTAAGAACCACTGACGTACACAATGCACAAATGCTATTGAGATGAGCACAAAATATACCATCCATATATCTGTCACCATCACCACGGCCCAGGGGTCGCAGTCTCAGAATGGTAGCAATAGGATGGCTATAGCTCATTACTATTATAATACACCATTATACTATTGCAAAAGAAAACATAAAATAACTTATTTGAAATAAGGTTTGTCTCGTTTGTAGTGTTAGTCTGCTTCAGAGTCAAATTTGTTTTGCAGACCGATGTGTGTCTTGTAATTTTGCAAGATCTCAGCTTTCTTGAGTTTACAGCAACGTTTTCAACAAAAAAACTGTGATAATTCCAGCTCGGAGAATTATCACATAGTTATCGACATATTATTACCATAAAAATAGTGGAGCTGTGGAAATGTCCAACGTCCTACAGGACTCGGGATACCTACTGGTATACTTTTACTATCAGATTAATGAACATTTTAGTATACCATTTGACTTCTTAAAATCTTGACATATCAACCCGCTTTAATCCAACGTCATTGATAGCAGCGACTGCAGCGTTGCATCATACCAATTACATGTTTCCATTTAGCTACAGCCATGATCTGAATATTGCTAACGTGAGTGCAAAAATCTACAGAAACTAGGTACAAACCACTAAGGCAATAACAGTTTTATTTCTCAGTAACTTTCTTAGCTAAACACTTGGGTGACGTTGGTGTTTACAAATGCATTCAAGAGGCCCATACCTGGTCCATCCGAGGCTGACAGCGCAGGTGAATTCAGCTTTGGCCGCTTTGAGTTCGGAGGTCCCACATCCAGCAGGTTGTCAGCCATGGTTGGATAGTTTCCGGCTGGACGTATTTGTCGTTTCAATACTTCCAGAAAGGCGTTGGTTAGTCAACTTTAACACATTAGCAAGATGAGTGCTTGCTAACGTGAGCTAACTGGCTAATAGCTTGATAATTGCCTGCTACGAGCTAAGTTAGCCTCTTGGTGCTGGGAGCCCTTCAAAAGAGATGCAACAGCGCCCCGCTTCGCCACCGCCATTCACCCCATGATAATCCAACACCCAACACCCACATTATCATCATTAAATAAAGCCAAGTAAAATGTTCTCCATGTAAAGCCGAGCGTCACAACACCAACCCGAATAGATCACGTAAACTGACGCATTTTAGCGAGGAAAAATCTAAATGTCCAAAGAGACCATTTTGCGTGACGTCAAATTTCTTCATGCAAAAATCCACCCGGGCTCTACAAAAATGCACGATTGCACATAAATGCTGTCGAGTAGAATTATTAAGCCAGGAGCAGTTGTCCGTCTGGTAAACAATACGGGTCCCGGATAGCGTCAGAGCTGAATCACTCTGAAGGGGAAATCAGATCTACGGTGCGTTTATGCCCGACGACCACCGATCCCAGTCCCGTGTTTTCGCACAAAATGGCTCATAGGCGACGTTAAGATTTCGATCTGAGGTCAATGTCGGTGTCATATCGTGGAAAGGATGTCCAATTTCTACGTTTAAGCAGCGTTGGGACGAAATCGTAATTCCGAGCCACGACAAGATGGCGGCTGTTGATTCCTTCGATACAAAAAAGTTTTTTTTTCCTTTTCCAGATCGACTGTGGAGGGGGAGGGGCCGCGCAATCACGCCCAACGTCAAAACAGTACCACGACCTGCCGCTGAGGGCGCTCCAACACAGTCACATGCTGGACGCCAATGGGAAATTAACAAGTCGTTTAGCCCTGCCTGGTCGCATAAATTGAGAAACTTATTACCTATTTAGTTGGTAGGCATACAAGCCACGTGGTTTAAAGTATACGAATATTGTAAATAATATAAAACTGTATAAAAGCATAGTTATAGGTAATTATCTAAAAAAAAATAAGTATAAAAAAAGAATGCAGCCCAAATCCATTTTAAAACAGTCTTAATGTCAAGGCCAAACATTCAATACATTTTAATGGCTTCAACTTGTGTGCATACGTTTTTTTGAGATTTATGACTCAAAACTCACACCTCAAGAGACAGGGTTTTTTTTTTACCCATTAAAAAAAAAACTAAAATCGGAGGCATGCACACATATAAAAATGTGACTTACAATACACGGAGTGCTTTGTGCAAATGTGTACAGAATATGTGGTGCTGATAAACAATACACAAGTGATGTGCACACAAGATTCATCATAGATGGTTATAAACATATTCAAACAATATAGGAAAAAAATTCCCAGTGTAAATGAACAGGTGGGTTGATACTATAAAACAATGTAAAGATAAGAGAAGCTGTTAAGTTTACCTTTTTACCATTTCCTGAACATCAGGTAACATTGAAACCACAACCCAACCACCATTGCTATAAGTTAGTGTTACTGATTTGTTCGGTTCATTACTGTAAAGTCAGCCAGCCCATGAAGTCACATGAAAACACAGTATTTTTTAAAATAATATAAAAAAGTTTTGGTCTGGTAGCAAATTGATGCTATTTGGTTTCTACAATAGTTGCACTTTAACCATTTCACAGATCAAGAGACACATTTGCCAGATGAGAATATGTTGGTATTTGCATGCAAGCAGATTTTGTAAGATTTGGTACCAGCTCAAGATATTTTAATGATTGAAAAGGCACTGCCGATGATTTTAATTCACAACCAGGGATGTAAATCCTAAACACAGCATAGCATACACTATTTGCAACTGCTGAATAGTGTGGCTTCTGTAAAGGCATCTACAATAAAATGTTATAATCAATGCAAATCCGAATGTCAAGAGACAAAACATAGAGTAAGATTATTCTGAATGCAAAAGCAAATTCTGCACACAGATTTGTCCAATGTTGTTATTCTCTTCGCAAAGGCAGCCCCTTTTTGTTACTGATACAGGAAGGTATAGGTCTTGCTCCTCTCGAGTAGGCAGCAAATTGTAGATAGTAGTTTTGATACCACTCATATCATTCTCTTTTTAGCTGTGATTATAGCTAAAATAAGCCAACACCAAAATAATAGAAGTAATAGTAGTGATGATAAAAGTATTAGTATTTCATTTTCTTTCTAGATCTTCAGATAAGTAAAAAATAATTTAAAACTTGCTCAGAAAATTTAAACATTTGTGTGGAAAGACCAATACTTGCTGAAATATTCATTTCTGATTTTCAAAACTCTTTGATGTCCCAACTTGAAAGTCTGATATTTTAAAATCATAACTGATATACATAAACTTCAAATGCTTTTACTATACAATGCGAGCGTCCCTCATCGTCCCAGTTAAAGTGCTTGTAGCCGCTTCTGATTGTTCACTTTTTATATGCACTGAAGAGTCCCTTTTGAATCCAGTGTGCATGTTCAATCACCTAATAAACTAATTCAATTAAAAGTAATGTGGTAGGGGGAATCTCTGCATAACTGTGCTTCAATATACTTATACAAAGACAATCTTGAATCTGTGCACTCATCTGTGAAGCATACGACCTTTGCTAGAAGGAATACTGAATTAAGCATCATGGCTCACAAAATACACACAATAATACTGCTTTATGCAATTCCCTCCTGACTCCCATAGTTCCCTGCTCAGTAGACAGTACTATTCTGGATTAGAATAGTTTTTGGCTATGTTTTCCTTTTAAGGTGAATAGTAATTTGATCAACAGCAACATATGGCACCATAATAAACATGTTCTTGAAGGAATAACCTGGAATTTATAATAAAGGGCATGGCTAATGAGCTGAATATTTTTTTCTCATTGAAAAATTAAAAATAAATTCTGATCAATATTTAAATTCATAAGTCTCAAAGGCACTTAAACCCAGGGGGATAAATGGTTCCCCTTTTCCTCCAAGTATGGCTGTGCTCAACACAGGCATATTATAATGCAGCATTTCTTTGTGAAACCTTTTAAAAAGAATCCACTTTAGTGCTGTTCCTGCCTGTCTTCTGTGCCAATGACAATGTGCTCAAGAGGGACAGGGGAACAGCATTCATATAGAAAAAGGTAAGTCCATCAGAGACGAGCGTAAAACTCGTCATTCAGTTTAGTTAGCTCATTGACCTCTGACTCTTCTTCATCTTCTTGTAGCGGTGTTGTATTCTGTCGTGATGACCGTTCCAATTCTGGACCTGAACGTTCAGGCGGCTGTAAAGTGTCCCGGTATCCTTCATCCCCCCACTTTGTGGATTTATCTTGGAGTGGTGCAGGATTTTCACTTAAATGTGGGTGTGGACAAACTGGTGAAGATGAAGGTGATGTGATTTGTGAGGACATACATGATGGCTCATGACTGGCATACATTCCATCTATATGCTGGCACAATGTCTCCCCATTCTTAGGATAGAGAAAGGTCCGCATTTGTCCTTTACCTTTAACATTCACAGTGCCTCTATAGTCAAACTCCAGCGCCATTGAACTGAGGATAGTGTGGCTCTCCTCGCTCACCTGTACACGACACTCCACACCTGTTGAGTCCATACGACTCGCAATGTTAACAGTGTCTCCCCAGATGTCGTATAGAAGTTTTGTGGTTCCAATCACCCCAGCAGTCAGTGGCCCGTGGTTGTATCCAATGCGGAGTTTAAATCCGAATCCCAACATATTTTTGTTGAAGTCATCAAGGACCCTTATCATCTCAATGGCAAAGTTAAAGAGAGCCAGTAGATGAGTGTGAGGGGAGTCATCTTCATTTTCAGCCATCTGTTGAACATTCAGGCCTGATGCCGCCATGTAGGTAGCACCAATAGTCTTGATTTTTTCAACACTTTTAAACTCTGATTTGCGAAGAAGCTCATCAAAATCTCCTATAAGCTCATTAAGAACTCTGTAGCATTCTTTACCACCTTCATAGCTCTCTTCATAGAATTCACTGAAGTTCACAATACTTGCGAATATCACTCCAACACTGTCGTGATTCTTTGAATAGCTCTGAGTAACCTGTAGGTACAAACAGAAATGATATGTTTAACAATTAGCAATTTACCGTACATAATTTTAGGACACATCAACAATTCAAACCTTAAGCTGGTCTGCGACATGAATTGGGATAATGTTTCCTAATAGCCACTCAGCCTGGTCTCTCATCGTCTGGATTTTGCAGCGATGTTTGTCTGCTTCAACGTTTCCATGGTAATGTAGGCGGTAGCTAACCTCAAACTCCCGATTCAGGAACCAAACCAAAAGGAGAAGTATGAAGAAAGCCAGGACTGTCTCATGGACCAGAGAAAGCATAGGATTAAAGGAAATATCTTGATCTGCTGCTGAGGTGAAGGCCAATCCAGCATCACGTTTTGGCAAATTAGGTCTGAGAAGCAAACAAGAAGTATACAATTACAAGATACATAATAGCTGATGTATTAAAAGATCAGTCATACTGAATATTAACACAAGGACTCAAAATATTGGACACTATTCTCCTTCTTTCAAGGTAACCTAAAATAGCACTGCGATTTTAGGTCACCAGCAAAGAGCAGGCATCCTATAATGCTAACCACGTATAAATAAATAAATGTTTGCACAGAAACTGATCTGTCAAAAAGAGAAGACTCACTTCTCACTGGTATCTACAAAGACTCAAGAGAAAGGGTCCTACAAAATATAGTTTTGGCAATATATAGATATACATAATCCAATATCCAATTCAAAATGAATACATTTGATTCTAAAAATTATATTTGGGGGTATGGGGGGGTTTTTTTGGGCCAACATTTTCAATGCAGTCTTACTTGTACTGCACTTACACTCCCGCTCACTAGAGGCACTAGAGCAGACAAGGGCAAACTTTTCCTCCTGAGGGCCACATTGGAAATTAAGTCTGGATCTCTACAGCCGTCTGATATTTCAATGTTTTTCTAAGGCTTCATTTTAAAACATAAATGGTTTATATGAAAAAAATAGCTCTGCACACAGCACAGAGGGGTATTGTATGATATTTAGACTGAAATTACCCCACTGTGGGATGAATAAATGTTCTTAATCCTAATCTCTCTTGATCTTAATCTTAATCTATATAAATTGAGGCGAGCTCAGGGGCCTGATAGAAGCATCCAAAGGGCCGCATTTGGCCCACGGGCCGGGGTTTGCCCACCACTGCACTAGAGTAACAATTGCTTATTTGTTATTAGATATATATCATCACATAATATTTACAAATAGTACATATACAATACAATTTTTCAAAAAACATAGTTTGTGTTCAAACTTCATTACCCATAATATAACAATATTATGCTGATTCATTCTGAAACAACCTCCTTCCTGGATAAAAGTGTCGATTTAACTGATTTTTTTTTTAATCATTCAACACATTTATTCACAGAATAATTTCTATTTAAATTTGGCACATATCTGCTGGGTTCGGGTGCACTCCACACGTTGAGAAGCCGTGACATATTACCCACCTCCGCAGGGAGCTGTACAAGAGCAGCAGGAGGGCAACGCCTGTTACAGTGGCCAGAACAGAACGCATCCAGAAACTCAGCTGGCAGAAGTTGCAGAACTGGATGATGGCCAGGATGGTAGCACAGCACAAAAAGATGATCACCTAAATGTCACAGAGGACAATATGTAAATCATCTCACAATGATCCACCCTCATTCTAAAAAATAAACTAAATGCAATTGGCACACAAGTGTTGAACTTTCTAATTTATTTCAAGTTCAATGTACATCAAACATTATTTATTTATTTATTTATTTATTTATGGACATTTTATTGGAGGATAAACCCCATGAGATGTATCATCTCGTTTTCGTGGGGGGTCCTCATGATCATATCCAAAGAACATAGGATAGCAGAGTAAATACAGTCAAGTAAAAATAAAACAAAAACAAAATATTTATAACAACAACAATAACAAAATAATAGACAGTAATAATAATACAACAAATTAAAGTAAAAATGATAATACTACAAATACTTATCAAATACATTATCATCACATGTTATTAGAATGTTCTAAGTAGAGACATTTACATATTATACATGATTAAAACTCGAAAAGAAGTGGAAGGAAGAAAAAAACCACTAAATCACTCAGTAACCACTTCAGTGCTGCTGCTCAAAAATGTATGCACAATCATACCGTTAAAAGCGTCTGCAAACTTTCTATTAATATTCAATATTAACTATACAATCCAAGACCAATTGTTAAAGAATTAAATGATTATTGTATACATACAATATATTAAAACTTATATATAACTTATCAATTGCCAAGGGGATTACATTAATTTCAATACTACTTGTGGGTGTCATACCTGTAATGGGAGTTTGAGCGTGAAATGGGACAGCACAGAGACTGCAGGAAGTGAAACCAGCACAGCTCCCACCATGTGACGTGGGATCCACCCAGAGACAGCAAGGAGCAGAGAGCGAGTGCAGCTCATCACCTCCTCCAGATGAAACCCCATGCTGCACACAAGGCATTAAGAAGTATGAATGATATTGCCACGACAGGATAAAGACTGGATGTCACACATGTGATTCCTTAACATTATTAATAATCTTATCATCATCCATTATTATTATTACTCTGTTGTTGTTAATTGTTTGGACAAAATAAGCTCAGTTTGTGGACTTACCGTATAGATAGCACCAGAGAGAGGAGTTCCAACAGCCCAGCAAACGGAGTCAGGACAAGGGCTGCAGTAGCTGCAGGAGCTGAAGTGACGAGAGCCGGCAGGAAGCAGGCTACGGTCAGGGCCAGGAAGAAGAAGCAGCTCAAGAGGACATCCAGGAATGAGCTGAAGGTAGAGCTGGCAAAAGTCTTCACTTGGATCTCATTTTTCACCTGATGAAGAATAAAGATGACATTAGTCTTTTTGCGACAAGTCAAACACACAGTAGTGTCTTACTAATTAATATTGTAACATGATTAAAAGCTATGGTGCAAACTATCTAACTGACAAACTCTGCCTGGTGGATGTATAATGCATTGTTATTGTCCTGGTACGATCCATCACAAGAGTACGTTTCGAAAGTCATCAGGACAATTGCCATCTCTACACGGTAAACTATACAAATAATAATTAAAAATAAAGTGTGATAAAGTAAATGAATGCCATGGTTAATGGATTATTTACAGTGTTGCTCATGTAAGGCATGTTTTACTTTACATGCACAGTGGAGGGCTGCAAGCCTGCAAGACCATCTGAACCAGTACTGTCGAGTATACCTCTTCCTTGTAGCTGCTGCGGTAAGCGGCCTCTAAAGGTCTCTCAAGAAAATTGAGGCTGATCTTGTTGATTGGAGGTTTGAAAAAGTAGTCTTTCATGAAGCTGATAAAACAGAACCAGGGTTTACATTATTTAGTGCATATACAAATTAAAGTACACTGCACAATTCTCATTTTCCTGGTATTGCAATAGTTTTGTGAATCAAACTTGAATAACTGTTTGAAAGTAAAACTATATACCTGTCCTCTCTAATAACATCCACAAAGTGTACATCACTCTTCTCTCTCAAGTTTTTGGCCCGCAGCTGGATAAGTGCAGAGTGGTCCATCCCTGTGCCTGTGGCCCCAGGCCCAGTGGCCATGCCCAGGCTAGTGCCTGTGCCAGTGCTGGAGCTAGCCTTCTTCTCCTTCTCCTGCAGGATGTCGCACAAAGAGCTTTGACTTGCTCGCACTGCTTCATCCAGCGGAGGACTTAGGAGACCATTGGCTGCTCTGGAATTGTGACCTGAGACGAACTTAGAAATTATAGAAAAATATTAGCATTATTGGAAATTGACTTTGTCAATTTAAGCACTGGTTTTTACCTTTGAGCTGGAGGTCTTGTGGTCTTCCTTGCCACCGTTTAATACTGCAACCTCATCGCACTGATCTGCTGCCGAGGACAAAACTGCACCACAGGACACATGCTGAGGAGAGAAAGCATTGCTGTTATTGTAGAATTGTAGCAAGACAGAGCCAAAACATATGTCTCACAGTCTAACTTACTCCAGGCTTGTCTGATAGTTGATGAAGAGCTAATGGATCTGCAGCCTGTGCCCCAGGAATGATGTCGGGAGCATGAGGACAGGTCAACAAATAGTCCCTACTAGAGAATCCCACTTGAGAACATCCACACTGCACTTCATACTCCAACTTCCTCCCCGAGATCAAATATGTCTTTAGACCTAGAGAGACAAACAAATAATACAATCATTAGACGGCAAGTTTAGAAATGTTCATATGAAACGCTTAAAAAGGCCAAATATATATTAATCATGTGATAATGTGCATTTCATTCAGGTGTCTTTTGTTGCTTCACACACATCAACACAGAGGTGGTAATCCAATCCTGGTGTTTGGCTCAGCGTCTGTTTGCACATCAGCCCAGTGTGTTCACACTCATGTGGGGCCAACAAGGAGATACATAAACACTGGATTAGAGCTCCTTCGCCAGGAGCTATCGGCCTGTCCAAACACTCACTCACCTGGCTAACACACTGCGCAAACAGTTAAGTTGTTCACTTTGTACATGTGGGGATCATTTCCATCCATCCATCCATTTTCTACCCTTTAATCCATTTCTGGGTCAGGGGGGTGGCAATCAGAGATGCCACCCAAGTCTCATAGCACCAGCCCCTCACTGACCCTCTGCAGGTGGTGAGTCCACAGGAGGACGGCTGCTCTCTGAGTGTGAGCATAGCCTTGATCTTTCAGTGGGAGCTTTGGGCAAAGTGGGGTTAAGTGTCTTGCCCAAGGACACAACAACAGCAGTCATCAGTGGGAGTCGGTGGAGAAGGTGCAGAGGTGGGAATTGAACCCACAACCTTCTGGCCTTAAGGCCAATGCTCTACCAACTGAGCTACTGTCGCCCTGATGATGGGGATCATTTAAAAACACATTATACATACTGCAATTAGTTTTTCAGGATTGTCTTCCCAAAAACTTAAAAGTGGATACAGGAGAACTGCATCCACACAAACGATTTTTAGCATGTTTTTGAATGATTATTAACTATATACCAATATTATAAAGTATGCATCCTACCATCTTCACAGACACACCAGGCTTCCCTATCCACAAACAGTTCCTGCAGCTCATTTGGGGGAAACCCAAGGGGTTCCTCCAGTCAAGGGAGGCGTCCAAGAGGCATCAGAGACAGATGGTCAAGTCAAGCTAGTTCCTATCATTGTGGAAGAGTAACGCTCACATGAACATTTTAATTAAGGTTTATTTAAAATTAAGACTATTCTTGAAATCAAGACTTTTCCTTCTTTGAATTTGTTGAATGTTGAGAAACTTCCGCAACAAATGGGCTATTGTGGCTCGTGTTTGCATTTACAGTTACTTTGTTCAGGGCTGTAGTTTATCAATTGCTTCATTGGAGTGCACCTTAACTTTGGTTTCTCACTATCTACAAATATCAAACATCACAACCTCACATTTTTGTAAACAAAATATATTACACTATGCCTCTTTGTAACTACTAATATAGTATGTTTTCACATCAAGTTCCCTCTTTTGGCCTTAAGACAACTGCATGATCTGGTTAATGTGATGAGACAGCACTTCATGAATAATGGATTCATATATAACACCGCTTTCAATGCATTCGTTCAGCTTTCAAATTGGCCACAGACAGAAGTACGCTTATCAAGCTCAGTAAGACAAGTTCAGACAAACACTCACACCAATGCTCAAAAGTCAATGTTCAGCCATCTTTTATTGATTTATATATGCAGGCAATCTGGCTAGGGACGGTTCAGTTAAGGGCAATCGCTACATCTACATCTGCCATGGATCCCCGATTAAGTATTAACACATTGCACTTTGAGATACCTCCATTATACAACCAAGACACAAATTACAGTCGTATAGTTTGTTTCATTTGCCAATTAAAAGTAAAGTCATCCAAGAACAGCATTATATCAAACAATAACTAAGAATACCTTTTGGACTTTGATACATGACTGTTGGCCGACGGATACTTGGCATTTCCGGTGACACATCATAAGTGGGATAATACTTAAAGAAAATAAAAAATGAATGAATATGCAGATAAAAGACAGGAAGTATGACAGGGCTGCTACATTCCATATGCGCTGTACACAAGACACTCCATAAAATGTCTTCTGAAATCCAAGGTAATTAAAATCAATCAACTATCATCCATCCATCCATCCATTTTCTACCCTTTAATCCATTTCTGGGTCAGGGGGGTGGCAGTCAGAGATGCCACCCAAGTCTCATAGCACCAGCCCCTCACTGATCCTCTGCAGGTGGTGAGTCCACAGGAGGACGGCTGCTCTCTGACTGTGAGCATAGCCTTGATCTTTCAGTGGGGGCTTTGGGCAAAGTGGGGTTAAGTGTCTTGCCCAAGGACACAACGACAGCAGTCATCAGTGGGAGTCGGTGGAGAAGGTGTAGAGGTGGGAATTGAACCCACAACCTTCAGGCCTGAAGGCCAATGCTCTACCAACTGAGCTCCCGTCGCCCCTCGGGTTATCATCATCAATCTGATAAAAGTAAGCACGTCATTTTATTATATATTAAGTATACTACTTTCTTTAAACATTGGACTTTTCATGCCAGTTCTCTCCAGACCAGACCAGACCAGACCAGTTTCTTCCCCTCTCCACTTGGACTCTTGTCACCTTGGTAACCTGCACAAGTCATTCACTGTGGACATGATCATTGTGTTTAGATATTCTAGTTGTTTCTGTGTGTGCGCCTTAATTATACCTATATCTTTTACTATTTTGGATATTGCAGAATGATAAAGCAATTTCCTAGTTTAGGAATTTCTATTCACAATTCACATACAAAAATAACATTAAATATGTTTACAACTTACCCAGAGGAAACTAGAGATCACTTTTTTTTAGCAAATTTGTATTGACTTTTTATAGCTGCGATTAAATGCAGTTGGTATTCATGCTAATGGAGATAACAGTTAGGACATTTTGTTGAGGTTATGGCAATGTTTAGATGGATGGGACATTATAGAGAAAGAAGAACATTGGAACACCAAGGGTTTTGTTTGTGGAAGGCTTGTTTAGAGATCTGTTTTGAGTATTCACTCACAACTTTACGTAAAGGAAGCATTTTGAACAAATGATTACTTCTATGAAATATGGGGTTTATCATTTTTTTCTGGACAAAAACGAGAAAGAACAGTGTTGCTTGGATTGAAAAAGAACCGAACCAAAGGTAAATAAACAAAACCAGGGAAATAATTCATATCTGAGAAACGGGAACAGAGTGAAAGATAAGATGTAAATATTATTGTTAATCATGAGATTTATTCATAATTAAAACCCCCTTTCATATTCAGAACATATTGAAAAGCTCTTTGTGTGGCTTGGTCTGTGAAAGGTGGAATTTAAACAGAACTTGCTTATAATTTAGATCATCTCCAGTATAATTTATTGTATAAAAGCATTAAACATACTTTCCATCATTGTTTTCTGACTGTTCGTTTTCATCATTTCATCTTTAGTTTTTTATTCTTCAGCTAGTGGTGGGTCTTGAGAAAAAGGCTTGTGCAGTACCAGATGCCTCCATATTTGGACACACTGCGATAGAGACCAGAGATGAGACTCCCATACAGTCCGCATGCCCCACCCCCTCATCTGTCCCGGGAAACTGTCCATCCTATTAGAAATGAATGATTGTGTCAGTACCTATGCTTTTAATTACTCGTTTTTTTTTGCTACTTTACAAATTATCACACCACTTATTAAAAAGAGTTGATAAGAAAAACAAAGTTCATAACACTGAATTTAGCAGAAAGATTCTAGTTCAACTCTTTGAGATAAAGAGAAGCAGCAAATTGTGTATTAAAGGGAATACAACAGTGTTTAGGCAGAGAATATCTACATGCAGATTTACCCCATGGCTCGGGGTATGTGTTTCAGGTGTAAATACATGGATATATATTTTAGATAAAATGTTGATTAAAATGTAACAAGATCAATTAAAAGTTATGGGGCACACATAACCACATGTGCATATGGTGCATCTTACGGAGGGGTGCTACAGACGACGCGACTGAGAAACACTCCATGTGCTACACTCTTCACAGGTAGGGAACAAACAGAATGGATTTCAAAGATACTGGAAACCCAAATGAGATTCATTCTTCTTAAGAAAGTTAAACAAACAATGCAGCTATTGTTTATAAAATAAATAAAAATGATAATTTGTACAAAGTTCTCGGACAAAGATAAATTATGTAAAGCTAATTTCAAATAAAACGTTTTACATATGCTTTAAACGTATAACTTTTAAAACATACTGAAAACAAATAGTTAAGTTAAACATGTGCGATTTATTTGTGATGCAATAAAATGGTTGCTGCGTTACTCCTGTAAACAAACGTTCCAGCTCTAAAAGGATTCTTTATCCCTGACTGCAAAAGGGCTTTTGATACGATACACACTTATAGCAATAGGTCACCAATATGTATGCAGGTGCAATATGAGACAGTTATTGCAACAATGGACAGGACGCAAATCTGAAACAACAAAGAGAGTTGCATCACTCTTTTCTCAGTTTAAGTATTTTATAATGATGTTAACCAGAGGCTATTTGTTTTATACTGTAGATGTGCTGTAGTACTCCCTCAGAACCTTATATAGAGTGTGGGAAATCCTTGGGAAAGGGTCGAGACCTGAAAATATGCTTCTCTCCCTCTGCCTTGTCACACAACTCTTTCTGTCAGGGACCAGCGCTTCACGGGTCTGTCTCATTTACTGTTCCATTATGGCTTTCCTCGGTCCTTTAACACTTTCCTATTACATTGCAGTCTTTGTATTAAGGAAACAATCAAAAATCAAATGGCTCAACATGCAAAATAACAAACTAAACCATATTTTTAAGTGGCCTTGACTTAGCCACGGCCACTGCCTTTATTATGGGAACAATGACCTTAAATAAGCAATCTTAGATTGTGACATTGTTTCTATGTTAAATAACAGACAATAAGAAATCCTATTGGAATGTTTGTCTTATTTACAAGCAAGCATTGTACTGAAAATAAACTGAAACCGGTGTTTCCTAGCTGACCAAATGTCAAAATAGACATGCCCTTAAAAATTCAAATCTGTGTAAAAATGTGGATTCATTGTCAGTTTTCATCTGGTAGTGTCACTTCAGATGTCAAAGGTGGAAAAATATGTTCCCTTTT